TGGCTTGGGATATTTTTTAATCAAATCCTCAGGTGGAACTCCTGCAAATACATCAACTCCAGATTTTTGCAAAAGAGGTACAATATTGTTCATCTCACCAAAGCAATAAAGTATGGACTTTGGTTTAGGTTCAATTAGATCTGAAGCCTCCGAAATAAGTTTTAATAATAATGTACTCTTTCCACTTGAACTAGGACCAGATATAATCATTCCAAAAGGTAATTTAAATTTTAAATCTTTATTCGAGAAAGCTAAGGAATTCATTATGAATAATTTATGAATATAAGAAAATTTCACTTAAATATCTTTTTAATCGGTTGGTATTCCTGTCACCGTTGCATCTAAACTCTGAAAGAAATCATCCAACTCCTCTTTTGAAGGAAGTGTATCCAAGGGTTGGGGTGTCTGTGTCACTTCTTCAGGAATTGTGGGGAGAATTTGTGGTTGTTCAGTTTTGGGACAAGGAATCTCTGTAGAAGCATTGTAGGGTACATTAAAAACTCGACCTTTATTCTTTACTTTGAAGAAGCAATGCCCTGGTAAATCATATAATAAATCAAAAGGAACAAATCTACTTCCTTCAAATCGTGTGCAATAGACTACCACTCCTTCCTTTACTATTATAAAATCTAGTTCAACTTCCGTGCTCTTACACTTACGGCACTTCCCTCCTTGGTCATAAGGAAGAAAACGGGGTGTTGTATAACGGACACTGGAAATTGTAATCCCAGTCGATGAAATGTTAAATTCAACCTCAGGTAATAATTTTGGGTACTTCATTTTTAAATTAATTTCTCGGCAATAGTTGCATAGTTTGCAATAGTTGCATAGTTTGCAATAGTTTCTCCGTTTATACAAACTTAGAAATATTAGATGTGATGTAAAATTTATACGAAACTAAACAAGTACGGTATAAACCACCACTTTGAATATATTAGATAATTAAAACTGGTAGAGTAATTTAATACATGAGGGGATGTTGCAATAGTTCGATTCAGGTTCAAGTCTATTTGTAAACTATCATTGTATCTCTTTATACCATAGTGGCGAAATGGTGTCAACCTATAAAATTCAAAGTCTTCCGCATTCGCCCTAGATCCTTTTAATAGGTGTATTGGACACTCGCACCTTCCTGGTACAGGTCCTGTAATGTTATAGGGTAGATTCAATAAGTATTTTGGACATCTACAGGGCTCCTGTTTCCACATATCCTGCCATCTGGGATCATCAACTAGAGATAAGTTTGAAGAGGAAGAAAGAGGAAATAATAAAAATAAGATAAACATTTTGATTAAAGATTGTGGAAAATTGGGGTCTTTTATACCACTTCATTCAAAATCTCCTGAGAATGATATCTTACGACTCAGCTCGTCGAGCCGGTCAGAAAAAGTACCCATATACCTATACTTGGAAAAATTTTATGTTCCAAGGTCTAGAAATCGATTTTTGAGCTCGATTTAAGATTGAAACCATTTTGGTACGATTAAGCGTTCAAAATATCTAAAAATGTCAAAAATGACATATGTCAACTGACATATGTCAAAATGTCAATTGTCAAATGTCGGTTTGTCAATTTACCCACGAAGATGTGTGAGGCTAGGGAATATTTTGGCGAAGCGTTTTTTCAATTATTTTAAAAAAGTACCTCTTGAACCGTTCAAAAGTACCTATTGAACCCTTTGGGAACTTCTTGAACCTTTAGTGAACAATATAGAGATAGTATAGTATAGTTTAACTACTTTTTATTTTATATTTAATTTTTTCCCTATCTAACAATAATTTTGCAAAATAATTTTTGCATGACCTATTCTATATAATTATAACTTTACAACAATAATTTTTGCAAAATTATTGTATGAATGATTTTTTTGTATAATTATTATATATTTTCCCTTTTTACAATAATTTTGTAATTTTTTCAAAAATAAGGTAAAAGTGAATAAGAATGTATAAAGGGCAGAGAAGATGTTGGAGAGGTGTATTTTAAACTGTTTTATGAAAAAATATGTGAAATCCTTCTTTGAACCTTTTAAACCACTTCTTGAACCCTTAAACCTTTAGGAACAATTTTTACCCTTTGGATATGTAGTCTTATGAATAATTATATAAATCCTTCTTTGAACCGTCTAAACCGGTTTAAAACTACTTCTTGAACATTTGAACCTTTTGGAAAACTCTTGAGCCTTTTGACTCTGACGACGGAATGTATGTATTTTAAATACCGTTTAAATATGTGGGAGGGGCTAAATGGATGGACCCCGCTGCCCCCGCGACACGGAGGGGTGACTAACTACTTTCCACTCTTTTTACCTGTGGCATATTCAAATGAGAGGACAGACAAAACATGGACGGATTCAAAGAGGAAAAGACTGACCATGGACGAACTCGGACAGACAAAACATGGACGAACACAGACAGACAAAACTCGGACGGACTCGGACAGACAAACACGGACGAACACAGACAGCAAAACTCTGACGGACTCGGACAGACAAACACGGACGAACACAGACAGACAAAACACGGACGGACTCGGACAGAAAACACTCGGGCTAAACTACAGTTTCCGTACCAGGCTCAGAATTGAACGATTTATATGTCATTCGAAAGAGCTCGTCGAGCTGAGTCGAATGACACCAAAATTTTTCAGCGGAAAAAATTCTGAGCCGAGTTACAGACCACTAAAGTTCAAAAAACCATAGGGGGGACCAAGCTGTTTTCTGGGGGTGAAAAATTCGAATATGCAAATTATACCTCATTCGAAAGAGCTCATCGAGCTGCGTCGAATGACACCAAAATCAATGAAATCAGACTTGATTTGACAAAGTTATGCTCGTTTGTTTTAGCTCCTTACCTTTGTTCTCCGTGGATGTTCTTGCTGCTGCGGAGGAAGCTGGGCATGCCCATCACAGCGATAATTGGAATAGGATTAAGTTACGAGCCCAGACCCAGAGCCCGTAGACTCCCCGCGAGGCGCGTGCCGCAAAACTCCGCGCGAAGCGCGGAGTTTTGCACAAGCGCCTCGCCGACGCCCCATAGGTCCGACGCCCCCCGCGACACGGAGGGGTGACTAACTACTTTCCACTCTTTTTACCTGTGGCATATTCAAATGCCGACGCCCCCCGCGACACGGAGGGGTGACTAACTACTTTCCACTCTTTTTACCTGTGGCATATTCAAATGAGAGGACAGACAAAACATGGACGGATTCAAAGAGGAAAAGACTGACCATGGACGAACTCGGACAGACAAAACATGGACGAACACAGACAGACAAAACTCGGACGGACTCGGACAGACAAACACGGACGAACACAGACAGCAAAACTCTGACGGACTCGGACAGACAAACACGGACGAACACAGACAGACAAAACACGGACGGACTCGGACAGAAAACACTCGTGTTATATCTGTCCGTGTGTGTGCTTTGTCTGTCCTCTCATTTGAATATGCCACGGGTAAAACGAGTGGAATCGAACGAGGAAGAAAAGACTGACCATTATTTATAATTTGATGTAGGAAAGAAATGATGAAAAAAATCAAAGCGCCTTCTTATTCAGATAGGGCCTTTATTTTTCCTAAAGCTCCTCATGGTGTTTACAGTTTGTCATACTCAAGATCCAATGGATCAAAAGCAAGAATCAAGTAGGTAAAGAATTATGAAAAATCTCAATCAAATAGAGTGCGCACTTTCGAGATGCGGACCAATTTTGCGGGACAATGGGTGCTGCTGGGAATTAGCCATGGAAACTATCGAATAACTCTATGGGGATACCTTCCCGCGTTCCCAGGGAAATTCCTTTACATGAGGTCGAGGGTTAAGCCCCACTATCAGTTTAAGTTTCGCTAATGGACAAAATTGCAAAAATAAAAGCTTATACAAACGTGTTGAGGTCCCAAAGACGCAGTTTTGTCCCACGAGCCAGAAAGTGCATATTGCCCATCAGAAGACATTACAACATCAGAAACAAAATGTTCATGCCCATGAAGTGACTTTGACGGCTTGCCTGTTAAAACATATCCAGACTCATCCAACTGCCACAAAATAATTGTTTTGTCTAAAATTTAGAGAATTAATTTCACAAAAACAATTTATTGAAAGAAACCTCTAGAAGAAGAAAATAAAAAATTTTTGTACAATGGACTAGCCGCAATTTGTGTGACCCAACCATTGTGTCCACGCAATTGTCCTTCTAATTTCATTTGTTCTCCCATGATTACAATTAATTTTAATTTTTTATAAACCTAACAAACCTAAAAAAGAAAAAAAACACAATTTATGAAAAAAATTTGTCAAAAATCCCCTCGTAAAGAAAATCCTTTCCTTCTCTAAAAGAATTTTTGGGCAGTCTATAATCAACAGGACAGTCTAGCTAACGTAAATTCAAGGATTTTTAGAACGCCTATATTTCCGGAAAAGCTCAATAAATTCCGAAGAATTATATCGATACCGACAGCGTTAGCTTTAATTATTTTTCAAACGTTTTTAAAATGATATGTAGAAAAAAATTTAAGAAGATTAAGAGCAAAAAATTATTAAACATAACAACTAAAAAATGCAAACACCGGAAGCTAATGGAAATCGATAAGTGACGCCAAATGAATTTGAACTAAATATTAACGCAAATTAGTTTTGTTAATTTAATTTTGGAAAATGTCAAAGTGTCAAGTCGTTGTTATTCTGTCAATTACTCGAAAAAAATGAAGAAAAGATTTTCAAAGCCTAAAGAATTTAAAAATTTTGTTTAGGTAGACTTCCAGAAGATAACGATCAAGAATGTGGTGATATAGAGGACACATTTTAAGTCTGACCATTTTCAATATTTTGAGGAAAGAAAAAAGGGAAATGAAAGTAGAAAATGAGAGAAAGTAGATACTTGACATACAAATTGACGGAAATAGGGGTGCGTATAATCTGTTAACAGTTACTATTCGAGCCCAGGATTCGCTAATACTGATGAATAAATTATAAATACATAATCTCATTGATCTACATGTTATTTATATAAATTTTTACAATATGACAATTTATAAATATTAAACATCATATGTAGTTTGGTATCTCCTGCCCAGTCAGCAAACGAAACATTGATGTTGGCATTGTTCTGAATTAGATTTACTTTTAGAATATAAGCATAAACCCACTTCATATGGATCTCGCCAGTAGCTGTAGCCAGCATGTTGACAATTCGCTCATGTGTGACAGCCACAACGCTAGTCTGATTTATTTCAATAATACGATGACCTGAAATAAATTGTATATTGATCAAATACCTATTAATTTAATCTATCATTAGAACTGACCCACACGTATGCCACCTCGTTCAGCGATACCGCCACGAAGAAGCGAACAAATCTAGAAATTTAACATAAATTCCTTTCGAACACAATATACCTAAAAACTAACTATTCCGTTTTGAACGCTAAATCCAAGTTGATATTTTGTATCTGGTCGTCTTATTCGTACTTCTACTACAGGTGGAGTCGAAACAATTGTCAGTCGAACAGCTGTAGATGAACGAGCATTCTATATTTGCGTTATTTGAAAATGTATATTTCCTAACTCACCTTTATGTTTTGTTGTGCAGCACTTAGCGGCAATCCAACAAGTGAGATACCATTGACTCCAATCACCTTAAAATAAAGTATAAAAATGGTTCAACAATTTTAATTTTTTCGTTCTCTAATATATATACCGAATAATATCAGGTAGGTGTTTAAAACGATTTTTAAATCACCTGATCGCCAATATTTAACTGATTAGATCGTGCAGCAGGTCCACCTGGCGCCATATTAGCAATCACCTTAAATAATTATAGAAATTACAAAAATAGGTTACTATGAAAATTCAACTGATCACGGCTCTCTTATTTGTAATTTTTTCAATTTTTATCCTACCGATGTTGGAAGCATTGAGCCCCATCCTGATTCAACAATTACTATTCCAATAGGTTCACCTGCGCGTTTTGATATAACTACATCCTAGAGAATAAAATATACCTATATTTCGAATTATATGTATGATTGAGCATACATCGCAATAATCAATTACCTTTTGCGTCTCCTTACGCGCCAGCAGCTCCAGTTCTTCAGCCATCATCTCTTGAGAATTCAACACTTCTTGATAATCAATATCCCGTAAGTAATTTGGATCATCAATTCCATTTGCTCGCAGAAATTCCGTGTATGCAACTTGAAAGGCCTGCCCAATAGATTGGGCAATAAAATTAGCCTCTTCTGATTCAAATACGTGACAGACCACGCGAGGTGCTTTTCTTATAATTTCGGTACTGCAATTTTAAATTTTTTACATAGTAGCACAACAAACTAACTTCTCACTCTGTTCCTGTTGACAAGGCATTCGCCGGGCCATAAGCACAACCAAGTCTCCTATATCGGAATAAAAATTTGACTAGAATATTTAATATCCGATAAAGAAAGACAAAACTGATAAAGAAACGAACCTATATCTGCTATGTAGGAAATGGAACGCAATGAGTGATCCATAAGTATGTCCTGAAGAATAAAATAAAAAAGATTCAGTTTGAAGGATGGTTTTTAAGACAAACAAATAAAATAAACAACAAGGTAATTAACATTATAATTTCAACCACTAAAATGGGAAAGGCACAATCCAACAAATTACAATAACATATAAGCAAAAAATGCAAACCTGACGCACATCTGTTTCTGATATTCTCTGAAAAGGAATAAATATAATCAGTAGACATAACTTTATGACAGCGTAGCCGGGCAAAAAATATAAATTGACACCAATGATATAAAATCATATTATTAAGCTACATAATATGAGCATTCATTTAGTTCTGATACTTAGGAAATAAGGAAAACAACAGCGAAATTATAGATGCGATTTAACAAAATAGGGGAACATTTGAAATGTGTTAAGGAAAACAATTTAGATTATACAGGGCGGAATTTATTTGGCAAAACTACAAGCATTGCAAATTGGAAAATTAACATAAAACAAACCTGAAGATCTGTGTTCAAAACCATTATCTGTAAGAAACATACTTATTCAAAATTATGCATAGAAAGCTAAAAACCTTTTCAGTTGAGATAAACAAGTCTATTTCAGTGCTTGGTTGAGGTTCTCCTTCAGGTGCCTAAAATATTTAGATTTGAAATTTAAAACGTTTATCTACCTTCACTCGAGTAACCGCCTCCTGGGCCTGCGCCATTCTCGAACTTTTTGTGGTCCGTCCGTCAGAACTCATTTGAGTTGAACCAAGATATCGTGCTCGGAAAAGAACGCCCTCTTCGTTTTAACGTTAACAATTTTTACTAAAATCAAACATACCTATAAGCACCGCAGGTTCATGAATAATTACTATAAAATATAAGATCTTGAGTTGATCTACATTGGCCTTAATGTTCAAGGGCAAAATGCCCTAGACCTACTAGAAATAGGTTCCAATTCACGAATCAATTAATAAACTCAGGAAGTAAATTAGGTTAAGTATGTTATACCTTCTTTTTTGCTGCCCTTCCGACTTGCTAATCCATTAGAATTATCGGTTGCTTCTTCGCCACTTGTTCCAACATCATGTTTATTTTTGCATTCTTGGGTTGATTCCGTAGCTAAAAGCCTATCAGTTTCATCGTCATCATATTGTACGCTTTTTACTGCATCTTCAGTTTCTGTTAAACAAATCGGTACCGATTGTTCAGAAAAATCAGGTTCAAGCCGCTTTTGTTCATCACGTTCGCGCCTTTTCAGATAGGACTCCCTGAAGCAGTGGAAATATTATGTCTATTCTCTCAAAATTTTAAATTAATAGTACCTTAAAATTAAAAATTAATAGTACCTTACTATTTTTAAATAGTATACGTACAGAAAAAATAATTCTAACGAACCTCATAACCCATATTGATTGCTCAGCAGGTAGAATATTGTCATTTATGCTAGCCGACTCTCCAATAGTAGACTCTGTAGCATTAGTAGAATTCCGACGCCCGGTTAATCCTGTTAATTCTTGGTCACAACTATTTTTTTCGGTTTCCAATTGAACAATTTGATTCGAAGCAGAACAAGACTGCTGCTGTAATATGTCTGAATCAAAATTTGATGCCTGTGGCAGTAATTGAGGGAACACTATTTCTGTTGGTCCTATTGGTTGTTGGTTTAATTGTGATTCAGGTTGTTGATTTTGACAATATTGCGATGGATAAGCATTAGCTTCCAATGTTGTTGGTTGAGGATTTTGCTGTTGGTGTTGATAAAACATTTCTAACAATAAGACAAAACCAATAAGGAGTCGAAACCAATAAATCGGCACCAATAATAACAATAAGATCGAAACCTAGTCAGCTACAGTTCAACTTTCCTATTCGTTAAATGGCCTAAGTAGCTGAAACGGTACAACTTGCCTATTATTAACGTGCCTACTCGTTTTGCTACCCACAGGAATTTCTGAGGACTCTATCGTTCTTTTTTCGATAATTTACGCGACTGCATTGCGGCGTGTTTGCAGAAAGATATTTTTTAGACAGTGGAGCTTTTCAGTTGGAGAGAATAAAATTGAAAGACATGTAGACGGCATGATAAATGAAAAGGAGATTAAGGATATAAGAGAAAATATCTTACGATGTTAAATTTCATACGTAAAAATTAAAAAATCGAAGCTACATACTTCATAAAATTAATTTAAATACACTAATATTATATGAAAATTATAAAAGAAATTTAACTAGTATGGTCGTAGCTGTTCGTCTATCCATTGAATATCCGCCTTGTCCGTCCCGCTTTGTTCAATTAATTGTTCAGAGCAAGAGCCACCCTCAAGCCTTTTCATCGCTATCTCCAAAATACCATGATAGTGAACAGCAGCAGCCAATATCACAAAGATATGGAAGAGCTGGTGAGAATGACACTAAATTTTTTCAGATATATTAGTATTTGGCTAGGAATCAAAAACCATAATGTCACATTTTCCTGGACAACAACGCTCCGGAAATCGAACCTATAGTAAGATTAAGATAACTTATTCGATAAAAAAACAAACCATGTAAACTGCGGCACCAGTTATATACAGAAAACCCATTAACAAAAGCCAGTGAAAGGAAGCATAATCAAACATCCACTTAAAACCGTCCGTTAATGCCAAATGCAACGCTGGTACAATGCCTAACAAGTAAAAATTATCTTAAACTGAGGAGAATCGAAAATCTATACAGTTCATAATCAGGAATTTTTAAGAACATAAGAATTTTGTGAAAAAATTGAAATCAGCTTACTGCTTAGTCCCATGGCTAAGAAAACGCCTCCACGAAGTGGTCTAAATTTTGGTTGTGCAAATTTGTCCCAAAGAGAAACAACGACTGCAGCTATTCCCAATACAACAATCATACCAATGTAGAAAGACATAGCGAATGCTCGACAATAGAAAGCGTAATAGATCCATGGTACGAATGAACCTAAAATCGCTCGTTTTAATAAATAATCAAAGAATTCTAATACTAGCAAATGTTAACGAACCTATAATCAGTAAAGATATACCAGAATAATCAAGCCTTAAATTTTTAAATCAGTTGCGAAAATTTTTTAAAGATTGCTCGTTCGTATCAAAGTTGTTCCAGGTTGACCGCACATCCTAAAACGTCTCGGATCGGGTACCCCGGAACAACTCTGATTTGTGACAGATAAAAACCAACTTGCTAAAAAGTCTCCCAACGTTTTCAGAGTGACATTGAACAGTGTGAAATGAAAAGGAAAGGCCCATACATAAGATTGCACCGACAAAAAATGCAGAAAAAATGAGCTTATCTGGCCAGGCCATAACGTTCGCTGGCCTGCTCAAAAGCCAAACAAACGCACCAGTGAAAGCAACACAGCCTAATAAAGTTATATTTAAGATTAATGTCATTAATATTTAGGGATCTAAATATAAAATCCGTTTTTTTGACTATTCTACACAGATGAAATAATACCAAGCAAATGTTAACTCACCATATATATGCGTCCAAATATTTCCAGTCTCAGTGTGAAGCGAAAAAATGCTTTTGAAACAAGAACTAAATGTACCCAATTCCGGCCTTAAAAATAAAGAAAATAAAAAATATTAAAAAACATACCGATGCCCAGAGTGTAGAAATTCATTGTCTAAAAATTAACTAAAAATAAGTATTTCCCCCAATAAATTAACCTTGTAACCAAGCCGGGAGCCCGGTGAAGTGTACTCCTTTCCAATTCACTTGCCAAAATCTTTTGTGCCTTTTGTGCACATCAGTGTTACCTTCCTCTCCTTCAGAGTGCTCAATTCCCTCGAATTGCATCATTTCTTCTTCGTTAATCGGAACCTTTAATTTCATGTTTAAAAAATATGATTAAAAAAACAATCAAAAAACCTAAAATATAATCACCTTGAAATCTTTGTCGTCTTCCATAACTTCAATAGCATCGAAATCCGGAGGATTTTGGCAGCCACTTCTCTGCTTAGACGCGGGCAGTTGGACATGTCTATGCGTTTTGTCTCCATTTTTATCTGACTGAAAATTGCCAGAGAACATTACAACGCCAATCACGTCTTTAAAATAAAAAGCTTACCACTTGCGTTTTATCGTTTTCTTGGTTTCGAGTGTATCGCTGTGATTGTTTTCCGATGTAATGCGACGGCATTGATTGCGCGCGTCGGTGACCCTTTTTGAATGAACGCGTTGATTTTTCACTCTTTTTATCTTCATTAATTTCCAAAGCCTGAGCCATCTGTGTGAATTTTAAGAATAAATAACAGAAAATTAAAAAAAGATCCTGGTAAAGATAACCGAGATACATTGTAAAAAATTAACAAGATAATTTAAACAAAAGCAAGTTTGAGAAAATAACAAAAATTCAGAAAAAAAGTCATTGAAATTTGAGACACATTTCAATAAATCAGAAAGCCTATTCAAATTTCCATTGATAATACATAACAAATAAGTTTCATCGTATTTATAACCATTATTTCGGTATTCTTCTAATCTCGTTTGATAACCAAATTATAACACTATAAAGAACCAGGGCACCGTTCTGATGAATTGACGCAATTGAAATTGGCACCTCATAGATCTATTAAGTGAAAATATTTATAAAGGCAATATGTATAAACTAACTAGAGTTCCAATTCCAAGCGCAGCTTGCGTGAAACATGCAGCCAAAAGAGTGTGCAATGCAAATTTAGCACGATTTGACAACTTAAATGTTATAAAATTTAAAAATAGAACAACTTAATTGTATGTCTAATACCACCAATATATAATTAAATCTTATATTTCCTTTCGATCTTTAATTAAATTACAGCTGAACTGACTATACATTTTATGTAAATTATACCTTCATATTGCGTCCCTTAAACCAAGTAAGTGAAACTACGATTAGCGTCAAATAGGCCTGAAAATAATATGACAAGATCAAAAACCAATATTGTAAAAATTTAACCAGATTTCGATGAAGAAATTGTACAGAGACCGGGTTCGAAAAGAATTGATCAATACCAAATATATCTCTAGACATAAGTTCATGTGGGATCCATTTTCCAGAGTATTTTGGCCAAGAATTATAGACTAATCCTGCATCTAAACCAGCAACAAATGCTCCTATTAAAAATTTTATAAGAAATGTTACTTTGTTACCACTTATTTACCAAGCAGAATTGTTGAGAATATAGCCAATTTACTTCCATGCACCTTACAATTAGTTAAAATAATTTTTAAATTAGAAAAAATGTTACCATTCCACGTAAACGACGAATTGATGCTACTTTTGAATGCTAAAATAATCTATTAGAAATCTTCAAAAAAAGGAACATCGAATGGAGTAAATAAACAAGAAAGACCATTCCAGAGAAGAACGCCATAAAGTATGAAAGCAAGGCTTAAATGGACCACAAGTCTAATTTATGATGAAAACTAATGAATAAAAATAAAAAAACCTATATTGAGATACTCTTGGCACAAAAGAATCATCCTTTACAGCCGTAGTTTGTTTAAGACCTGATTTAACCATCCACCAACCAATAACACCCTAAACATTTTAAAAATATGAAAATTAAAAATGCTCAACAAATTCAAAATAAACCTGCGCGAGAATTAACGACCCGGCAAATAACATTCTCCGCTTTATTCCATTAGAAAAATATCCTCGAAGCCAAAAATAAGTACAAGGAACAATAAAGATTAACCCAACAGCTCTTCCCCACCTGCAAATATTTATATCTATATACAATGAAAAATGCACATGACATTTATCTAAAAAATTAAGATCTAACCCACATTCTGTGGACATATTCCATGGTCCAAATGAATTTAAATTGCTCCAATGTTATTTCTTTTTGAGTGGTCGACTTGCTAAAAACAAAACTGAACAAAAATTTAGAAAAACTCACTGTTTATATTCAGGATATTTTTTATAATTTTCAAACTCGATTTCCCATTCATTTTGATTGAAAGGTGGCTTCATAGTTTTGATCAAATCCCATTTCACCATAGAGAGACCGCTTTCTGTAAGCCTGATAATTAATTTTTCACAGAATCAGAATGTATGAAAACGTCAACCTCGTTAAACCTCCAACAGCTATTGTACCTAAATATATTTTAATTTGTTCATTTTCTTTCAAAGATTACCATAGACCACTCCAGTACAACCAAGTAGCCACAAACCAACAACTTTATTCGTGGATAATGTAGTCGTCGTCAAACGTACAAACGCCCTACTCGAACAAAAACGACTAAAACGCAAAATAATTTTAAAACAAGCATAACATACCTAATTGTGCTTCTACTTTTTGCATAAATTAATTCAAGTAAAACCATCTGATCAGTTCGAACAAACAAGTTAATAAATTATAAATAAGCAATAGATAACAATTCTAATGTTTTCTGACGAGAGTCTGATGATATTTTTATAATGCTTTTATTTGAGCCAATACATACATGTGAATATATGTAGAAAGATACCAACAACGAACCCGAAAGAATGGCAGAAAATAGGAAGATGATATAAGGATAGAGTGTATGATTTAAAATCATAGATGATTGAAAAATATATCAGAGAAAACAACGAAAATGAAAGGTATAAAAATATAAATATGTATTACTATTGTACACATGTGTATTATGATCATTTCTGCAAATGACTCTTTGCCCCGTGAAAGAACTGCATCAATGAATAAGCATCTGAAGGGTTATTAAATTTATTAGAACAATCGAAGGATTGAAAATTACCTGCTGTTAATTCACAGATCTGTTGGTCATTCCAATTTTGAGTGGGAAGACTTTGCAATTTAAGCATTATGCCCTGAAACAATTACTATTTAATTCAGTTTATTTAACGACTTATCATTCAAGAGAAATTAAATGAGAAAAATGATACAAAAATATAAATTTATAAATAACCTGAAAATCCTTTTCGTTCTGTAACTGCTTAGACCAAAGTCGCAAGAATGCCCCACAAACATACGTATGAAACTCCGAAAACCCATCTTTTTCGCTCTAAAAATAAATGTTAATCGAAAAAAACCATTCAAAAACCAGATATGTGTCCCAAAGTCGAATAGTGGTACGTAAGGGAATTTCGCGCATCAGTAAATTGTTCATCCATCGAAATGAGAACTGCAGAAATTCAACACCGTTCGATTCGAAATGGGTGTATAAATTTCCTATTAATTAGTAAACAAATATTTTTAATTCAAAAAAGATTGTATACGTTCAACACGACTAATAAGCTCACGGAGATCATTCACTTTGCGTTGAATTCCAGGTTGAGCAAATGTGTAGTTATCTTGTATTGTGTCAAGAAGCGCAGAAACGCACCAAAATGAGTCGGCCTCCACAATTTCCACTTGCTCACGGTTTAGAAGAGATAAGTCAAAACTTCCAAGGTCTGTGTCTATTTTAATATAAATTCGAATTAAAGAAAAATAAGAACCATCAGGAATAAATTCAGAAAGGAACACAATGAAGAAGGGCGTGACCAAATCATTAATTCCTTGAACATAGCCACTTGCTGGATGCCTAATTGCCCAAATGTAGAGTACACGTTCAAACATCTTAATAATATTGAAATAAAAATTGCATTAAAGTACAGAATTCGATTTAGCTAGGCTATTAAAACATCCGGGAACCTTAAAATTAAATCTGTGGTTACACATTAAACTAAAATAACCTTAAAAAGAGAATATTCTTAATTTTAATAATAAACAAAACCTCCTGCACTTTCTTTTGTTGAAATAATGGAATCAGAGGACACATTCTGGGAATATCGATATGAATCTAAGAATTTTGAAAATTTAAGCTTCAAGTTTAACAAAAAAAACCTGACGAAATGTGATTTGATGCTGCTCGTCGTAACGAGTGTGAAAATACTGCTCTACATAATCCCAATATTCATCTCGTTTCCGTTTTAATGTCACCTCACGACGATCCAAATTTGTCGGAAGATAGCCCTAGTTAAAATTGAAAAGATTATAAAAAATAGAAAATCTACATAAAAGCAAATTTATAAATCTATAAACTACCGAAAGAATGCGCCATGCAAGCGGACGAATCCGCTGGGGGATTCCAAGCCAGCATTCCTTACGTAACTCGTTTAAGTCGACAATTGTACCCGGTGCTGGTTGCTGGTAATGATGGTTGCTATTGTCTAGCAGAATGCCCAATATTCGCCGTAGTCTATCAAATCGCGAGACATCGCCACTAGAATCTACAATAAATTGTTATTTCAATACTGAATTGCCTTTGAAAGTTATTTTTAACCTTTAGTTTTTTGCTGGCTTGTTACACAACTTAGTGACGGTATCGATTGCGAACCCGTGGTAATTGAAGAACTAATCGGCCTAGTCGTGAGTGAAACCTCAGGTAGCCTTGGATAAATATTTTGACGACCGACGGGAAGTGCAGTTGCTGATCCAGGTATTGGTTCTAGAGAAATGTAATTTGATAATTTCTTTTGAAATTTACATTTACCTCTCTGAGTTGCAAGCATTTGCATAGCTTGAGTTTTATGGTGCTTTGAAGGTGCAGAATAGCAATTAGGCATTAGGTAATCCTCCCTGAATACATCAGAAGACGGAATTTGTTGCTCAGCAGCATGCCGCTCAAGCACACAAGCTATTATTTCATTCGGAATAAGAATAATTAATCAAAAACCTGCAGTCGACAAAATGAGAGTGTCATCCATAGAAACAGCTGTATCCCATGCATCAGAAACACTTAAAATTTATATGTAAATTTTAGGAAAAAATTGTAAGAAAAAACCTTTCCTCGTAATTCCTGAACTTTAACTCCGTCTTGGATGGAGAGTTGCTTATTTCCGAATTATGCTTCAAAGGAGGATATTGAGCACCATATATAGGCTTCACACTACAACAGAAAATGTTAGTTTATTTGAGCTGAAAACACTTACCTTCCTGGCAAAGGTACGTTCTGTGCCCAATTGCGATGCATTAATAGGAATTTTAACGAAGTTCAAACAGCAAGAAAAAATAAATTCCTTGAAGAGAGATAAAAATAAGTGTTAATCTACACGTAACCTTTACCAACACGGTAATAAAGGCATTACGACGTTTGATCAGTAAAGCAACATGACATCAAGAGAATTTAACAGACGGTTGGACAGTAGACAATTAGCCAGCGTAGTCTGGTTAAATGGTGAAACTTACCAATATATTTCAGATGGGTTCAGATCCTCAGAGGAAATCTATATTTATTATTCAGCTATTCTATATTCCGATTCCTATTAAAAGGAATCAGAAAATCTTTCGAATTTATTTTTTAAATTTCTCTCGATATTCAATGTCTAGATATATAGAAAAAAGATCTTTTAACAAATCTTTAAAAAATCAGTTTTACAATTGACAATATTTATGCATAAAAGAAAATACTAATGAACATTAACTCATTCATAGAAGTGGAATTCTAACGACCTCAGTCGCCTGTATTTTTGCCGTTATTGCCTGAAAAAAAACAATTATTTTAAATGCCAAAATAAAGGTAATTTGTCAAGGATGTCAAAAACTTGCCGCCATTGCCATAGCTGTTGCTGCAGGTAGAACGCCAGATGGGTTTGGTGTTGCACTCAAATAGCTAAGTGCATCAGGTGGAGTAATAGCACGACATATGATTAAGCACTGACCACCAAAATTGAAGCTGGAAATTCAGCAGTTACATATAGTAAAAAACGTGACAAATAACCCACCCATTCATTCCTTCTACTGCTTCTTTTGCTGCTTGTTGGGTTGAGAACTCGATGTACCCGAAGCTCCTAAAAGTATTTATATTTTATTTAAACGTGATTTTATATTTTAACATATTTATATTTTATTTAAACGTGATTTCATCTTAAACAATGTAAAATCTACCATGTGAAATTGAAAAATGAACCTGTGTCGTCCAGATGCGTCCTTAGCCAACATACATTTCTGAATTTCACCAAATGCCTCAAAAACACTGCGCAAATCCTCTTCTAGCAACTCTGGATGAATGGAGGACACATATACGCGATTAAATTTGCGAGCCTCACTGACGATCATATCTAAAAAATATTCAGAATTTATTTTAACAAATCGAGAACCAATAATGGATTGCGCTTGAGGCATATTTGTCGGTCTCGTAACCTAAAAATAATTTAACCACAAAATTATTGATGGATTAAAATTATACTGGTGAAACTTTAATGCTTCTTCCTCCCATCATTTTTCCATTCATTTGCTCTTGCGCAAGTTGGGCAGCCTCCGGCACCTCATATTCGACAAAAGCAAAACCTTTGTGACTCTAAAATTTAACGATAAAAGGTAAAATAATTTGCAAACTACCCCAGTTGCTGGATCTCTACACATGTTCACAATCTGTTTTAAATTGAAAAATGTGGACAAAACATAAATCTCAAACACTACCTTTATTGGGCCAAACGGAGAAAAATTCATGCGGAGATGATCCTCACCTATATCAAAATTGATTGACCCAATGTAAATGCGAGACATCTTAAAATAAGTATTTCTCTGGGATAAATTAATTTGCTTACAATCGAAAGTGCCTGAGTATACAAGGAGATTTTTTGTTGCTGAAAATTAAATAATTAAATTTTTGAAAAATATGTATTAATAAAAAAATGTTAAATCTATGTTGAGATAAAGTAAACAACACATTTCTTTCGATTTCTTTCAGATTGAATGTTTGAGTGTATGAATCGGCCGAGCTGCTGCAGTTTTCTTTACTATTTGCGTTGTCAATTCTGAAGGGGGAGGGAGAGGGAAAAGGAAATCATGAAAACTAGCTTCGATATTTATTAAAATTTTGAAAGGTGAAACAATCGTCTTAATTGTCAAAAACTATATTTCCATGGTTTTAAAGTAAATCGAATAAAAAATCTAAATTCTTGTAATAGTTCAATGTTCAAAAAACATTTGTAATCAATAGAATACATATGGCCTCTACAAAAAGTATAGCCATTCTCCTAATTCGTGAGAATTATAACTTAAAACAAAGAAAAACCCATATAAAATTTACTTGTTGTTGATGCGCTTCTCTTTGCTTTAGCATAACAAATTTTACAGACTGATCAAGAGCATATCGTTTTGCGCGTTCTATATCTTCCCTCTCAAATGTTCTCAACTTTCTAAGACCAAGCCCAATTAGTTGAGCTTCTCTGTGCTGGCCCGGCCCAACAAACACCTATCAAGAAAAATATAAAATTCAAACGCATGTTTAAAAAAGGGAAATTACCTTGCCAGTCTGTTGAAGCAGTGGCATAGCCACAAATTTACCAGTTACCGTTGCTTGTGATGATGACCCCGAGTATGGAGCAAATTCTTGTTTCATTTGGCCTAAAGTTGGTTGTTGTTCCTGTCTTATTCCATTTTGTTGAATCATATAATTAGCATAAACGTCCATGGCTAAAAGTGCTCAAAAAATGTAGGAATCAAAAAGTGAAAAAACAATAATCATGGGGGCATTTGAGTCAAGCCCATTATTAGACAATCTAAATAATATAGATAGCATAGCATAAAATTTATGGCAACATATTACAAAATACAATATAGAAAATGAAGCATTTGTAGATAAAAGCACCATATATGTATTTGGTATCGTTGGAAAATTCATTCGGAAAAAATAAAATAAGGTGGTCTGATAGGAGGTTAAAATTTAGAAAAATATTTTGCGAATAGAGGATTTTCATATGTGCAAAAATTGTAACATTATAATAATCCTAGATCAATAATGTAAAAACATAAGACTGGAGAAACAGAACTGATAAATATTCAATTAAAGTTTTAGAAGTGTTCCACAAAAAAATTTTCCGTTGCTACCCCAACTCTTCCATTTTGTTGAGACATGACTTGTTGTTGAAAAGTACCATTGATACCACAGAACCTGTTCAGCATCATTGAGTTCACATCGTCAGGAGTAGTAGGTGGAGGGCCAGTGGGTTGAGAAGTCCTATGTATTTGTCCTTGAAAAAATTGATGGGGTTGAAAGTATTGTGGTTGTCCGATAGATGTCAATGAAGGTGCTGGCGGTAGCATAGCCCTAAAAATGTTTAATTTTGATTCTTTTTATTAAGAAAAGGAGTACTTTCTTCGATGCTCCGATCCACTTGACTCCTCGTTAGAGTTATTACTAGCTTGACTATTTGCACCAAATTGGTCAAAACGGGTTTGTGTATGTACTGGATTTTGTGGAACTAATTTATGTAGCTGTCTCTGCTGAGTTGAATATTCCAATGTTGTTTGCAAAGGAATCCCCGGTGGTGGATATGGTGATACAGAAGGCATTGCATACTCGCTACCCTAATGAAAAAATAATGAACAAAACTAAATTAATATAAAAAAATTAACCCCAAAATTTGTATGCAGCATGTATGGTACTTGTGTTCCGCAATCGCGATCGTTTAAAAATCTCTGGTTGGCTAATAATGCTTGATTTTGAGGATTTCGAACCAGAACTGATCCATGTTCAATACCATTTCGAAGAAGTAACAAGTCTGAAAATGAATGGAAATGCGTAAACAATACGTTGTTTACCTGAACAATTATCTCCGAAAACATAGTAACATTGCTCCGTGAATACCTAAATTTAAAGTACGTGAAATAAACTCGCGAAGCATTTTTCCCCAAAAAATTTATTCGAATAATATACTATTTACAACTAACCTGCTTATTGACAACATGAGCAATAAATCGTTCTTTTAGTAGATCAGACGCATATTTTCGAGCTTCTTTCCGAGTTTTCAAGCCATCCACATTTTGAATCAACCAATCAACCAAAGAACTACCTTAAATAAAAAAAGTTACTGAAAAATGTAATACTAAAATAATACCTAAAAAAGACATTGGGATTGGAATTTTTAGCCAAGTTCTATCACGAATTTCCAATCCGGAACCGATTGCAATCATTGCCCGAATGATCATTCGTTTGTCAGAGTTTATGTCTAGGCGAGGTTGAACCGCCAAAAATACACCACCCTGCCCAAGTACTATCTGAGGAGCCACACCACCTGAACCATTTGTTGAAGTAGCTGTTGTATTGCTACTACATGCCGATCGTTGTTGATGTTGAGCGATGGAAGTGGGAATGTTAAGCATATTTACCATTTGTTCATGCGGATGATACTGGTTGTGAGCGGGAATAGGCGTTGGCGCACCTTCAGAGCCTAAATATTATTATTTTAGAACTTTTAAAAATATGCAAATTAAATTTATAAACCTTCTGGGATAGAGTTCATCGCACTCACAATTGTACCAACAGCCATTCCCCGTACAGCATTGGTATGTTGCACCCAAGCGTGTGTATCAAAAATGATTAAAAAAATTGAACATTAATAATTTTTGGCTATTTTTAAAAAGGTAAAATGTGGGCGGAAACAATATTTTATAGTTTAATTAATTTAAATTTAAAAAATTTTTAAATACCAATTGGGCGCACTGGTTCACGAACTGGCACAGAAAAATAATTGGCTCGACCGGAATCAAAACTTTTTGCAACTGTCAATTTAATTGGCCTGAAAAAAATAAGAAATTATAACTCGACAAGTTATAATTGAGCAAAATTAATTGTTCAATTCTAAAAGTTACCCTTGTCTGTTGACTGCTTGCTTGAGAACTTCAACCGCTTTATCATTTTTAAAATTTTCAAAGGAAACATCGTTCACTTGTAAAATCATATCTCCAGGTTCAATGCGACCATCTAAAGCAACAGCACCACCTTTTATAACGTTAGCCTAAAGACAAAAAATGTAATTTCAATTAAATAAAATTGGCACACAAGTTATGGACAATTCAAAGCCAATAATTAAATAAAATATTTTCGGTATATCAAAAAACAGACCACATAAATTCCGTTATCACCGCGTGACGAAGATTGACCCACAATGGAAATACCAAGAAAATTAACAGCAGAGTCCATATTAAGTGTAACCTATAAATGTTATAATTAATTGAATTTCTTAAATTTTATAAAATTAGTACTGTGATAACTTCCAGTGCCATTGAGGTCTCAGTCATTGATGAAAGTGAAGATGCACGTGAGGGCTTACGCCTGTTACGCGGGGCCTGGCGACGTCGACGCCGATATAAATTGTAGCGCTGCCTTGATACAGAAGTGATGTTGTCGGTTGACGTGGAAAGACTAAAATATTATTTCATTTGATAAGAAAAATCTTAGAGTAAAATAAAAAAATTTGAGGATTACCGTGATTCATCATCAGAATAAAGGCGGTGATCAGTCTCATTTGTATATAGAGTGGAATCGTCAAAAGGTTGTCTTGTGTGATTACCTATAAAAATTTTAAATTGGATAGTAGGTTTGAATCACAGTTTGAATCACATCGATTGCGTGGACGATAGTGCTGTGAACTCGTGAACGGATAAAGCGCGGTAGGGCCCAAAGGTACCTTAATTATAGTACGCAGTTGAAAATAAAATGATCTAGAACAAAGAAAAACCTTCTTCATAGAGGCAAGTTTGGAAACGCCAGAAGAGTTGCCATCAGAATTTGAATTTTCCGCTGTTAAAAGAAAAAGTTCGAAATGACCATTAGAAGATCGTGTAAGCTGTTGAGCATCATCACGTATTTCGGCTTTGACTTCGCTTAAAAATAAACGATAACTCAATGATATGTCAGAAACTCGAATGTAAAGTATATTAAAGTTAAGTAAGAATGCATTAAGATTAACATATTTACTTACCCTCCAACTTCTGAATCAATTGCTTTGCAATAGTATTTGAAATTAGTTCTGTTGAGAACCCTTTTAAAATCGCCTAAATTTTAAACATAACTCCTCTATTATTAATCGAATAAAAAACCTAACGTAACACGATTGTTAGGTACTGGCAATTCAGTGCAATAAGGTGTTTGTTCATCGTCTATGTGGTAATAAACCTGAAACATAAACATCGATTTGGGCAATCCCGGAGAATTGGGGTTTCTTCGAAAAAAAAGTTTAAAAATAAGAAAAAGGGTTTTTCTAGGGTAAAAAAATACGCTGATTACGAATCTGAACTCGGATTTTGAAAAAGTCGAATCCCGAACCCGAACCAAATTTCGAACCCTGAACCCGGATTTCGAATAGGCAAATGATAGCTCATTCGAAAGAGCTCGTCGAGCTGCATCGAATGAAACCAAAATCAACGTGATTGGACAAGTTTAGACAAAGTTATGACATAAAGTATACCTATGGGAGTACTGTAGGAGTCGGCGACTTATGTCATAACTTTGTCAAAACTTGATAAATTACTGTGATTTTGGTGTCATTCGACTCATCTCGACGAGCTCTTTCGAATGAGCTATTATTTGCATAAACTTTTTTTTACTCCAAAAAATCACCCCTATGGTTTTTCAATATTCCGGGGTCTGTATCTCGGTGCAATCACGTCGGATTTCATCGATTTTGGTGTCATTCGATGCATCTCGATGAGTTCTACCTGCATATGGAAGACTGACAATGTCCGACAATGTCCGGGGTCAAATTCCGAATACAATGTCCGACAATGTCCGGGGTCAAATTCCGAATTCGGGTTCGGGATTCGACTTTTTCAAAATCCGAGTTCAGATTCGTAATCAGCGTATTTTTTTACCCTAGAAAAACCCTTTTTCTTATTTTTAAACTTTTTTTTCGAAGAAACCCCAATTCTCCGGGATTGCCTCGATTTGTATGTATTATATAAATAAAATATAGAAATAAATTTTAAATACCTTTGTAGCTCCTCTGCCTGCTGCTGAACTACAAACTGACATTGAAGAATGCGTCAAGTGAGAACTAGCGTCGGAAACTTTATCAATTTTTTCTGCTTGTGAATTCAAATCATTATTAGTATTTATTGATTTATTGATATCCAATTGTACGGTTTCTTTTTCGAGCATACGCACTTCATTAGATTCATCATTCTCCAATTTTGTCGTTTCCATCATGACATGATCAAAAGAAGTCAAAGATTCTGAAATTGAAAGTTATTCTGAAAATTGATTTCTCGTTTGAACGACAAAAGGAGTGTGAGCAATTGACAGAGTAAAGCTCTCTCGTGAAACTGTCGGACGATGCAAGGGGACACCTATATAACCAGACTCATAACAATGCCAGACTTTTTTGGACCTTATTTTTTATTTTAAAGCCTCGCGCCATAGTGGGCTTGCGCCATAGTGGCCTGCGCCATTGTGGTCGCGCCATAGTGGCCCGCGCCATAGTGGGCCGTACCCTATTTTGAGCCTTTATTAGTCTTGATAAATTTCTTAAATCAATTTTTTAGGTATAATGTCGTCGATGCCCCAGCTATCCAACGATATTTTACAAATTATATCTGAAAAGTTACTTTTTAAAAAACCACCTGATGATAAAATGTTTAATCAAATGGATCTGCGATCATTGAATGCTTATACTCTTTTCATGGTTTAGTTAATTTTAATTTATTAATATTTTTATTTTATAGTATCACAGTGTAAAAAACATGCGATCTTTTCTCTCCAATTTTACTAAAATGAAACGTCTTGAACTTCTTAATAGTGGTGACAATTTTAAAATTAATTTGTACAAAGACGAAAGTTTACCATTTAATATGATTAATAGTGTAAGTAAATATTTTTTAAACCATTTTTGCCTTCTTATTGTTAGAATGATTTTACTGGACCATACTCCGTTTCTAAGCAATTAATTTTGGATCTTCTTTGTGCTGGATTACTACGTACTTCATTCATTAGAATAAGTCATGCTTTAGAGGAATTGCCAGATGAAATACTTAAACACTTGATAAATCCAAAAGGTATAAAATTTTTTTATTGAAATTTAGGTGATCCTATAGTTTACTCATCCCTAGAAAAAAGTAGGGAGTGCTTTTTCGATATTTTTGAGCGTTAAAACTCAAAAATGCCGAAAAAGCATTCTTAAACATTTTTTCTAGGGACCAGTAAACCACTAGAAGATTACCAAAATTTTATAAACTATTGCCGTTTTTATTCAGCTTTAGATACTAAATTATGTCCGTCAACTTCAAACTTAAGCATCTCGAAAGTGGAAGTCGACGAGTCTGCAGCGACTTTTCGTTAGCTTTTTTAATTGGAACCTAATTTAAAAATTTTTAACAGAAAAGCATCTAATTACTTTGCTTTCCATTAATGCGGAGAATGTTGAATTTTGCAGTTTTTGGGAGAATCTTATTTTTGAATGCAGTTCATCCAAAGTGTAATTTTTATAATATTTATACTCGATTAACTTGCAATTATTCTTAGACCTCCAATTGTTATTGAGCGTACAAAGAAGATTTTAACCAAATGTAGTCTTGACATGGAATCGACAAACAATTTTCGCGACAATTTCAAAAGTTATATACAATTTCTGCTTCTTTGCTGCTCAAATCTTGAATATCTGGAATTTGAATGTACTTCAAACTCTACTTCTCCCAACGACTATATTATAAATTTGGAGGCCCTTATAATTTCAATTATAGAAGATCTCAAACATCAGCATCGCGGTAGTAAAAATTTGAAGATACGAATTGAATTCACTGCAAATTTCGAAGAGGTTTTATTCGAGGTTGCTTTAATTTGATTTAATAAGGTATATATATTATATTTTTAAATTTTTAGTCGATTTCGAATGAACATAAAATTTTCACGTTGGGAAATTCATTTGTCATTGATGAATTATCTGATGATTCTCCATACTTTGCACGTAGTATAAAATTTAATGATTCAATTGGGAGACAGCATGAGTGTTTATTTCAAATCTTCTCTGAAAAGCCAGATCTTTCTGATTGTATGTTTTATAGAAATTGTGCTTTTCAATTCCAAAAAATATTTTTTGACAGATAATATAACTAATTATGATTATGATGGAGATTATGATAACTATGGAGATTCTGATCATACTGAAGATTATGATGAATATGACTTCGATGAATATGAGTATTGAACATTAAATCTCATTAATTTATTCTGATGATTTTTCATTGTTTTTCCGTTTCTAGGTATAAATTATTTTATAATTTTCAAGTATATCAATTTTTCGTAAATTTCTCGGCTTCTTCTAAGAGCGAAATTCTCAATTCCTCTGCGTCGAGTTTTTCGATTGCGTCTGCATCAACCCTAACAGCTTGAGAACCACACGGTTCATTATTCGAGTCATGGTATCTAAAAACGATACTAATATAGTTGGTTTGCCTTACAAGCTCAAATAGGGATGTTCCAATGCCTCTTTTGCTGAATATCGTTTCCATGGTGCAATTTGCATCATCTTGCGTTGAATTTTATTTAGGCTGATAATACGCATTTATTTACCTTGTTGATCAAGTTTAGTCCTTTACTCGTTGCGTTAGGCAATATTGTACTCCACGGTAAAGGCGCTCTCTGTCCACACTTATCGATCCAAACGCGTACCGAAAAATAAAAAAATACTGTGAAAATTTACGCAAGGTACCAGCTCTGAGCTGATTTGTTGCATCACCTAAGTTTAGATTGTGAGTTAAATAATTTAAATGGTTTTACCTCAGCTTCTGGAGTTCCAAGGTAAAAAACTATCATCTTAATTTCAATTTTTTATAATTCTCAAAGATGTTACTTTAATTTGTGTAGCAGCGTCCCTTCCAGGGAACAATTGCCTGCGTTGTATCATCTCCGCAAAAATCGTTCCAACTGACCAAATATCTACCCTGTCAATTTTCTGATTAGATTGGACTTTCATTAGTGAGTAACATTGTGCCGTAATCAATAAGTGAAAAAAGTAACTCTGGCGCGCGGTACCACCTTGTAGACACATATTGCTGTATCAAATGATTAACTCTTTATTTCTAAATAACAAACAGTCATAATTGTCCCCTCTTCACGAGCACATTGTTCCACGGAACGTGCTAATCCAAAATCAGCTCTAAAAAGAATAAATTTCTTAAACATGCAATAATAAGATCATAAATACATTTTTAGTAGACAGTCTCCATTTATTAGTAAATTGCTCGGCTTTAGATCCCTATCGATAAAATATAATATTCGTGAAATATAATGATACCGATGAACAATGCCGACAGAGTGCATGTACTACAATAGTTTTTATTTAAATGGGATGTGATCGTTTAGATACCTTTAACCCGCATAGTATTTGATAAAGAAAGTACTGATTGTGTTGGTCCGTTAGTTTCTGAGAAGAATGTATTATCTGATGTAGATCAGTTTCCTGAAAAGATAAAAAAGAAAGTTTTTAGTTATTTGTTACCATCAAATCCATCACTAGATAGATATCTTTGCCTTGAACATCATCTCCAACGGAAAAAAGGTTCAAGACCTTTATGATATTTTTATGCCTTATATCTCTAAGGATTCTAACTTCTCCTTAAAAAATTTTTTTCTTGTCAAAATAATAAAAATAACTCAAAGTGCGTTTCACCAATGTCAAAGCAGAGAATGCCTTAGTAATCTTCTTTATTGCTACTTTTGAGTTTGTCTCCTGTTAATTTGAAAAAAATTCAATTATTTTCTAAAACTCAACCATATCATGCGCCATCGCCACCGAGCCATACGCTCCTGAACCAATGTTTTTCCCCAAAACATATCTGAAAGAACAATGAAAATTTAAAAGCGTCAAATTTCACTGGACCTATCTTTTAGTTGAGAGCTCATCAATTTAGAACAACAAAAGAATTAGGTAGGTTTGTTCAGTGGGACGAATCGATGATCTTGTTCATTGGGACGAATTGGGATTCCACTATTGTTTGAATCTGGGCCGTTTCCGTTAATTGAGTCTGGACAGTTCTTAAATTTTTTAGTTACTACAAGATATAATACAGAAATAAATGTCTTCAATTCCTGAAAAATTTCTTGGAAAATTTAAACATGAAAAAAGTGAAAACTTTGAGGAATATTTGGCTGCTCGTGGTTTGTAATGGTTTTCCCTTATTTACATATGAACAATCTATTTTAAGGTGTTTCTTGGATTTTCCGTAAATTAATTTCTTTCACTTCAATTACTAAAGTCTTTGAAAAATCGACTTCAGCTACAGGAAAATATGATGCACACAATATTAGTTCTAAGGGTGATACACCATATATTGGCTGGACGCTTGACGAAGAGTTTGAGGCTAAAGGATTGGATGGAAAACAACACAAGGTTACTAACTTTTCTTAGATTAAGATATGTCATTTATTACTTAAGATCACATTTCAAATGGATGGGGAAGATACACTCACTGAAAAGCACATAAGATTGGATAAAGAAGGTAAAGCTGAACCTGAGGATGTTGGCGAAGTCTATCGCTACTCAATCGACGACAATGACAAATTGGTTTTGGTAATATTTTTTTTTCTCAAATTTTTTTCTCAAGTTACACGATATTCCAAAGTTTTAATTTGAGTTATTCTACTATCCTAAAAACTAATATGTAGCTCTCACTTTTAGACACTTGAGAAAGATTCTATTACTGCCCGACGCTTTTTTACAAGAGTTCAATGAAGAAAATTTAATCATGGGCAAAAATAACTTTGATTATTAAATTTGTTTTAAAATTTTCTAATTTATCTTTTCCTTCATTTTATTCTGCCTTGATTTTTTAACATGGACTTTCGCTTTTGCTAAAATAAATTTTATTTTTCAAATTTACATATCTTAAATTTTAAACATTCGAGATGTGATTAACCCGTTAGACAATCAAATAGACTAGTAAAAGTGATATCCATTTCTGAGCTTTCAATTTTACTAGCCGTAAAATATTTTGACATTTCCTTCAATGTTTTGTGCCGGAGTCATTACAGCATTGGTACCATTTATAGCTAAAGAGTAAGGTTGTTCCTCGAGCGTTGGTGATAACTTGGGAAGATGATCATGTATGACTTGATGATGATTGTCATACATTGGAAGGTGGAGACTAAAATGTTAAAATTTCAGTGCGTTCATTATCGGTAATTGCTTAAACACCTCTCATCCTCAGAAAGTCTTGTTATCATTGTAACAGCACCAGAGAGTCTGTGCTTGTCCAGGATTGTTTGTTTAGGTTTCGATTGCCTAAAAGGTTGCCTCAGCCGTGGTGTCCTTGTTGTATTCGTCTCGCCGGCAAGTCGACTACCTGATTGATGTGGATATCGGTGATGAACGCCCGTTCCTCGGTGGCTACTTTTCTGCCTTTTACGTCGTCTGTGTGATTTTCGGCGTAGATCTTCCCTGGCATGATTTTTTCTCTTCAATTTTGATTTGAAGAGAATGCAGAAGAACGAGAAAATGAAGAGAAAAATTACTCCAGACACTATATAGGCGACTACAATTGTTCGCATGTCTGTCAAGTTGTCGATTCTGGAGCCTGAGTTACAGAGTTAAAAAAAATTCCAAACAGAGCAAAACGATAAAGATCAGTCATTTTTCAGTTCAAAAATTCTGTAGTTTCTGAATTAGTTGAACAGCAACTTTCCAAAAATTTAGTAAACTTTCAAATAACACTTCAAACTTAGAAGAGGAAGTTGAATTTATTCATATATGTATGTACAAATACTTGTAGCAATATCTATTAAAATCTAATTTTGAGTATCATATATTGGCATAATATTGTAGGGATGAAAAGGTGCATATCAACTGGAAAATTAGTGGCAGCATTTTGTCTCCAGCCTTCATAACCACCGAAAGTACCGAAAACACAAAGTTACAAGTATTAGTAAGCTCACATCAAAAATATTATAATTTAAAAATAACTTACAATGTGCTTCGTCACTATCATCATTCTCGCCACAATTATCTTCACCATTGCAACGTAACTAGAAAGAATCAACGTCAGTTCAATTATATTTACATCTATCTCATAAACCTGGGCATCAATGCATAAACGTGAATAAGAACATAAATAGAATTGTTCTCCTGTACATTCGCTATCACCTTAAAGATACTTTGTATTTAACTTTAAAATTTTTAATTTCCTTACTTTGAACGCGACGAACTTCTGTCCATGAAAAATTAAATCCTTGAAGGCCATTTACTTTGTCAGGGGAAGTTAGAAAACTAGTAAAAGTTTTTACAATAGAAAAAGATACTTTAATTAGGTATATCACCTCATTCGTATAGAATTTGATGGGGAGACAATCTAAAAACAAAATTCACTAAGAATTCCAAATAATTTACCGGGGGAATCATTTGAATGTTTTCTCCACAAAGTTGCAAATCCCTGATAAATAAACCAAATAATACAATATTTTTGAAAGAAATCTAACCTGCTACGATTTTGCATATCCAGATGGACACGAAATACAGCACTTACAAAATACGAATTACAAAATAAATATTTTTATAAAACCTCATACAGTCAATTTTCTCGTCTGTCATCTGTCCCTCAATATTGAAAGCATTAGGGCGAAGTAATACCTGATGGCCTGATCTAACGCGTATTTCCCAATCACATTGTTTATTTGTACCATATTTAACTGGATAGCCGGGAGATTCTGTTTTAAAATACTATAAATAAATAGAAAAAATATTAAAAATTAACCAAAATGTCCAGTAGTCAACTCTTCATTTGCTTGGATTAATTCACCACAATGGCGTTTATCCTTACGATGAGGGACCTCTTCTTCAAAAGCATCACGAATTTCATAATGTGCATCGAATCCATTAGCCGTTCCAAACCCATCAGAATGAAAAACAACACGCATTTCGTGTGCTCCAAAAGATGAAATTGTTGGTCCAGGGAATACATTCCAACAATGCTGTGCCTGAAGTCGAAGTGTTTCTGAGCCATCTGATTCGTAAAACACATCAAAAATTTTTAGCCAGTCATTGCATCTGGAAGGGATAAAAATTTGAAGTATCCGAGAAAAATATTTTTTACTCTTTGTCCTCAAATAAGGCGAATTGCTATAAAAGTAAAAAAATTTTAAATTATTTTTAAGAAATACCTTGAAATGCAGCAAAATTTGTTTGTCAGATATCCCTGCGATGTGTTGTTGAGTACTTGCCTGTTTTAAGTAAAAAAGGATTAGAAGCAAAAATATTTTATAAATAATCAATTCATACATGAACAATGTGATAGGTGCATTCAGTATCTAACGGGTAGTTAGCCTTAAATAATTAGTCTTGATGATTTTATTCAACAAAAAGTTACTGGATATCGTGGACTATTGAATGATCCAGTGGGATCGTGAAAGCGAAAAGCACATCGATTAGATCCACCAATACTTTCTCCAGCAATACCAAAATCTAAATGGATTAGATGTTCATTATTAAGTTCATTAACTGATAAAATCAATTAAGGAATTTTATTCACTGACTTACCAGTTTTAAATTCCACTCGAGCTCTGAAGATGAGGAAATTTTAATTTCAGAAACAAAATACCTAAATCCACGTGGATTCGTTGATGATTTATTTGAAGTATCGTGAGATTGTTCCATTGAGCTAAAAACTAAAACAATGCGTGGTCCTTGACTAACGAAAGATGGATTGTTCCCCTAAAGAAGGATAATTTAGATTTTTATACATCATCAAAGAACCTGCGAAAGTGTATCACATAGAATAGCATCGTATGAACTTTCCTCACTGTTGGTTAATGCTGACTTGATCTTAATAGCCAAATTAATAATTTATTTTTGTTTCAATTATTAACTGATGCTGCAGTTGTGGCAATACCAACAAATGCACCATTGTTGCAATCGTCATTCCCTGAAGGAGAATGTTCCATTGATTTAGAGGTATTAGGTGCGAGGGCACTAGACAAAGGCAATATATTTTCAATGGAGGAGGGTGACATAGCAACAGCTTCAAAATGGAGTAACACTTTTTCAAGATTCTGATCGCTTTGAAGACCGTCAAGTACATATGTGCATGTTGTATTTAATGGAAACATTTCCGGAAACTAACAAATTTAAATTAATAAGCTAAACAAATTACGTTTGGCGATTGGATATAATGAACAGATTCTCGATTGGAGCGTACCTTTTACGTAAAATTTTATAATTAAATTTATTAAGAAAATTATCACCCTAATGTCACATTCCGATCCTCTAATATGTGAAATTCTCCTCTGCGGGCCAATAAGCCGAACAATATCCACAAAACGAGTAGAGAATTCGTAATCAATTGCAAAGCTGAAAATGAAAGTTTATAAAAGTATCAGTTTTAAAAAGACTAACCCTCTCATGTCATTTTTTGGCGGTTCTGTAGTATTAAATTCGAGCAACAATGTCGTGCCAAATGAAAAAAGTTCTAAACGTTGTTGAAGGCCTAAAAAATTCAATTAAGAATTTATATAGACCTTTAAAATTTGATACCGCATAGCTTTCGTAGGATAGGTTCAGAGTTTGTATCACCGTCATATATGGTCAACGAGTCATAAGGACAACTAGAATAAAATTAAATTACAATAAAGTTAGAAATATTTACTGTTCGCCGCCAAAGTAAACATCAAAATCCCTAAAAATTAAGGAATATATGTATTAGCCTAGAAGAAAATCAAACATACTTAAAATAAAGACGGATTCGTTCTCCTTGTTTCCCCCTCAATAAATAAACGCAATGAAAATTCTAAAAATAATTTAAAAGTTATTAAATTCTTTGAAAAACTAAACGCTTGGATAAGCACCCGGATATGTAGGAGACAGAATTGTGCCTTGATTTCTATTTGATGACTCAATAAGAAAAGCACATCCTTTTCCATCGGATGGACCAAATGGAATGCCAGGTACGAATTGAGCTTCAGGAATGAATTCAAAAGTGCCAGCGAGAACAAAAGGATCACCTCGACGACGACCAATACGAGAATGAAGTACAAGAACAAGAACTTGGTGCAAACTTGAAAAATTCAATAAAAAAATTTAATCAGGTCCAATAAAATACTACCTTATTCGAACATTTGGTGCAACCGTTCCACAGTACCGAGCATCTAAATTCGCAGAAAGCAGGTCCTCTGTAGGGTCTTCCAATTCTGAGTAGACATCCACATATTCTGATTCACAACTTAAAAATAAAAAAATATAAAATCAAAAAATATCACGCACTGATTCGCAGTACCCGCTAATTGAAAAGAAGTGAATTGAAGCCTCACACGTTCTCTTGGCTTCGCCATAAACGTGTAAATACACTAAAAATAGAAACGTTAGCATCATAAAAATTTAAAAACAAGGGAGATTAATCTTGCAGAATATAAGTGAGATAAATGTGCGAGAAAGTTAATTTTAAACCCAATAGAATTTTTATTGTTGTAAAATTTACTCAATTTTATCCTACTTGAATGTCGTCTGGCAACGACTGATAGTGAACAGCACGTTCATTATCTTCGATCTCGTTGCTGTCATCAATTGAGATTGTTACAAATGGAGACCTAGTGATTTTATTATCATTGTCTTGTTCCATTATATCACTTTCTTCGTTTTCAATATCATCGTTAATATCAGGCGCCTTAAAATCAGTGATTGCCTCCTTTGGAAAAATTGGGAGTGAGAAATGACCCTGGCGAAGAGAAGCATCAAATAGATGATCACAATCGGTAAATTCTGCATTGAATACATAAAAAGAATTAAGTACGTATTAAAGGCCAATCCGTTTACAAGATATTTTTATTATACATATTGTTATTAAAACTTTCTCGCACAACATCTCAATTAATAATGGGTGAAATATATTCTGGAATAAAGGAAAATAAAATCAAGCCACCCTATTGATAATTAAAATACGTATTTACTTGTGATATTTGAAAACACCACGCAGCCAAAATACAAGAATAAAAAGGAGGATTAAACCAACGATGAGAGTAAAAAGCAAAGCAAATCTAAACAACAAAGGTCATGTAAAACTATTTCAAATAATAATCTACATGATTTCGCAGTCCAATGAACGGCAGAAAGGGCAATCTTCTCCTTGTAGAGAAGAATTGGCAGAAATAACTATTGCCTCTGGTTGCACATCTCCTGGTGCGCTGTTTAACGATACTCCACCACTTAATATTTTCGCATTGTTGAGGATTTTTTCCCGTTCTTGCAGTCCGCTGTTTGTTTGTTCTTGTTGTTCCTTTTCTTGCTGCTGATCTGCTAAAAGTAACATTCCATTTCCGCTCTGTTCCGTTGAAGGTGGAAGTAATTTTGCATTCGTAGTCATATATCCAACACCTTCCAAGGAGCATTTTTTAGAAGAGGAGGTATATGAAGATGAAGTTCCAACTATATTCTGATGAATACGATTATGCCCCGTTCTAACTGCCGAACTTTCAAGTACTAAAGATTCTGAGCCTTGAAGAAGTGGTTGAAGAGAAAATGATTGTGATAAAGAATAAGGTGAGATTGCACTTGAGGGAAGAGGACGAGGTTGATGAGGCACTGCCCTTATCACAGTAGTTACAGGAATATTAACGTGTTTTTGTTGATGGTGCCCGATTGTAGAAGAAACCTGTCGAATTTCAGAAGGGCAGAGTTGGCTTGTATTTGAAGACGAAGCGGCATTATTCATACTAAGCCGTTGCTCATTAACTGTTAAAGGTTGCGGAGATTCTATTTGTGTTGGTCTAGAAGACGCAGAACATGTGCATGAAGGCAGAGGATACGGCGGATTATCGCCACTTTTTTTTGAAGAGTTGGAATGAATTTTAATGGAAGAATGGGAACTAGTAATACATAATAAGAAAAATCAACAAGGAAATTCTAAAACTAATATCTTAGCTTTTTAAATCGAGTGAAATGAAATTGACTAAAATATTTTTCAATCGATAGAATTTCTTCATACGTCGGAAAAAATTGAAGTCTCACATCAAAACAAATAACAACGATCAACCAGTCAATTTTTTGATTAAATATAAGCCTGTGCAAACAAATGAAACGCCGCCTCACTCTCCCTCACAAACTCAGTCAACGCGCATAATCGGTAAAAGTAAACGGATTGGCCACTAATTCAAAGTAAAAATAAAATAACCTACGGAAGTCTGCCTCGATTTCACCAATCATCTCCATGTTCTCTCCAACTGTTTGATCATGATTTTGCTGAGGAAATGCTGATGGCACAACTGTCGAATAAATTCCACCAACAAAATTAGTAAGTATTAAAATTGATGTTAAAGAAGTTTTTATGCTGCTATAATTTTCATCTATGGTAAATTTTTGATCTTTCCTCACTCTTCTCATTGCAGACTCCCATGTGGATTAAATATTGTCCTAAATATGTACAAGTTAAATAAAATGGCCCTGAAAATTATCTTGAACGAAAAACTTGCAGTAAAAATTTTTGATAGAGAAAAATTAATAAAATTTAATTTTACGATTTTTTAACTTTATTATATTTTTATGCAGGATAAAATTGACAGAAAAAAACACATTGTAAAAATTGTGCAAAAGATATAATCTAAACATTGTTAAAATAAAACGGCAAAAATAATCTAATTTAAAGACAAGTATTCTTTTTCAAGCTAGGAAACACAAATTTTGTGGTCGGGGAATCCTTATGGGGAATAAACTGTGTTGAAGGAATTACAAGGATACGAAAAAATAAATTTAATTTTTGCAAAAAAAAGATAAATTCATTGATCATTCAGCCACCCTAGATTTAACCTAAAGAACAGAAAAAACTAATTCCTGTGACAGCTGTCGCCATAAGTCATTGTTAAAGGTCATCTTTATATGTACTATAATCCCTTCAAACGAAACACTCATTGAGTAAGAAAGAAAGTTAATAATCCTCCCACTATTGTCTCATAATTCGAAAATGAAAATAACCACCTAACTTTTAAAAAATAATCTATTTTTAAAGAAAATCCTAATAATTGTTAAAAGACAAATTTGATACATAGAAGTGTTTTAATAAATAGAAGAACAAAAATGTACATATATACATATAATATTAAATTTTAAAAATTTGAAAATCAACAACCCTTGCCATTAAGTACCACGCTTCTCACTATAATCATGTGAAGGTAACAAATAGTAATTCGCCTTCAAAGCAGCCGTTACAAGCGAAAGTACTCTCGATTGAAATTCATAATAAATCGTTGTGTGAAAGAGTCCATTGAACAAAATCAGTGAATATTCAGCCAGCGCAAAGAGTGTATACATTCCAGGTTCGCAATAACGATTATGTCTATAAAAAAAGTAGAGCGCAAAGAACAAAGAGATAATTTGTCCAACGCAACAAAATGCTTTGGTTTGAAACGAGATTTCGCCCTGTAAAATAAGGGATATAGTATTTCCAACTTTACTTTTATTCAAAAAATTACAATTTTGCTGGAACGTCTTCTACCAGATAGGTCAAAAAGCCAAGTAACAATCACCATATGTAAAGTGCCACATATAACGAATGCGTTAAACATAAGCATATGTAAAACTGGAAAAAAAGATAATAAAGGATCATAACAAAAGGCTAGCTTTATGTTTTTTACTTACAATGGTCTTCAACAGAAGAAATCATTGCAAGAAGAGTAAGTGACACAATCTCGATAACCTGAATATAAAAATGTTTAAATTTGTAATAACATTTGTTAGACTCGCATTGAGTGCACAAGCAAGATGACAAGCCCAACGGAATCTGCTTAACAGCGGAAGAGGCCACAGGCTAGAGCTGATCAAGTAGTTTCTATGAAGGTTATTTTCAGATATTTCAATTTCATAATAAAACAAACCTGAAAGCAAAGGCCATTGCAAGACGCGGCGTGCATGAAATTCCAAGGAGAAATCTCCAAATATAACGTTCAGGTGCATAGGCTACCACGGCCGAAAGTGACGGTAGCCAATTTGGAACTCCACAATGCGTTGATACAGCCTAATATAAACAAAAAATTATAAGCATAAACTTTTTTTAAACTAACCATTTCATAATGAAGAAAAATAGAAGTTGAAAGGCATAAAACAAATGCTAACATTGGACAACCAGTCAACATAAAAACCACAACATGAAAAGGAATAGAGAGCACCTAAAATAAAGCTAAGGAATTTTGTGGACAAAAATGATGTTGAATCTAATCTTAAACCTATCCACCAATGATTTTAAATCTAATATTATTTGATAACCTCCTCCTCTCCAAAAATATGCATCAGCGACAAGAAATATTGGAAAAGTTAAATTCAATCATTAAAAGAAATTACAAAAGTAACAAACATAATTAAGAATAAGACGCAAATTAAAGAAAAATACAAGATTTAGAACTATTTAAATATTATGCTAACAATAAATTCTTAAGATTTATGACATTTTTGCAAAAAATGATAAATAACAAAAAACTAAAGATTGAACTAAATATTCTACTTGTATTTGCATTTCCAAATAACATCATAAGGAGACAGCCAATATTGACAACCCTAAAACATGAAAAGATACTAGGAAATAAAATAAAAATATTTTGAACCTGCATGTTGTACTTAATCATAGTTTCCCAGTCGAATTTATTTTCATTTTGTTCTTTTATTTTAACTTCAACATCTCGTCTTCTTTGCAATAATTCATCGCTAACAAATTCAATAGGAAATGGGAAACGCTGCAGACAAGTCATTAATATCGCACGAGCCTAACAGTAAATATGTATACTAAATTATTTAAAAAAATAAACCTCAGCTTCAAGTATGTAACCACCAACTTCAAGAATTATACGGCCTGCACGAACAGGCGTCTCAAAATGATGGATAGGGCCTTTCCCACCACCGCGTTTTGTGCCTCTTAAACGTCGAGTCCGTGGTAACCTATTTTGGAATAGGTTTTAAGTTAAAAAATAATTACCATGGAGCATCAACACGCCAAACTGCAAATTGATTCTTCTTTAGCAATTTGTTGACATGCTCCTATAGAAAATTTGATAATTTTAAAAAAGATGTTAATAGCTAAATATCGAAAAGATAAAAAAAACTCACTTGAAGATACGCAAAATCAGCACCAGTTATGAAGCCACCACTGATAGCAGCAAGTCCAAATTGTTTGTGAATCAACTAACAATAAAATAAAATTTTCATACAGAAACAATACATAATTGATACAATATATTTAGAACACTTAATTGAAAAATATACCTCTGTGTGTATAGGTTCATAACCTCTTGCCTCAATCATACGTCTATTCAATTTTTTCTTAACCTCGCCAAGTGCTTCATCATAAACGGGTTCAGAAGGCATAGCAGGTAACTGAAATTTTCCATCAGGCGGAAAGACTACTTCTGAAATAGTAAAATGAAAATTAAAAACGGTTAAAAAACAAACTTTCGAATGTTACTGGATAATTATAGGAATTCCTGATTTGTTGTAAATATCGATAATTGGTAAGCAAAGATGTCACACAAATCCGGTTAAGTTTATTCATTGATATACGCTAAAGTTCACAACAGCTAAATAGACTGAAAAAAATCACAGAGTGGGACGAATCGGGGTAGAGTCAAATCGAAGTGGACGAATTGGATTGTGACGAATTGGGGCGCAGCTGAAAAAAGTGCTTAATTTCAAATTGCTAATTTTTACTTTAGCAATTCTTGAAATATATATTCGACTTGTTAATTCGATTCGTAATAATAAGATCTCCTAGATTACTTTTAGGTTTTACAAGTTTTAAGTTTGTTCTATGCTTTAACGCGTTTTTTTTATTTCAGGATTTGAATGTTTTTATAAATATTTTGATATTTAATGGCTATATTTTGATTTACCACAAAGTTCAGAATGGAATACGGAGTTCAAACACACAACAAATTTGCTTTTTTGGATGGTACATTAACATTAATTTTATTTTCTAATTTTATTTTATAGAGGACGTTAGTGATCCGGAGGAAACTTTGACAAAAGCAGAGGAAGAAAAAAAGAAAGCGGCCGCTGTTCCTCATAAGAAAATTTCAAAACCTCTGGTTTCTGCGAAAACTTTGGTCACTAAAGATGTTGCTAAGCCAGTCGTTGAGAAGAAAGATGGAGCTGATCAACCGCAAAGACAAACGGTTCGATTCGGACCTGGTGAGCGAGGTGGGGCAAATAATCGTGAGCCGCGTAATGATCAAGGAACAAAATGGATTGAAAATCGTCCGCAACAGCGTCGTCCTCCAAATTCGCAGAGTATATTTACCTATTTTAAACGTTATATTCGAATAAAATCTTATCAATGTTAAGGAGATGGTACTGGTACTGATGGTTTTACTGAAAAGCGCCTTACTAATGGTCGTCCGCCTCGTAATGATGGTGGTCAGAGGCGTGAAGTTAAAAGTGGTCCTGATGGTGAGCGTCCACCAAAAAGAGGTGGTCCTCAACGCGGAGTTGGTGGTGGTGGACGTGATGGAAACGATGGTGGCTTCCGTGATCGTAACTTCCGCCAAGGTGGACAGCGCCGTCCGCGAGTAAATGAAATCAAGGATGAAAACAGTATCTACTTTTATCTTTTAAATATAAGAAGTATTTTCAGAAGATGAGAAGAATGCTTTTGAAATAACTGAGCATAAGCCGGTGGAAGATGCTTTCGCTCCGAATGAGAAAATTGATGGCGATCAGAAGGAAAATGCTGAAAATGTTGAGAACGATGTTCCTAAGGATGAAGAAAAGGTATTGGTTGACCATAATCTTTAGTTCCTATAAATTTTAAGAAGAACGAAGATGTTGCGCCTGAAGAACAAGTTCCTCGCGGAAAAACTTATGAAGAATGGAAAGCTGAGCTTAACCAAAAGTCTTTGGAAGCCGTTCAGTTCAAGACTCGACAGGCAGGCGAAGGAGCTGATGAGAAGATTTATCAAAAGTTGGTTCCGCTTAAGAAGGATAAGAAATCGGCAGAGGGAGGAAAGAAGCAAGAGGACGACGAAATCGCTCAGCATGTAAATCTTAAGTAATCAATTTTAATTTCCTTTTTTGATTTTAGAAGGAGAAACGTGAGAAGATTATTTCTGTTGACCTTGCATTTGCGGATAAGCGCTCTACATTCGTTCGTCAGGACTTTGGTGGGGATGGACGCGCATATGGCGGTGGTGATCGGCAGAACCAGAAAGGCGGTCCTCGCGGATCTGCGCCTCGTAGCGGATTTCGGAACAACTATGGTGAGCTCATTCATCCCGTGTATCTCTAACTTTTTAAATTTTTATTAAAGGTGGTGCTGGTTCTTCAAGGCGTCCGCAAGGCAAATCTGCTCAGGATGGATTTATGTTAGAGAGTGATCAGTTCCCTGCACTCGGAGCCCATTGATTGAGGAGAAATTTTTAAATGATTTGATTTGTCTGCCGTGTTCTCCTGTTCTCCCACACATATTATATTCTCATACGAAGATTCTGGGATTTTAGTACTCTGAGATTTTATTGAATGCAAAATATTTAACCCAAAATCTTCGTTTCTCGTTCTTTATTTTATGAAACAATCCCAAGGAAGATGGAAGTTGAGAAGTCAAATAAAACCGGCACTACCTACATTTTGATCTCTTCTTTCCCTTCCGATTTTATTTTGTTGTTTCATCGTTATCCTTAATACAACCGCATGGAACTATTTTTGTTGACGTATACTTTAAAATCAATTTTTATTCAATAAACAAATGAACCCTTTTAACATTTCAAAATTTTTAATCGACCTCTGAACCCATTGTTTCTTTAGATTTTTGCTTCCTCGGATCTGCCGAACATAAGATGAATTTTCTACGACTTTTCTCCATTTCATGTCGCTGGAATTTAATTTGTAATAGATGGTTTCGAAATTAAAGTTACCTTCAGAACCCACTCGTATTCTCCACTACGAGTGTCATATGCTCCTTTCTGTAGCCATTTAAGTCTTAAGGTGATTCTAGGCCCTAATTCGTGGAGTGCTGCCTTTGTTCCTTCTTTTTTGAATTCATATCTAGGAATTAGAGAAGTTATTAGATTCAGAAATTGATAATTGTTTTTTAGTTTTACAAAATTCTTTAAACATAAAGTAGATTATCATACCGATGGTGTCTAAAGAATACGTAATCCCGCTGATTATGCAAAGTAATGACTCTTCTGCCGATGAAGTCAGGTTTTTGTGGAAAAAGACATTCGAACATTCGGGAAATTGTTTTTCCTACTCTCGTGCGGAAGTTGTTAAGAATTATCTCGGGATAATGGTCCGTCGATTCTCCGGCATCCTTAAAGAGACTATGTTAAATTTATTAAACCTTTTCGTTTCATTAACCTTAATTTCTTTTGTATACTTCAACGAATTTATTTTGAAATAAGCCGTTGGTCCTTCAGGAAGGTGAATGAGAGCAATTCCATTTGGCCTTTTACGATCTTCATGTACAACCTAAACATTAATCAAAAGTTAATAAAAAAATTATTTTACAATGATGTCAGTAAACTTGTGCTCATTTGCTTGCTTAACAACTCTCTTCATGGCTACATTTTTCCGCGAAAAAATTTCCACGCCTGGTATACACTTCTTAAGCTCAAAGCACAGCTTCCACGTTCGCTAAAAATTAATTTATAAAAGTAATAATTAAAAATAAATTACGAGTTTTGCTCTAGGCGAGGTTGTAACCAAGATTTTCGGGACCAACTCGCTTTTAAAATGTTCGCTCATTTCATCATTTACAAGATCGTCAAGAACCTTAAAAATAATCCTTAATAATTTAATATTTTATTAATAACCTCTTCATCATCTGAATATACATACGTTTCATCGGGTTCTTGCATACTCTCAATGGTTTTCGGAACTTGTTTAGGGACAGCCTCCTCCCCATGCTTCTCACGCTCTTCCTCTCGCTTCTTCCTTCTTTCACGTTTTTCCTATAAAAAATATGTCAGTTACAACTAAATAAAAACTCATACCTTATCTTTTTCCGCTCTAATCTCAAACCCTCGCTTCCGCGGCTTCCTAGTTTCTGGCATCTTTCTGATCAAGAAAATTTAGAATGTCAAATTACGGAGTCATGTAAAATACCGAAAAAGGTAAAAGATAACTTGTTGAATGAAACTTGAAAATTATAATCAGGTTTATGAGCATAAAATTTTTATAAGTGAAAAATTAAATTGGCACATAAGTACTATACATGAAAAAAGAATACAAATCAATTATAAATATTTATTAATATAAATTTTAAAGATCTACCCAAAATTTTACTCAATTTCGAACGACGCTTCTGTTATTCCACTTATTCCAATTACAAGTTTATCGCCAGAAACACATTGAGAAACACCAGACGGAGTGCCAGTGAGTACAAGATCACCTATTAATAAATGTATTTATCGTGAAGGCTTTGTAAAAATCCTTACCCGGTTGTAGAGTAATAGTACGAGTTATGTACTCCAAAAGCGTCGGTATGTTGAAAATCATACAATCAGTCTTTGACTTCTGACGAATTTGACCATTAACTTAAGAATAAAAATATAAAAGGAATCTAATAAAAAAGTACCAACCTAAACAATATATTTCTAAATTATGAGGATCCGTTATTTTCTTCTTATCAATAAACTCCCCAATCGGACAAGAAGAATCAAATGATTTTGCGAGGTACCAAGGATGTCCTGCTTTCTTCAGATCATCTTGTATATCTCTAGCAGTCATATCTAGGGCAATTGTGTAACCACCAATATAGTCGTAAGCCTTTTCCTTTGATATTTTCCGAGCATTTTCAGAGATAACAACGCCCAATTCTAACTATATGAAAATTATCTTGGATATTAGAAAACAAAACCTCATGATGTAGGCATAAACAATCAGAAGGTGCTCTAATTTTACCACCAACAAGAACAAAGGCGTTGGCCGTTTTAGCAAAAATGAGCGGTTTTTCAGGAACAGGATTGTTTCTGTCAATAAGGAAGTTAATGAAATATTTTCTTAAAAATCATACAATTCCAAGGCATGTTCTCGATAATTTCGGCCAACGCAAACAATTTTCCGTCCAAATTCGTAAAACTTTTTTAAATTATTTGAAGCCATCTATCTGTAAATAAATTTCCAATTAAGATACATGAGAAATATAAAATGGATAAATATCAAAATCGTCGTGTACCGGTACTACAATTAACAAAAAATTTATTGCTTATTGTTAGAAAATATTCAAAAAATAACAAATTGGAATTTATACATGATAAAATTACACATAAGTGCTAGAATCAATTTAAGGCGATCTTTGGACAAAGAATAAATAAAAGCAAAGAAACCAGATTAATCAACAGAACCAGCAAAATATCAAAGAAAATCACAACACAAAATAAGGAAAATAATTGAAACAGATGAATTTTTATTATTTTGGAGGGATAACACATTGATGACAATTTTCCATTTCAGGCTTATAACCTTCAATCTGCACAGTTGATTCATGAACATTAAAATCTCGCCTAAGCATTGTTGTTGTTGCTTTCAGTATTTTTTGTGAGTCAGCGCTTGGATCAATTTCCAAATGTACAGATATCGCCACTAATATTGAAATTATTAGAAAATAAATAAATTAGTAAAATCTACCTTTATTCATTGTCAACGCCCAAATTCTAAGATCATGCACTTTTTTGACCTTAAATTGAATTTATTTTAAAAATTATTTGGAAAACTTATAAATTCTAACCCCATCAATCCTTTCCAAAGCATCGAAAACCAATCTAAAATCGATATTCGAGGGTCGGCCTGAAATAAAATCATGATTTTTCATTTAGAGTATGTATAATATATACCTTCCAACAAAACAACAAGTGCATCACGAACAATGTAAATTGTTGTGCTGTAAAATTTTTGTTAATTTCGTGCTAAATTATCTGTTGCTATGAACAGAAATGTCTTACCTAAGAACAATTATTGCGAAAACCAACGTGCATATTGGATCAAGTATTTGCAAACTTGGCTAAAAATAAATTATTATTAAAGTCACCTGCTTTAAAAAACCTTCCAGAAGATCATTAGACCGGCAAAAAGTACCCCGCAGCTTTGTATAAGATCACCTAATAGAAAATTTTCCAGAAAAAATTGAATAAAAAATCAACCTAAAACATGAATAAAGGCAGCACGCACATTAATATTTGCTTGATTGACAGAATGTAATTTTGTTTCGTCGTTGATGTTTGGTTGAACGAGAGGAAATCGTTCATCCTCCTCAGAAAAATTAGGGTCAACATTCGAATACTCAGAATCAATCTCATTTCTACGTCTACCACCATTTTCGTGAGCGTGTGTTGTTCCGTTATGTGAGTGAGAATGTCCACCAAAATAAAGCAGAAAGCCCATTCTATTAAATAAATTTTAATAATTTAATTTTTTTAAATTTACATGAAATTCACTCCTACTCCAATTGCAGCGGTTATACTCATTATAGTAGCATCAATATCATAGTTTCCTGTTATCATACGGTCAATCGCTAGATAAACTAAATAAAAGAAAATATACAATGCGAAAAATATAAATAACCTAAAATTCCAGTAACAACCCAAATAAGGCATATTGATACAAAGGCGCCAAATACTTCTAAAGATGAAAAAGGATTAACGTTTATGAAAATTAAAACCTGCTCTATGCCATCCAAAACTCATTCTTTGTGAAGCGGGACGGCTTGCAATATAAATTGAAAATAAAGAAATTAGCATGCTCGCTAAATCAGTTAAAAGATGCGCTGCATCAGTAATGATCTAAAAACTAAAATAAGCATTGACTATATTTAGAGACACAAACAGCTAGTGACTGAGCCCATATACCGCCAATAACTTCACAAATCTAAAAACAGAATTTTTAGAAGAAAGGAACTTGCAAAATTTTTAAAATACCATAAACAATAAGCAAACTCCAATTGACAACCACAGCACTCTGGTAGCACGCTTGCTTATTTCATTAGCAATTGGCTCATTCTCAAATCTATTGTGGCAATGAAAAGCATCTGAATTGCCGTTAGCCATTATTGTTGTAGGTAAATTCGAAGGCACAGAGGTTTGAGGTGGAGGCATTTGATCAAAGGAAGTAGAAGCACCAGAATTAATTACAAAATTACCCCTTAAATGAAAAATTTAAATAATTGACATTTTCGCCATCGAACATATTTAATGGAGAAGTAGAAAATTGATTTGTACCATTCTCCGTAGCTGTTATCGACATCACTGCTTCTTTGCTCATTGTGGTCGTCCCATACGATTGCTAAAATAAAAAGATAAGAATTTTTAGGAAACACCCTTCCTATCATTAATATTTTAACAATTGTTTTATCAGTAAATTTGGGAACATTTGAGTTTCGATGAACAGGTCAAATATATTGAGAAAAGCAGTTAGATATTATTCCAACTCACATAATTTCCTAAAAGTCGTTTCATTAGTCATTAAAAAATATGATAAGGGAGAGGCATGAGACAAAAACATGAGACAAAAAAAAGGGAATAAAGGAAAATCTCTATTACAGTATTTTATTACAATTAAAACCTGGTAACCTATTATAATTGAATTTTTTTGAAAAATTAGCTTGAATGATGAGGCAATGTTGGAAGGATCCAGCGATCGCGTAAAAATTGATGCATTCTTAAATGAGAAAGTGGCACAAACTTGCCTGAAAAAGATTACAATTTAAAATTTTCAAAAAGAAAAGGTCACAGAAAAAAATAATCAAATATGTAGCATCTGGATGTGATAAAGCTTGTTGCAACATAATCAAGATATGTTAAGACTCAAATGCTTAAGACTCAAATAGAAAATAAAAATTTAATGGGATGAATTGTCAATAAACAGAATGCCAAAAATAAAATTTAAAGACACACCACACGGAAATATGTCTAAAAATCCAATCCAATTCTCCCGGGCTTCTTCCTGATTTCCCCATAATTTAAAAAAAACCTGTCTTTTCATCCAATGAAGAAATTCTGATTTGTCCCTACACATCCATACCACATGTTGATTTCTTAAGATTGAGAAAAGAACAAGGACAAGAAAGACAAGGACAATAAAACAAGATTGTGAAAAGATAAGGTCGTTCGCGTGCGTATTTTTACAGCAAGCGATTTTTCATTTAAAAATCTAAAGATTTACCAGGTCATAAGTTGATGAGGAAAAACCAGAAGCTGTTGAGGAAGAACATGAAGAGCAATCCATCCAATCCAACAAGAGCAACCAGGCCAGTAGAGAAACTAGCTTAAAAAATACCCGCCCTCCCTCCCTCAATTTTTATTTAAACAAAAACCACACCGTAGAAGCAAGCCGCCAACCAAAAACATGCCACCAAACCACAAAAGCAAACCAACAACCACCAAGAGCAGCCAAGCAACTAGAAAAACTAGCTTTAAAAATACTCACCCTCCCTCCTCAATTTTTATTTAAAACGATACCGTAGAAGCGCCACCACCAAGCCATCACTCCAAGCACCACCAAGTCATCACTGCGAGCCACCAAAGCACCACCAAGTCATCACTGCAAGCCACAATGTACCACCTTCCAAGACCCAAAGTAAAATTTTAAAAATTAAAACTAGTTTAATTTTATAAATTAAAAAAAACCGCCACCATGAGTTAACCAACAGCATATTCTTTAACCAACAGCATATTCTTCAGGAGACAACATAAAAAAAAATAAGATTTATTTTTAAATTTAAAAAGTTAATATAAACTAGGAAAAAAATAACCGTTTAGATGAAGCCAACATGTAGAGCATTGGAGACGCACCAGGGCAGCAGGAGAACGGGCCTTTAATTTGAAAAATAAGAAAATTTTCAACAAATTTTAAAAATGTATTTTTTTTATTTTTGCGTGCTCGCAGCAAGGGTGAAACGATAAACGAATAAATATTTAAAAAAACAGATGAAATAAATAAAAAACAGATGAGATCAATGAAAAAAACAACAAAAAAACGTAATCTCCGGAGATTAACAAAAATCGATGAAAATCCAGAATTGAAAAAAAATTGACGCCAACTATATTTGAACTAATAATTTACGCTAACAATACAGAATTAATTCTGTTAACTTTCATTCTGGATAATGTTAAAGTGTCGATTTGTTGTTGTTTTGTCGATTAATCGAAAAATTTTTGGACAAAAATGCATCTTTTCGCAACTGATTTCAAAAATCTAAAATTCTTCGTCAAAAATTCTGTTTTTTCTTTATTAAGATTTATTATCAACTCGAGATTATTATCTAATTGAATAAAGTTTTCATATTTTACCAATTTTGGTCAAATAGCAATGGCCGGCGTTTTCGAATTGGAGCTAACTGATCATAATCATTTAACACCTGTTGGCGAATTTTCTGATATGGATGATGATGATGAATATGTAGACGTTGCTGATGTAAGATTTTGGAAAAGAATTTTTTTTATTAATTTTATTTTAAGGGAGAAATTTCAACTCCCCCTCCTTCCTCTTCTTACATGTATGTATTTATAAAAAATTTTATAAATTTTAAAGAAATGACCGCTAATTTTAGAAATGACCCGCAAGTTGAAGCCTTAGAACTTGGTGAACATGCCGAGCTTGTCAATCCTCCTAACACTAAAGTAGGTCCAGAGGACTTTCAATTGCTCAAGGTGTTAGGAAAAGGAGGATATGGAAAGGTTAATATAATTATTTATTTTTATTTCTTTGCTTTCTCTAGGTTTTTCAAGTAAAGAAAGTCTCAGGGACAGACCGAAACAAAATTTTTGCGATGAAAGTACTTAAAAAGGCAACAATAATTCGTAATCAGAAGGATACTGCACACACCAAAGCTGAAAGAAACATTTTAGAGGCTGTTAAGGTTTTGATTTTAACTCAATATTTTACTCATTTTACTTTTAGTGTCCTTTCATTTGCGATTTGCAATATGCCTTCCAAACTGGCGGGAAGCTTTATTTAATTTTGGAATATTTAAGTGGTGGAGAGCTTTTTATGCATCTTGAACGGGAAGGTATTTTTCTCGAGGACACTGCAGGATTTTAGTTTGTCGTCTGATTTTTTTCAAATTTTATATTTTTATCTAAAGCTTGGCAGAAATTGTTGTTGCTCTTGAACATCTTCATAAACAGGTTAATTTGTGAAAGGATTTTTTGTGATAGTTTTGAATTTAGGGAATAATTTATCGTGATCTTAAGCCCGAAAACATTCTCCTCGATTGTAAAGGGCACGTTAAATTAACGGATTTTGGTCTTTGCAAAGGTTTTGTTTTTAAATTTAAGAATCCTTTTTAAATGTAATTTTCAGAAGCTATTGAAGGTGACCAGAAAACACACACTTTTTGTGGAACTATAGAGTAAGTTTATTTATCAGTATTTAGAATAATGTATTTGATTATTTAGGTACATGGCTCCAGAGATTTTGATGCGAACTGGCCACGGAAAGGCTGTGGATTGGTGGAGTTTGGGAGCATTAACTTTCGATATGGTATTTTTATTGAACTGTTTAAAATTTTTGTTTTATTAGCTAACTGGTGGTCCTCCGTTCACGGCAGAAAATAGGAAGAGGGTATGTTTAATAACATTATGTCCAAATGCATTGTCATATTTCAGACTATTGATAGAATTCTGAAAGGAAGGCTTACATTACCACCTTATCTGAGCACAGAAGCGAAAGATTTAATTAAACGATTATTAAAAAGGCACGTCGACACTCGATTGGGTGCTGGGCCAACAGATTCGGAAGAAATCAAACAACATATCTTTTTTCGTCATCATATTTCTAATTGGGCAAAAGTTTATAAAAGAGAGGTTTATTTTTATTAATGCACAGAATCTTGGTAAAATACAATTTTCAGTTGGAACCTCCATTTAAGCCAGATATTACAAGCGATGAGGACACTTCACTTTTTGATACAAAATTTACAAAAATGACTCCGGTCGATTCTCCTACAGCCGATATTTCACCTACAGCTGATCCTTTTATTGGATTTACATATGTATAATTAGTTTTTTTTTTATTTTTCTAATTTTATGACTTTAGGTAGCGCCATCCTTATTAGAGCAAAGTGAGCAGCCGACTCTGATCAGACCAAGGCAATTTCGAAAAATGTAAAGGTTAATTTTTTTATTGTCTAAAACTTAGAAATGTATTAGAAATGCTCCAGACCGTACACTTGTTGGTTGTAATTCTTCTGGTAAAGAGGAACCAATGGAGTAATTTTGAATCTGTTCTCCCCTTTCTTAAATATAAAGTCTAAATTGTTAGAGAAAAATTCAAGTTTGTCAAATTTCCGAACATTTCAAATAAATAGTGGATTTGGGAGAACAGTTTTTCTCTTACTTTATATAGGAGGTGGCAAAAGCTCAAATTTAATTCTATGAACTACGAAAGGCCAAAAGTTTACGTTAAAAAGCAATTCGCTCATTCATAGAATAATCCCATCAATACTTTTCTATAAATAGTGTTTGTCCTCCACCCTTCTATTTAATTTTTTAAATTTTCATGATTTGTTGTTTATTTACTTTCTCAAAAATTTTGCCGCTTTCTACTAAATGCTATTTCATTTTTGTTTCATAGATTTAAAATAAGAATTCTATTCAGACGTTGTATACGTTGCTCACAATGATCATTTTAATGGCCTGTCCTCAAATTCTTAATCATATTGTAGACCCTTTATTATTGCTTCCTCAATATTCAAAAAAAAATTTAAATTGTACTCTGCTTTCTATTTCTTAAATTTTGAGGGTGCTTAAATATTTTTAATATCCCTTTAATTTCATTTTTATGAATGAGTTATGCATGAATAAATTTTGATAGTAATGTATGTGCGGAATTAATTTTCTTTTGATTCTCCATTCGATTCTCCATTTACACTGAATATAGATAATAGTTGATCGGATGAGAAATTTCCACGATCAGTAAGAAAACCAGAGATCAGATTTCCTGGGGTTATGTCAAAAGCGGGGTTCCACACCGGACAATTTGTTGGACAATGAGCTACTCCTAAAATAAAAAATTAAGAAGAATCTTTCAAAATAAAAATACCAGCCCAATGAGTGAGCTCTTTGCTAGGCCTTTCTTCAATATGAATTCCATCTCCACTTTCAAGCTTGGCGTTTACTGAAGCCACAGGTGTAACGATAAAAAAAGGAATTTTATGCTGGTGTGCACAAATAGCAAGAGAATAGGTGCCAATTTTGTTCGCAGTATCCCCATTCAACGCTACTTGATCTGCCCCTGAAATACTATCATAAATGAATATTAAGAAAAATAAACCAGCTAGCGCAACATTCACTTTAAAATGCCGGATTGCAGCAGCTGCCTGTAAAAAGTGTTAAATAAATCTGAAAAGTTGTTAATTTACATACCGCGCTGTCAGCAATTAGTAGGAATGGCACACCACCTTTTTTAAGCTCATATGAGGTTAGTCGAGATCCTTGGTTGTAAGGACGTGTTTCGAGCACCAACGCCAACTTCAAATGGCCTAATCGATGTAGCATCAGAACTACACCTTGAGTGGATAGATTTTAAATAATTTAGGTCTCATTTCAAACCAAGTGCAGTTCCAAAAGAGCTAGTGGCCAGCTGTCCGGTATTACAAATACTGAAAAAATTAGTTTATTTTAAACTTAAGAAATTAAAACGTTATCGCTACAAGGCGTTTCTTTTCGCCATTGTCGATTTCTAGGTTCCTTGTTGCTGATAAAACAGCATGAATTGAATTTCTTAGCAATAAATCATTTTCCATCCGTTCTCTTGCTTGCCATTCAAGGATGAAATTTCTAATCCTTTAAAATGATGTTTTTCATAAATAAAAAATTATTTTACTAACCCAATTTTCAATTTTATTACTCCTGCTCCCTTCAATCCTTTTGCATATTCTCGAAGTTCGGAAAATCCATTTGAGAGATTTATTGCGGTAGGACGAGCACTCAGAAGAAAACTGCAATTTTGTTCCAACTCCTTCAAACAACCTTCTACATCCCCTATAACATTTTTTCTAGACTGCTCCACTAACAAAGTCAGCTGAAATAAATTATTACTTGTCAGATTAATGAATAAATGTACCATTCCAACAGTGGCAATCAGCGGTGCACCTCGGACCTGAGAACAGAACTTAAGTTTCTGAACTATTTTTAAGCTACTAACCTTCATTTGTTTGATTGCGTCGAATCCATCATTAAGCGATCTTATGGGCACGTAAACGCTCCTGCTGGGAAGTAGTCGTTGGTCAAGAACCTCAAGATTAGAATTAATTTGTCGTATTAATATAAAAAACAAACCGAAAGTGTGCATTTTTCTGGGTCGAATTGGTGTGCTTTAAGCGGAAGCGGTTCCTTCGCAACAGACTTCCATTGATGAATTTTCGAATCAAAATTTTCTAGCTTAACTTTCATTTTCAGATTTGTTTTTGTTGCATTTTATTTTTTAGGAATGGAATCAAATTTCCAATGAAAAGGGAATCAATATCAGCGCTTAAGAGTGAATGGTGGTAAGATAACAACTTGGAAGGAAATGGCGCTTAAGCAAAGAAAATAACTGTCAATGTGTTATAATTAACACTGTGAAAAGTAATCTTTGTAATTTATAGTTAGTTTTTTTAAAGAGTTCCTCGGTCTACTATCACAAAATTAAAAAGAAAAACGAATTTTTTTGGTAAAATTTTTCAAAAATTTTAAGTGAATAATTAAATCAGAACAAATAAATCGCAACACCGGAAAAAATGAAAGGGAAAACATTAAAAATGCTTTTTTCATTTTTAAAACGTCTTTTAAAAATGTCCATTAACTGGAGGCGTTTGTTAAATCATTTTAACACATTAATGTCTTTAAAATAAAAGGAACGAGGACCATTAGTGTTTTTAAATTCGATTTAATTTTTTAATCGGAATTAAGAACAAAATATAATTCAAAATTAAATGGATTTTTTTCTCTACTTGGGTTTCGGTTTTAAAGTAAAAGAAACTTCAAAGAAATTTAAATTATCAAAAAAATTTTATCTCAAATAAATTTGCATGAAATTGTTGACTAAAAATATCAACATAAATTATAAGCTGAAGAGGAGGGAAATAAATGTTTGATTTTTTGATGTTATCGGTTAAAAGATGTTGAATAAAAGATTCTTACTGATTTGCCATTTCACACGCATCGATCCAATCACTGTACACATCAATCGGCTCAGTAAGAGAAGTTATGTTCGACTGGAAAATAAAGGATATTAAACAGATTTTTTAATAAAATGAGTGAATTCAACCTGAAAATCCTCCATGCAAACACGACACTGAATGAAGCCAACATTACGTTCACGATCCCTGAAAAGTTTTAAAAAGTTGAAAAATGTGTCCATAGATAAACCTACATTTTAACTTCGCACACCTTCTCGTGATTACAGAAAGGACAGTTGAACTGAGTATCCAAAGCAACAATATTTTTAACTTTTGGCGGAGGCTTTCGTTTGGATTTGCGTTTACCCATTAGATCGTTAGATAAATTCCAAGCTTCTACAATAAAATGACTGAAAAGAAAAAAACATAAATCTCGCTAACAATTAAAAATTGGAGGCAAAGGATTAATTAGCGAAACGAAAATTAAAATTATAGGCTGAACTATTGAGTCTCATTAATCTGTTTTCCATCATGTGGAAATTGTTGAGACTCAAAAGTCGGATTTTTCTTCGCGCTAAAATCTTTCGTTGTCGCGTTTTCTCATTATTTTCCGGTTAAGGACGATTCAGTATCGCCGATTCAGTCTCGCCGATTCAGTATCGCCGATTCAGTCTACGCCGATTCAGTATCCGCCGATTCAGTATTCGCCGATTCAGTATAGCCGATTCAGTATACGTGGAAAAGGGGACGATTCAGTATACGTAGAATAAAATACCCTAAAAATAGAAATTTTTGGAAAGTAACTGATTTATTTTTTCGTTTTAAGCATTTTCTTTGTTCTTTAGGTGGTCTACCATAACAATTAGCAATAACCAACAACAATTATTAACGAAAAAAATAATTTTTATGGAAAACTTAGAATTTTTTTTAATTTTTTAAAATTTTTAAATTTCTTCAATTTTCTTAATATCTCAAGACGGCGAGAATTCTACAGTGAATGGCGAGGTTTCTACTACAGACACATGGTTTATTTTTTTAGTTTTTTGGCTTTTTGAAATTTTTTTTATTTTCCCCATTATTTATAAGGGGGAGCTATAGCCCCAGAAGCTCCCTGGCCTTTATCCCTACAAATTTTTGCGGGCTTTTTGCGGAGATTTCTTACTTCCCAATTCTACTCCCCATTCCATTTTTTATTTTTAAAATTTTTTTAATTTAAGACAATCCGGTCCTGGACTTGTTCTTATTTGTGTCGAGCAGCTTGCTGTTGAGGTGGTTGCCTGGTCCTCTTTAGGGCAACAAATCTAATGAGTGAAATGTAGACCTTGTTCTTATTTATTTTTTGATAAATTTTTGTTTATTTGACTCATTTTTAAAAAAATTTTTGTTCCCCGAAGAAAAAAAGTCGAGACCAAAACCTCACCCTAAGCCAGAAAAAGCCTAAGAGAAGCCTAAAATTAAGCTTTAAAGATGTTCTATAGATCGTAGAAAGTAAGAAACACGAAAAAAATCTACAAGAAAAAAGATTTTCTAGCCCAAAAATATACGTATACTGAATCGTCCCCTTTTCCACGTATACTGAATCGGCTATACTGAATCGGCGAATACTGAATCGGCGGATACTGAATCGGCGTAGACTGAATCGGCGATACTGAATCGGCGAGACTGAATCGGCGATACTGAATCGTCCCCTACCCTTATTTTCTAACTCTTTAGCCTGCTAAAATTTTTTGAAATTTTTAAAATTTTTTATTGATTTTTAGATTTCTCGAAATTAAATCTATTATGAGTTCACATTCTGACGAAAGTGACAACCCTTCAAGAATATCAGTTAAAATCATCGAACAAGTAAAGAAGTCTGGAGAATTCGATAAATATCGCAAGGATCTTGTTGACAGTATCGTTAACAGTGTATTATTTTTGTCTTTATTAAATTTCTTTTTTTGGTTATAGAATGACATGCAAGGGCTTTTTGATAACTGTAAACAAATAATTGAGGAATGTTTGGCAGCCTCACCAGATGCCGATTTACAAAAGCACAGGATTGCTTTTATGCGCGACTATGTTAAAGACGAAATAAAAAGGCGCAGAATTGTTGATAATTCCATGAGGCATGCTTTCAACGATGTATTTTTTATTTTATTTATTATTTTCATATACATCCATTGGTAATTCTTCGGTTTGTATACCCTCCTATTTGTGCCCCCCTTTTTACCTTTACCATTTTTTCATTTTTCCTCCTCTTTCTCCCTTATTTTTCATGAGGCAAGTATTAAAAAGGATTATGAGGGTACTTTTCCGTTCTGCCACACCTCCTAAATTAATGCTCAAAATGTCGTATATAGGGTGATAAAAGGTGCTGAGTCGAACAGTACCACTCTTTTTCCCCTTAAATGTCTTTGGACCAAAATATTGGACTCGAAATGGTCAAAAACCATAGAGGAAGTAATCTCATTTTTGGGGTAAAAAATTCGAATATGCAAATAATAACTCGCCAAAATCGAGCTTACTCCCCCTACGGTTTTTCGATTTTCGGGGACCTTTAACTCGGTCCAGAATCATTTCCTAAAATTGGGAGTGGTACCATTCGACTCAGCACCTTTTATTAACCTATATACGATATTATGAGCATTAATTTTTAATACTTGCCCTTTTTAATACTTGCCTTATAAAAAATAAGGGAGAAAGGGGAGGAAAAATGAGAAAAATGGTAAGGAAAAAAGGGGGGCACAAAGAAGAGGGTATACAAACCGAAGAATTACCCATCCATTTAAGCATATGAAGCGGGTTGAACCTGTATTAATTTCAAGAATGGAGGAGATTGTTCGAACTGAGCTGGGAATGCCTCCTCCGACTAAGGAGGTTAAGCAAGAATTGCCTGACGCCAACCTTGAATTGATTGATATGGAAGTTTCTAGCGGTGGGCCCTCGTCAGTTTCTATCTCTCCAGATGCCCCATCTCCTCTTCCATCTTGCTCATCAAGTGATAGGGCTAAAACTGATGATAAGGTTGAGTCTGAAATCAAGGTATCTTCTCCTATTAAGCTTCTCGGAATTAAAATAATAATTTAGGCCGAACCCGAGGACATCAACGACGATGCTACTTTGGAAAAGTTTGCAGGTTCATCGTGCACCTCTTCACTCTCTTGTAATGCTTCCGATGATGGAAAAAATTCAGAAAAAAGTACAGAAGCAGCCGATGATTGAATTTTGTTGTTCATATTAATTTTCAATTTTAAATAATTTATTAAAATAAATTTTCTAAATTATGTATTTTCTTCTACTGTTTCATAAATTTTTATTTCTTATAAATTACTTGAATTATTTTGCGTAATTGCGCTTAAATTATCACTCATTTTATTAGTTAATGCATCTTACTTTAAAATTTTTGAATCAGCAACCTAAAAAGTTCGCAAAAAGATTGGCCAAGCAAATTGCCGATTACGCTGCTGGTTCTCTTATGGCTAAGAAACAAATTAACATCCCAGACTCCGATACACTTATTGATCGGTTAAAACTTGAGGATTTATTGAAAAGGCGTTTCTTTTATGATCAAAGTTTTGCAATCTATGGAGGCGTTGGAGGTTTTAATTTTAATCTTAACATTACGTAATGTGGTTCCTAGGACTTTATGATTACGGCCCGATGGGGTGTGCTCTTAAACAAAATATGATCCAGCTATGGAGGACTCATTTTATTTTGGAGGAAGCCATGCTGGAAGTTGAATGTTCATCTTTAACGCCGGAAAGTGTGCTGAAGTAATTCTTTAATTCTAAATACTCTAAATATTTCATCGAAATTAGGGCTTCTGGACATGTTGATCGATTTGTTGATTGGATGGTTTGTCTGCTTTTAATTACAGATTTTGATGAATTTTTGTTTAGGTGAAAGACAAGGTGACTGGCGCCTGTTTTCGTGCAGATCATTTGATAAAAAATCATGCAGAAGCGATCATTAAGGTTGTTAACTTTCATTATCTCATTCATTATCTCATTATCTCATTAAGGTTGTTAACTTTCATTATCTCATTAAGACAGGTAAATAATTTAGGACAAAAAAGCACCTGAAAATATAAAGAAGGAACTCGAAAACGTCCTTATTCGTTTGGATGGAATGAGTTGTGCCGACTTGGGTGAAACTATTCGGAAATATGACTTTAAATCACCGCTCACTGGAAATGATGTTACCGAGCCTGTATCTTTCAATCTAATGTTTCCTACACAGGTTTGCTTTTCTGAATTTTCATATAATTAAACGAGAAAATATTTCAGATAGGGCCAACAGGCGATTTTTCTGCATTTTTGCGCCCTGAGACTGCGCAGGGAATTTTCATTAATTTTAAGAGACTGCTTGAATTCAATCAGGTAAAAATATTTTACTTGATTTTGAATATTATTCCTATGATAGGGTAGACTTCCCTTTGCTGCTGCTCAAGTTGGAACTGGATTCCGAAATGAAATCTCGCCTAGACAAGGACTTGTCCGTGTTCGTGAATTTACAATGTGCGAGATTGAACATTTTGTCGATCCGTCTGATAAGAATCACCCAAAATTTGAGAAGGTTGCCGACGTTGAATTGACACTATTCTCAGCATGTAATCAGTTGAATGAGAAAGGAACAGAAAAGGTATAATATTTTTTCAACTCCATCAATATTTCTTAAGGTAAAAATTTGCAATGCAGTGGCGAGCGGCATGGTTGACAATGAGACTCTTGGATATTATATGGCTCGTACTCATCTTTTCCTTCTCAATGTTGGTATATCTCCAGATAAATTACGGTTTCGGCAACATTTATCTAATGAAATGGCACACTATGCAAAGGTTTATTTTTCCTCACAAATTTAATTAATTTTACTTTAGGATTGTTGGGATGCTGAATGTTTAACTACTCACGGATGGATTGAAAGTGTTGGCATTGCTGATCGGTCATGTTATGATTTGCATCAGCATTCAAAAGCTACTGGAGTCAAATTAGTTGCTGAGAAAAAACTTGCCGAATCAAAACAAGTTGATGTTGTAGAAGCAGTGCCTAATAAAGCTGCTATTGGAAAGTTGTTCAAGAATGAGTCTAAGAAGGTTACTCTTTAAAATTTACAATAGTAAATTTTTATTTCATAGATAATTGATTTACTAAAGAATTTATCTCTAGAGCAACTCGATGAATTGGAGGATTCGCTTAAAACTAATGGGTTACTTTTAAACTTTACTTCTAAAAATCATTTAATTTTTAGAAAATATTCTGTAAAAATTTCTGATGATAAAACAATCGAATTGGACTCTACGCATGTTGAAGTTAGGAAATATTTAAAAACTGTTCACGTGGAAGATGTTACTCCATCAGTCATAGAGCCTTCATTTGGTATTGGTCGAGTGATGTACGCCGTCTTGGAACATTCATTTAGACAAAGGGAAGGTGATGAAAAGCGTTCGGTAGGCGTCATGTAAAAATATATTTTCCTAAATTTTAATAATTAAGTATCTTGAATTGGCGCCAAGTATAGCTCCTATAAAGTGCTCGATTCTTCCTATAAGTTCAAACAAGCGATTAGACCCAATAATTCAAGCAGTTCGAGAAGAGCTTACAAGTCGGGAAATCAGTTCAAAAATTGTAATTTTATTCTTTTCTATGCGTGTGAATTATCGATGTTTTTACAGGACGATAGTATGGGCTCAATTGGAAGGCGGTATGCGCGAACTGATGAAATTGGTATTCCATTTGGTGTGACAGTTGATTTTGATTCGGAGGTCGAACCATGGACTGTTACTTTACGTAATTTGAATAATAACGAAATTACTCACTAACATGGTTTTTATATTTAGGATATAGTGTCACTATGCAACAAATTCGTCTTAAGGTTAGAAAAATCCCATAAGAAAATTATTATATTTTTTAGGTTACTGAAGTTGGGGATTTGGTTGCTCAACTCGTAAAAGGGAAAACGAGCTGGGAGAGCGCGTGTCAAAAGTTTCCAATTTTTAATGCATCCCAAGACAATGATTGAAACATTTGAAGCAGATTTAAAGTTTTGTAATTAATTGACGTTATTTATTATACTCTTGGCGGGAAGTTGGATATTAAAACATGGGGGTATTTATTTTTAATTGTTTAGGGCTTTTGTTATTGGTGATTTTCCATATTGAACTACGTCTAAAGATTTTATATTTAATGTTACTTTTTGCCGTTACTTTTTGCATTTTTCCTTCCAAATTAATATAGTAGGATCCTTTTTTCCTGTATTTTTTGCTTTCCTTGCTTTTGTTTAAAGTAGGGGTTAATAAAGAACTTAACGGTGAATAAATGGGAAAAATAACGGACATGTGAAAGAGTTGGGAAAATTGGGACTCAATTGGTCATAAAGACTTTCTTGGCTTTGAAAGTTAAAAAGGCCAAAAGTTGACGATATTAAATATTAAAAGATTGCTTAATATGTAATTTCTTGTTAATGTTGTATGCATTTTATAGTAGAATAAAAACATTGATGTGATATTTCAGTTTAATATTTTTTGTTCTATCGATTTTTTACCTTAATTTTTGGCTTTATATTGATTTCTAATTTTGTTTTTAGAGAATAACTAAAACATACAAAATGGCTAACGAGTTTTACTATTCGAGCAAGTACGAGGACGATGAATTCGAATATCGACATGTACACGTGACTAAAGAGGTTGGATTTGATGATTTTAATTTAAAAAATTTTATTTTAAATTTTAGGTTGCTAAGTTGGTTCCACACAATCGTCTTATGTCTGAATCGGAGTGGCGTAGTATTGGAATTCAGCAAAGTCCAGGTTTCAATATTTATTTTTTACTTATTCATTTTTGAATTAATAGGTTGGATTCATTACATGATTTGGCCAGCGGAGCGTCATATATTGTGAGTTTAATTTTTTGGTATCCTTAAAAGATAGGTTGTCTTATTGTTAGACTCTTCCGGCGTCCTAAGACACGTGATCACCCACCAATCAAAATTTGAAATGCTCAGAATGCACATAATTGGAAGAAACTTAAACTATTATTGACCTTATGCTCCCAGTATTTTTTATTGGCTTATGAAATTTATTCTTATTATTTTTGTTTAAGGAGTTTAAGTCTGTTTCACGAGTCTTTGTAAAAATAAATTATTTTAGACTCATTTTAATAAAAATATTTTTGACTTTTAATTAACTTATTATGTTGCCTTTTGCTCCATTAAATCCTCTTACTCTTTTAACAACTATTTTACGCGTATGCCAATTTTCTGGCGTAGAGCTGGCCTTTCATACAAATTGTTTTTGACACTTACTATTAGTAACATCGGGTGCTAGCTTTTCCTTGTATTCATTCACTCGGGGGAAAGGAGGGATGTGGCGCGAGAATAGAATACTTAATTAAATATTTTCGACCCCATATGGTAGTATTTACAGCCATTTTCTTTTAATTCAATCCAAAAGTTGGCCAAAAATGAGACATTTGGTGAGGTATATTCTCCTTTGGCATATTTGTCTTTAAAACAATTTTTTCTTGGAATATGCATGCTTGGGAGGATATGCTTCTATTGTAATTATGAAATTTATTTTTTTCCATTATAAGATGCCAAGTATTTTTGTCCAAAATTTGTCTAAAAATAGACGAAATTTTCCGCATCATTTGAATAGGCATCATGATTTTTTCCGATGATCTAAGAAATATAATAGGCCGTTTATTCTAATTTTAGTATTAACTTAAAGAAATTTATTGTAAATTCTTATATTTTTGGATTTTTGGTTATTTTGGGGTTATATAAATTTTTTATTGAACTAATCTTTAGTGTTTTAACATCAAAATAGCCAATATGAAGGCAAATGTTTTCTTTATCCGTCCTATAAAAATCATAAAAAAATATAGACCATTTAGCACATAATTTAACAAAAAATATCCCATAATATTACTCTTCCAAAGTAAATAAAACATAAATCTTGATGATTTTTTTTGACTTGAGGTTAAATAAATTAATAGTGATTTAATGAGAAGACAGAAATTCTCTTAACAAAAACCCTCTCAGATTTTTCCAACTTTTCTAAAAAATATTTAATCCCCTCAATTTGCTTTCTGCTTCAAATTCCGTCTACACAAAAATTTTTAAAATCGTCATTTTCTGTTCTTTATTCTTTTAAAGGGAATGAATTTATCCAGCCATGAATTCGTTGGTCGTAAAGGGAAATTAAAGCCAAAAGGTACACAAGACTAACACTCATTTTCATATCAATGTTGGGGAAAGGGGGGAAAAATTTTTGGGAGGGGACTTGCTGCCAATTTGAACGTGCCAAACGGTCTTATGCTACCACCAAAGGTCGCTACTTTTTATTCCACCATCCGCATTGAGACCAATTCCACTTTGAATGAATTTATTTATTAGGAATGAAATTGCTTCTCAAGTTTCAGCCCCCTCACACCTAACAAAAAACCTTTATTCGGCTTTGCCCCCCTTTTTTTGGTGAACGAACGTGTATGTAACATGAAGCTAATATAAGGGTCGATGATCGAAAAAAAGCTTGCCAAAATGCTTAAATTTTAAGAAATTTTTTTTGCTTTTCTAAATGTCCTTGTTCCTTTTCTAAAATGCCAAAATTTCAGCAGTTTAAAGTTTTTTTGTTAATATTTTTATTTCCATTCTTAAAGGGGAATTATTTAATTGCGGAAAATAGAATAGAAATTCTAACAAAAAAAACACCAAACAGACAATAATTGCTTCATAAATCATAAACGACTTTTTAAAAAAATTTCTTTTGAATGTCTATTCTATTTTTTAATTCGCTTAATTTCTTATATTTTTAAAGGATTAGAAAAACGTTTGTCTCTTTCTTGCTTTATTTTAAAATTCCATTTTAAATTCCACAAAAATTCCAATTTTTGTACACATTTATTTTTAATTATGTTATTTTTAAGTTAGAAATTTTTAGAAAATCCGATACGTTTACTCAATTTATGTGCATTCCATTCCCTCTAGTTTTAATGATAAATAGGGCAAAACAATAATTAAATAAATAAAAAAACATCTAAAAAACTATTTTCCAATTCCCCCCTTTTGGCTTTAAATAAAAAAAAGTTTAAGGTCCAATTTACTGCTTCTCCCATGGGGGAAATTGTTCCTCTAAAAACTCATCTTTTCAATTTTCGTTTATTCATTAATTTTTTATAAAGTAATTTAAAAGAAAAACATTGAGGAAAATAAATAAATAAAAATTAAATATTTTTATAAAAATCTGGAATTTTTTTATTTGTTTTTTACCCAAAAACTTTACTAAATTTTTCTTTATTTATTCCTCAGGCATTTTAAAATTCTAAAAAGCGGGGGATTTAATAATGGGGACTTTTTTTCAATCTCATTTTCGCAACAGGGAAAGGGGAAAAATAAAAGCTCTAATTGTTTCGCGCCGTTATTTGATGCTTTTCTTGTTATGAATGTACTTGACGGTGTTTTATTAGAATAATACTATTTTGAGTGTTATGGCACTTTTTATTAATATTTTTTCTAGCTTATTGTTATTTTCTATTTTTGAGGCAAATTCCATTAAGTTTATGAAAAGATTTAATTTTATAAGATTTTGTATGTTGAATTGTTTAAAATAACTTTTTATTTTGACAAAAAGGATTTTTGAAGTTAAGATAGGAAACGGAAACAAAACAAGATTTTTTTTAATTTTTAGGTATTCCTAGATTAAATAATAAAAAGTATAATTAAAAAATGAAACCTTTAAATTTAATTTTTTAAAGATTAAACACGATTTAGGACTTATAAATGATTTTTTTGCAAAATCTTTTGGGATTATCTTCGCTAGATTTAAAAATCCTAAAGGCTAAAATCCCTAGGATTTTCTATTTATCCCAAATATCGTAAAAGCCCCAATATAAGTCCATCTCTATTAGAAGTCCATATTTAATATAAGCTCAATCAAGGTGACCTATTGAAAAATATAAACCCAGGGCTTATATTAGTGCGTTTAATATTCAAATTAAAATCCCTCTAATATTACATAAAATATTTAAAGTGTGCCGTTCTTATTTTTTTGTTTTTTACATTCAACCCTTCTCGTTCATCGACCATAATTGTTTTCAAAAATATTTAGCACTTACATTAAGCTTAAAAACAAAAATTCGTTCCTTTTTACTTCTCCTAACTTTATGAAAAAAATTTTTCTAATTTATCTTTGTGAACCAAAATATTTTTTTTCAACAGCTTTTTGGACTATTGCCTTCTTTTTACTTTCCTATTTTCGCTTATTAGTTCCGCGCCAATAGTCCTCCGTTCTCTAACTTGTTCTCTCCCGCTTCGCCGCTTCCTTTTGAACATTTATATACCTCCATTATACTTTGTTTTGCTTTTAACATAAAAATATTTATCCGCTTATAGTCTAAACCTGAGGGCATTAATGTAGAAAAGGTTAAAAATAATATTTTTGTTAAATTAGGCTAAAAAAATGACGTTTCTTGGAGGTCCCCCATTAGCATAAAAAAGTGAAATTGAAAAAAAAATTTGGAGGGTTTTGTCGTGGTTCCTTTTAACTTTCTTATATTAAAATACCTAGTGCCTTTCTATTCATTAATTTTTTCTTTCAATTGCTTTAAAACTTAATTGTAGACAATTCAAGTAAGCACAAAAACCGCTTTTTGTGCTTATTTGAATAATTAATTGCATGAAAATAAAAAAAGAATAAGCAGCTGAAAAGCATTTTTTAAATAGTTTGCAATTAAATATTTTTTCTTCCTTTTTTTTCAGCTGTTCTTAATTCTTTCAATAATTAAGGAAACGATTAAAAAATTCATTTTTTATTATTCTTATAAATTTCTATTCAAAATAAAAATGAGTCCGCCTTGGCAACTTTTGATTATCCTTGTATTGGCTGATTATTCACATAGAAAGGCTTTTGCAAAACGGAGAAAATGCCCAGGTACTTGAAAAATTAAATAAGATAAAAATAATTATTTTTAGGTTCCCTGTCGGAAGACAAAATAATTGCAGAACTCTTTAGAAATTATACAAAAAAATTGCCGGAAAGTGATGAACAAGATGAAAGTGTACATGTTCAAATTGAGGTCTGTTCGATTTAAAAAGCTTTTTATTAAAATTAGGACGTCACCCTGCCCCACGAAACCCCGACAATTTTCAGGGCAAAAACCACGATCCGAACTCGAATGCTCTACCCGGGAAGGCTCTAACCCGACCCAAAAGTCAACCCTTACCTCGAACCCAGACATATCCTCCCCCGCAAACCCCGATCCCCGACACTACAGACCTCGAGGTGTCGGGATGCTACCCTAATTAAATCGAATTAGTCGATCGATTAAGAAAATATTTTTTCTCAGATGCATGTGCAGGATATGGGCTCTTTAAATGAAATTACTGCAGATTTTGAAATTGACATTTTGTTTACTCAACTTTGGCATGATCCATCACTTTCTTTTTTAAATTTAAGTAGTCAATGTGTTAGAAATATAACAATGGAATCTCGTTACCTTAAAGATATATGGACACCTAATACGGTTGGTTAATTTTTAATGAAGATTACTCAATTTTTTCAGTGTATAATAAATGCAAAGAAAACGTCAGTGCATGCATCGCCTACAGACAACATTATGTAAATTATTTGTTTTTTTAGAGATCGAGTTGGATCTGGACCCAGAGTCCAATCCAGGGAATTTTTCTGAGTTCCTTGACTCTTCCCTTACAAGGTCCAGATCTGGTTAAGGCCCTTGACTTTTCTTGACTTTTAGGAAATCTTAATCTCTAATATTTTTAAATAATGAAATTGATACTTTATTTAATTTTAGGTTTATCCTGTATGAAAATGGAACTGTTTGGATAAACCATCGGCTGAGTGTCAAAGCGCCCTGTAACCTAGGTGGGTTTAGAAATTATTGAGATAAAAGTTTGTTTTATTTTTGATGTTTTACAGATCTTCGTACTTTTCCTTTTGATACACAAAATTGGTGAGAAATTTAAAAATTTATTTGTTTTATTTTTTAATTTTAGCGTGCTTCTGTTTGAATCATATTCCCACAACAGTGAAGAAGTAACTTTGCATTGGATGGCTGAACCAATAACTCTAATGAAGGTAAAATTTAAACTTTCGAATAAAACTTTCGAGAATCTTTTCGAAAAACCGTGGCTGTCTTATTTAGGAGTTGAGAAAATTTCAGCCATCGATAAGGAATCGAACCTGTTATTTCGCTCACCACGTTCATATGCTCTATTTACTGACATTTGAACGATGAATCTACTTTCCCTTTTTTAGATCTTTAAACATTCCCCTGCCTTACTTTCTTTTCATTTTCTTATTTTAATTTACATTTTTAGCAAATAACTCTGCCTGATTTTGATATGATTCAATTTAACCCAAAAGGGAGGGCATTGCTTTACCCAAACGGAAGATGGAGCCAATTAGAAGTGGGAAATATTTAAAACTAAAAATATAAATTTAATGAATTTCAGGTTGGATTTACATTTAAACGTCGTTATGGTAGGCGTTTTAGTTTCTATAATAGTTTGTAAAATGTTTATTTTCCAGGTTTTTATATTCTACAGGCTTATGTGCCCACTTATTTAACAATAGTATTATTTTTTAATTTTGGAATAGTTTTTTTTATTTCGTTTTAGATTGTTTCTTGGGTGGGCTTTTGTATGGAACCCAAAGCATTGCCTGCTAGAACAACTGTGGGTGTTTCTTCTCTGCTAGCACTGACATTACAGGTATACAGTTAGCAATTTGTGATGATTTAAGAAATTTAGTTCGGAAATATTCACAAAAATCTTCCAAGAGTAAGCTATGTAAAGGCAATGGATGTCTGGATGTTATCCTGTATTTCATTTGTATTTGGTACGATGATCGAATTGGCTATTGTCTGTTATATTACAAGGTTTTAAAATTTTTATAAATTAAAATACATAAAAAGTCTAATAGAAGCCCGTGTCTATTAGAAGCCCGCTTATGAGACCCATTGAAAAATAAAATCCCAGACCTCTATTAGAATATTTACGGAGTTTTTTCCATTTTTAGATGTCAAAATTCAAAAAAAGCTAAAGCAAAAGCCATCACTAGAAGAGCTTCAATGGCCCCTCCTCCTGAACTTGTCAGATTTGATGCACCTGCAAGTCAATGTAGTAGTGTTCGTTTGCATGCACTGCCCATGCGAAATGGTTCTGTAGCACTTCAAAGACGGGTTTCTAATTGCTCAAGTCTTGGTTTGCTTTTTATTTTTTAAATTTTTATTTTCCTGTCTTTAAGGCCCATTACTCTTTAATAGAAGAAAAAAATGGTGTAGCACAAAAAATAAAGGAAATGGTGAATGTACTGGAGGTGTTGATGGAACAACAAAATTAATTAAAGAAGAAGAACAACGTCCATTAAAATTAATATTGCCTAGAAGTGAAGGAACTAGAGATTTGAGGAGAGTTTCTAATGCTAAAAGTGAATCAGCAAATAGTTCAAGTTTTGGGGACCAATTTTCTTTTCCTGAGGTTTTTTTAGAAATTTCTGAAACTTTTCTAAAAATTTAAATTCAGCTTCATTCACCAATCATTTCGCCTTCAAGTCGTAATGCTCATTATATGTCGTTTGGAAAAGGTTTGTCATTAACTGACGAAAATTGGCCGGTTGTACAACCTGAAAGTATTGACAAGTTTGTTGTTTTTATAAAATATATTTTTTAATTTAAAATATTTTCAGGCTGTCGATAGTTATATTTCCTTTAACTTTTACACTTTTCAATGTAAAAATTTTTTTAATTTTAATTTTTAAATTAAATTATTTAAAAAATTTTAAGTTAATTTATTGGTGGCATTATCTTTTTTCTATGAGTGGGCAATTCAATGGTGGAACTCAAAACAATCCTTCCTCATCATCTTTAGGCTTATCTCCGCCAATAGCAAGCCTCAAACCCTGAACGTTTATTAATTGTGATTTATTTATTGTACAATATGTTTAACTCGCATACTTTCTTGCTGCTTTTTACATTTTTTAGAATTTTGCTTCAACGTTTTCTTTTTTAAATTTTATAAAAATAAATGCTGAAAATTTCTTTTTTTTTGTAAATTAATATTTATTTTAAATATATTATCATATCTATCAAAAATAATCTGTTGAAAAATTTTAAATGATGAATATCGTGTGGTTAACATGGCAAAGTATTAGAAGGAAAGTATGACAAATTTGGCAAAGTATCAACACTTACAAAGTGTTCAGATGTTGCTGTTTATTGCAAAAACAAGGATTCTTCTCATTTCAGGCTTCAATGGTATTTTTATAATTTTATTATTTTATAAAGAATTTCCGTTTTAATATTGTTTTTAATTCCGTTCTCAAAATAAGGTGTAATAATATTTTGTGTGTAAACAATTTTTGGGGGAAATTTTGCAATTATGAACTAATAAGTTTGTGAGGGACAAATAAGGCGAATTTCCAATTTATTCATCGATTTATTATTTTATTATCATTTTCTATTTTTCATTCGTTTCCTTCGCTCATTCACATTTTTTAAAACTCATTTTTTACATTGCGCGCAGTTAAAGATACAAACTTTCTCTCGTTTCTGTCCTTATGGGAAAGCATGTCTGTCCAAATTTATTTTCTTTTAGTTCCTAATCCTTTACCGATTTCAAATTTTATATTTAATTTTTAAAAATTTTTTTTAATTTCTCAGGTAAATAATGGCCAATATTTCCGTCAATGGAGTCGATGATTTGTTTGTTTTAAAGGAAAAACTAAATTCAATCCGCGAAGAAATAAATTTACTGCGATGGCCACCAAAAGAACAACAAAATCAGAATGCCTTTTTTCACTGTTTTATGGCCCTTTTTATTTTTTTGATGCAATGTGGATTTGCTTTTCTTGAAGCAGGAGCCGTGAGAGCGAAGAATATTACAAATATACTTACTAAAAATGTTCTTGATTCTTTGGTTAGTTTTCTTAATTAGCTTATAATTTCAAAAAAAATTTAGATTACAATTATTTCCTATTGGTCAGTAGGATGGGCTTTAGCTTATGGGCCTAATGCTAACGAGGCACTTTCTGGCCTTTTTGGTTGGTCACAATTCCTTGGTTTTGGACTCGACAATTTTTCTCGTTTCTTCTTTCAATACGTTTTTGCTGCGCGTGCGTCAACAGTATTTCTTTTATAAATGTTTTTTTCCTAAAAATTAATTCAGATAATTTCTGGGGCTGTAGCAGAGAGAGCTGAATTTACAACATTCCTTGCTTATTCATTATTTGTTCCAGGTTTATTTTTGTTTGGATCTTTTAAAAATTATGTTTTTAGCTATTGTCTATCCAATTTTAACTCATTGGGGGTGGTCAGATCAAGGATGGTTGGCTCGAGGTATTCGCATTGATTCAAGTAATTATCACACAACTTACATGGTTTGTTTCTTATTTATTTTTCTGACATATTTTACCAAAAAGGACTTTGCTGGAGCTGGAGTTGTCCATCTTTGTGGCGGAGTAATTTCCCTTGTGGCAGCTTGGATGATTGGCCCTCGAGCCGGACGTTTTTCACCAAATGGTCATGCAACTCGTATAGAGGGGCATTCTGTACCTCTTGCCTCGTTGGGTGGTTTTATTCTAATGCTTGGATTCCTAGCTTTCAATGGAGGCTCAGCTGTAGATATTGCCCGTCCTGGTAGTGGACAATTAGTTGCTAAAGCAATGGTTATAACCTTAATTTGTGGTGCTTTTGCTGCTATAGTTGTACTTATTGAACACAAATTATGGCATGATAAATGGACTGTTCTTCTTACAATGAATGGATGTTTAACTGGAATGATTTCCTCCTGTGCTGGTTGCAACCAAATGGAAATGTGGGGAACTGTAATAACTGGGATGGGTGGAGGACTTTTTTACATTGGATTTTCTAAATTATTACTAAAGTATGTTTTAATAAAAATTAAAGATTATGCTAAATTTTAGGCTTCGAATTGACGACACTCTCGATGCATTTGCGGTAATTTACTGGCAAAATTGTGTTAAATAAATTGTTGGCTTTAGGTACACGCTGGTGGAGGTCTTTGGGGTCTTATCTCTGTTTGTATTGTTAGTAATCAGCCTGGTAGAGGGTTGATTTATGCTTTGTTTAGTTGGTCATTAACTACTATTTTGCATGCGATAGTGGTAACTTTAAAAGATTTTTGTTATAAATTAATGCAAATTTTTCAGCAATTTGGTTGGCAACTTTTGGCTGCAATTGTCATCATTTTATGGTCAGGATTACTGGTTATTCCGCTATTTGGGTTTCTTAAATTAGTGCATAAATTTCGTGTTCCTGCCGATATTGAGCGCAAGGGAATTGACATTTGGAAACATGGGGAAGATGCTTATCCATTGGTTTTTTTCAAAATATTTTTTCAAAAATATCAACTTTAAATTTTTGAGGTAGCTTATGGACATGGCTGGGATGAAATGGAAGGGAATATTGAACAAATGATAAATCAACACGAAGTTGAGAAAAAATTAAAGGATAGAATGCAACAACATCCTTCAACAAATTCATCAACCAGTCCTCGATATGTTGCTACGATTTGGCATGATCCTGACAAATATGGGACGTTGAATCGAAGGGTTAGTTTATTTAATAGGGGTTTAAAATTCATTGTCAGTGGATTTAATTTTAATTATATCCCGAAATTTAGAAGCAAAATGCTGATAATGGACAGAACAATGGAGTGACCACAATACTCTGATTAATATTTTTTAAGATCTTTCCCAAAATTTTATACATGGGGCTTGATTTAAAATAGTTTAATATGTCCCAATTTGCCTTAGAAAATCCCGGTTCTTTTTTTAAAAATCCTTTGTCATTTTATACATCCTTATCAATAAATTAACATTTTTATTTATCTTCTTCAATTTATTTGCAATTTAATTTTTAATTGCATTTATTATATCCATTTGTTCTTGCATTATTCCCATTACATTTTTATATCTCTTTTCTTTCTCAAAATTGTTGGATTGATTTCTCTCTTGCTTTTGCAATAAGAATTATTTGGCCAAAAGACGTCATTGACCACCACAATAGAGTGGATTATATCCCCAAAATGCACTTTTCTCATCTTCTCTTTTATTATTTTTGGTGATACTCTTTTAAATTCTCTTTTAGAGACTTGGATTTTAACAATTTAATTTTTTTACATTTTTTTCTTTTGATGATATTTTGTCTTGGACTTTAATTTTCTTTTCCTTTTTTACTCTTTCTCCATTTTTATATCCTTTGGGTTTTTATCCTCCGTTCCGCTTTTTTCAATTCTTCGGCCAATTCGTCCATCCTTTTTTCCTCCATGTTATTGACTCCATTCGCTTTTTTATTGAATTCCTTCAACAACAACAAAAAGCCTCAAAAACCATCATTTCTTTTCTTTTTGAATTTCTCTTCTTTTGGGATTGACTTCTCTTTTTTATAAATTCATCATTTATTTATTAAACTTGGCGAAGAAAATCAAATAACAAATGAAACGTCAGAATGTTAGAACATTATCGGTTTATTTTTAAATATTTTTAAAAAAATTCTAATTTAAATTTTAGTTAATTGTTTGTACTCTTACTTATCTTATGGTTGGATCAGCAGTTTTTGATGCATTAGAAAGTGAGGCTGAATTGAAACAAGTTAGTCTTTTTTAAATGAAAAATAATTTTTTAATCTTCTTTAAGCGTCAGCAAGTGGAGACAATCAAAAAGCGTTTAGTCACAAAATATAATATTTCAACAGTTGACTATCGCTTGCTTGAGTCAATAATTGTAAGAGCAATTCCTCATAAAGCTGGTCATCAATGGAAATTTGGAGGGGTAAAATAAAAATTTTTCTTTTTTTTATATTCAAATTTTAGGCTTTTTATTTTGCAACGACTGTGATAACAACTATAGGTTAATTAAATTTTTTCCTAGATTTAATTATAAAATTGTTTTTAAGGATATGGACACAGTTGTCCAGTCACTATGGGTGGAAAAATATTTTGGTTTGTTTTTTAGATTTTTTTATTTGAAAAAAATTTTTCAGTATGTTTTATGCACTTGCGGGCATTCCTCTTGGATTGGTTATGTTCCAAAGTATTGGTGAACGTCTGAATACTTTTTGTTCACTTTTATTGCGACGAGTTAAATATTGTAATGTTTATTAAGAAATATTTTTTTTTATTTGTTTTATAGTTTTTGGACGTCCACCATTAGTTAGCCCAATGGATTTAATTATTGTTTGTTCTCTCCTAAGTTCGGCATGTATTGCAATTGGAGCTTGGATATTTTCTCAATATGAAGGATGGCCATATTTTGATTCTGTTAGTTTTCTTATTAAACATTTTTATTATTTTTTATTTTTTTCTTATTTTCATATTTATATGTAGGTCTATTATTGCTTCATTACTCTTGTAACAATTGGCTTCGGCGATTTTGTAGCATTACAAAAAGACGATGCTTTGGAAAAACGGCCAGAATATGTACTTTTTGTGCTCTTCTTTATCGTTTTTGGACTTGCGGTCATTTCTGCAGCAATGAATTTATTAGTATTGCGATTTTTAACGCTCAACACAGAAGATGAAAAGAGGGACAAACGTGAAGCAAAACTAGCAGAAAAAGGCTTGGTTGGTTTAATTTTAAATTTAAAAATTTGGTCCCAGACATTAGTGGGCACTTGGTTATTTATCTTTTTTCAACATCTCTATCTTCCTCCCTCTCTCCAGGTTACAATTGACTCGCTAGGCCGGCGACATTATATGAAAAGCCGAGAATCCTCTTCATCATCCTCTTCCTCCCCTTCCCGTTCACAACAACAAGCTGTGCCAAAAAGTGGTGCTCCAAGTGATGATGAAGGGGAAACGAGTGAAGGCTTTAGGACTAGAACAGCCACAGGCGGTAGCGGTGCATCAGTAAGGAAACGACAGAAATTAACGTTAGCACAATCACTTTTCACTCCTCTACTCCCTCTTTCTGGTCTGAAAGGATTAGAATCAGATTCGGCATCTATAGTTTCTTGTTCTTGTTATCAGTTGGCCAAAACTGATACAGTTTTGCCACCAAGTCATCAACAACCTCAAAATCAGCAGGGGACATCAACACCCCTTCATTCTACAAAAGGGGTATTTAAATGATAGTGGGATTCGACAAAACGGGGTTTGAATTTCTAAAAATTCTTTTGTCTTTCTTTTTATACGCGAAATAAATTTGAGAAAATTTTAAAAACTTATTATAAAATGAAAAAATATTGCCCTTAGTCAATGGTAAAACAAAGGAAGTCGTTAGGTACTTGTGCAAATTGAAAGGGTAAAAAGCGCGCCATCGCACACTTGAGCATGGTTATAAGCAAATAACAATGACTGAATTTTATATAAAAATTGATGAAGATATTGAAAAAAAAACTTTTTGGGACAACCTTTTTGTTTTAACGCGCTTCAGTGACAAGACTAAAAATTGCCTTTCAAATGGATTGACAAATGTGAGTTGATAATTGTCTGTTTTGTGCTTATTTTTTGCGCTTATTATTTTATGCTTATTTTATTTTTGCCTATTTTTTTCATCTATTTTCCATTTTTTGCACAAAATTTCCTTTAGGATATTAAACGACTTCTACTTAAGCTTTTGACTTTGAGCGCGCAATTGCCTTTAAAAAAGTTTTTGCACAATCGCCAGGCAAAACCGACAAATAAACAAAAGACCTTAGGACTTGTAAGATAATTTCCTCAATCTACTTTCTTCTTGGGCAAACAATAGATAAGTTTGTGTTTCTATGAGTTTGCCATCCGTGACCCCTCCTCTTACGTCCGTCCGCTTTTTTATTCTTTATGGCATTTGCCGCCGGCTAATTCGGCAAACTTGTGAACAAAAAAGCTGCACTTTTGTGCCGCAACATTCTTTATCTCTTCATCTCTTAAACGCATTGTTGTTTTTATGTGACCGTCAATTTAATAAGTGTTCATATAAATTTAATAAAATTGTCCTTAAACAATTATTCTTACGAATTAATTTTTCTTCAGCTCTATTCTTATATTTTTTTAAAAAACGAACATTGTAATTATTTTTTTACTATTTCTAATACGATTTTTGTACTTGGCCCTTGTTTTCTTTTTGTTTATTTTTTGAGGAGGTCATTGGCAAAAAAAATATAAAATTTATAAGTGCCCGGGAATTGGAGAAGGATGATGATGGCAAGCTTAAAAATTTTAGGGAGAGATTAAGCAAGGGAAAGGCAATGAGAGGAAGGAAGCAACACATAAAAACGGGGATTTTGTGAAACAAAAGCTTTGAGATTGAGGGAAAGGAAATTGCCAATTCTCGCTTCAATGCCAGAAGACAATAAAAAAGGAGAGGGGATTTAACTACTACTAGTTCTGTGAGTGCTAAACAATATAAAGATACTTTTAAACAAGTTTATAATGATAAGTCAAGGGTTAGAAAATGAGAACCTTATTAAGAAAAATCCTCTCCTATTTTTTTACAGACCTTGTTTTATTAACATTAAATCGCTGACTAAATACTACATAATTTAAGTAAATATTTTCCTCATTTAAATGACCCATCATTTTACCCATCCCAGAACATTTGCAATTGTCATTGACGGTAGCAAAAAAAGCGATTTGTCTTCGTTCTTTCTATTAATGCCGCCAGATTTCCCAAAATCCTTATGGAAAGGCACAGCTGCCAAAATATTATATTTAAGTGAATAGAGGTGGAGGGGGTTAAGGCCAAAAAGCAAAATAAAAGGAAGGAAATGAAGGAAGGATAAATTGTCAGTGATGACCATTTAGTCCTTGCGCGCTCCTTAAATGGATAGAGAATTGGCCAAATGAATAAATGATATTGGGGTAAAGGACTCCTTTCTCTTAAGGCAAAGATTACCGAGAGGAAGAGGACGGTCCTTCTGTTCATCTTTTTCTCCCCTTCCCTCCAATCCAATTCATTTGTCCTGTTCATTTTAAATTACCCTACGCATTGCACGCTCATCTTTTTTTGTGGATGCCGTAAACAATAAATTTTACCGATACAAATTTTTAACTTTTCCGGCAAAATTTTTTTCATATAAAATTTCTCTTTATTTTTTGCATATTTTGTCACGCGCGCTTTATCTATTATTTAATAGCCATTGTGCATTAAAACAAAATAACTGAACAAAATAATAATTAAAATACTAATCTCCCTTGCTCCTGCTATATTTTTATATTGCGTAAATCGCAATCCTCACTATATATTCGCTTTTGTATAGAGATAACAATACATTCATTTTGTTTCTCGTTTTTATTTTTACCTTTTTATTTTATCCTCCCTTCACGTGCCCAATTTAAAATATTTTTTTTTAATTTTAAAATTATTTGACAGAATTACCAAATTTAAATGCTTCTCTTAACAAATGTTTAAACTGTGATGTTTTGCTATTGTTTTTCTCTAATTTCTCGAGCTTTCTAACTCTAACAAAAAACATTGTGCCAGGAATTCAGTTAACAACATTTTTTAAATTTAATTCAACTTTTATTTAATTGTTTAGCCCAAATTCAACAAATGAATTTTGTTTGTTTGCCTACAATTTTATTTAATTGCCTTAACTTTAATTGTTATTTGCGGCTTTTATTTGTGTTGCTATTCACCACTGATCGTATAATTGCATATGTTGTGGAATTGCCCAAATCAACAACAACTACAACGAAAAGAACAAATAATGATAGACTCAGGCCGATTATTTTAGGTTAGTTTGATTTTACTTTTTGGTAGTGTAATGGACTAGACTTTTCTGTAGTTTTTACACGGATGGAGGAGAATTCTCCAAATTAAATGATTCCCCCTCAGAGGAAAGTCAGTTTGTGGGTTTTAAAATCATTTTTTAATCTCCTTCAAGAAAGCTTATAGGAATAAAATAAATATGAATGTTTTAATGGAGGCAGGAAAAATGGAGGCTAATGGGTGATGATGATGTGAGATTTAGGCAAAAACGGGCCAAAAAAAGGCCGCTAAAAGATTTCCAATTTATTTAATTTCCTTATGTTGACCGTTATTTTGCTAAAAATATGGACCTTTTGGCGAAATCTATAAAAGCAATTACCACGTTTTTACCACATTTATCCATCCATTAAAGCGTTCAGTAAGTCTATGAGTCTTAATTTTCTGTGTAAAAATTAAAGAAAAGTTTAGTTCATTTATTATAAAAAGGGAGATTAATAGCCATAAGAAAAACAGAAAACATTTTTATTGGTGGTTCTTGTTTATTAGATTTTAAGAGAATTGCCCATTTGTTTCTGTTCCTTTTCCTGCTTTTCATCAGTAAATTAATGGTTTGAGAATGAGTGATGTGACCGATTGGCCAAAATTGTGTATTATATATTCTTTCTCATCCTAAAAACAATTTTCTTAACCCATTAATTCGAGTCATTTGGCGCGCAATTAAATGAGGAATTGCTTAACCTTGGTTAGAAAACTAAGAGAAAGGAAGGAAATTGAATGAGAATTAATAAAATACACACGAGGCAATTTTGTTTTATTAACTGGAGAACGGAGTAAATTAAAAAAGGGATTTAATGGTTAAAAATTTTTTTTTAATTTTTTTTGTAGATGAAAATCTTTGTCCTCAAGGCTGGCTTAGCGGTGGAGAACAATGCATTCAATTACAATTTGTTGCTAGTGGAATGTCTCAATCCTCTATAGAATGCAAACGTTTAGGAGCTGAATTGGTCAACGTTGTCGACGAAGATGGAGAACCTTCACTACAATTATTGGATGATTTGTCATTGATTTTGGAGGTTATTTAAACTTTATTTTAATTTTTTGAATTAAAATTGATTTTAGGAAGCTTCCAATACCGGAGTTTCTATGCAAAGTTGGCTTGTCAGTTCTGGACATTTCTCGCCAGAATGGGATTCTGCTAATGAAAGGATTCGTTTTCACAAACTACCAAGAGAAAACATTCACAATATGGAGATTCTTGGATTGCGCAGACGTCGAGGCCAACGACTATTTGAATTGTATTTTTTTAATTTTTTAGTTTAAATCAAAAAAAATTAACAGAACTCTACTTTCAAATACAAGCATCAATCCATTCATTTGTGCCTTAAACCCGCTCACAAGGCGAGTTCTTCTCTATCAACAATTATTATTACCTCGTGGGGCACCTCAATTTGTTGAACAACCACAACCTAATGGATACTTTTTTGACACATCTTCAGGCTCAAATCATTCATTTTTGTCATTGCCATGTTCTGCAATTGGAAATCCTACACCTTTAATTCGTTGGTATAAAAATGGTGGAGAAGAGGTTTTTTTTTAATTTTGAAATTTTTATTAAAAAATAATTTTATAGATTGACTTAAACTCGCCTAATTCAACATTTATTGTCTCTGGAGGTGCTTTGCTTGTGCCAGTATCAAGGATCCAACCGTCTCCAATTACTTTCCATTGTGTTGCTACAAACGAGCTTGGTATATTTTTTAATGAAAAATTTTAATTTTTATTGAAAAGTTATACTGGTGTTGTTGGCGTTCGGTTAATTTTCGCCTGTAGTTTAAAAGATCAACGGGGAGCAGAGAAGAATTAGAGCGTTAACATTTTGGATTAGGTCTTTTCTTCCTTTCTTGTTTGTCCCCTTAGTCTTTGCCTGTGGCAGAGATTCACCGGTGCCAACAACACTACTTATTACTTTTTTAGCCTCAATTATATTTAAAACTTTTATAGGCTCAGTTCGAAGTTTAACCGCTACAATTCGCCCAGCATTCATCGAACCATTCCAAGATTATCGGCTAGATGCTTATCCACTTATTTTGGGAACAACAATGAGCGGTGGAGCGCGTTTGGAATGTAATGCACCAAGACATTTTCCAAGTGGGTTTAATTTTATTTAAAAAATGTTTGTAGAAATGATAGGGGGTTTAAAAATATGATTAAAATTAGCGAAAGAATGCCAAGATTTTTAAAATTATTTTTTTGATATTTTTGTGGTTTTTATTCCGCGCGGTAATTTGCACATTAACATTTTTATGTTTTTTGCACTTTTTATTTCTTTGCAAATTTAAATTTTTTACTTTTAAAATTGTACTTAACTCGTATTTTTAGCTTTCCTTTTTTCTTCAAATTATTTTTTTCTGAAAATACTTCTTTTGTTTTTACTTTTCTCGCTTCACTTATATTTTCCGTCGTTTTTTCCTTATAACTAAATTTTTCCATAAAAAATTCTCGAAGATCCCAAAACAAATTGGAAAAAAATTGCCGCAAGACAAGCAATATTTCCAATTTGTGCACTTGAGAGACATTCTTTAAACCTTTTGGGAATTGGCAGTAATGTGTGTAGTGTAATCCTGTATATTTTTTCTTGTCAAATTTAATTTTGTCTGGAGAGAATAAGCACAAAAATACTTCAAATACACACCACCCTCATTTTTAACTTTTCTAAATTTTCTTATTTTTTTATTCATTTGTACATCTTATTTTTTATTCTGGATGATATTTTCAATCAAAATATTTAGAAAAAATTTAATATGGTTCAGAGATTTTATCATTCCGGCATTTATTTTTTTTACTAATTTATTTTTTTCTCATTACCTATCTTTTTTCTTTTTTTTTTCACACCCTCTTCAATGGCATTTTTTAAAATGCCAATTGCTATTGAAATAAAGCTATCCATTTCATAGATACCCTGAAGCATTCATGCGCCTCTTTCCTTTTTTTCTCATTTTGGCAGCTTTATTTATTTTTTCCCATTTTTTCATTTAACAAAAAATGCATTAGCTCCGTGAAAATCTCGGCAAATGCTTTTTTCTATTTATCTTCAACTATTATCTATTTATTTTTTTTTAAATAAATAGCTCGCTCATCTAAAAACACCCATTTTAATGTGGATATATAAATCTTTTTAGAACCTATAATCTGCGCTTTTCTCGATGCAAAATAAAGGCAAGATTCCTTTGTTTCTGTTATTTTAATTTCTAGATTAATGACAAAGAATCTTAGCTATTTTCCTGTCAAGACTTTTGAAAAATAATATTTTTTGAATTCCTTTTAGACATCCTCTTAGCGTTCTAACAACATTTTTATTCCAATAATTCATTAGCCTATTTAATTCTTTCTTCATAATTTTAGTCTGTATTTTTGTTCTGATTCAGTATATTTTTATGAATTTAATTAGATCGGGGCTCCTTACTCTATAAAAACTTTTTGTTAAAAAAATAAACTTCCGTCCTCCAAAATGATTAATAGATTTACTAATAGACTTTAAAGGGTGACCCATATCTGACCCATTTTTAGCGATTTTTTATACCCGATAAAAATTATTTTTTCAGTTTTTTCTTTAGTTTTCATTGTTTTTATCTCAAATACTGACCTGAAAATTAAATACTAATTTAGAAATAAATTAGTCTTACACTAATTTTTGAATATTTAAGATAGAATGTTCAGTAATAAACTACCTAAAATAATAAAGCTAAAAAACAGGTGCTTTCAGATATCTCCTATTTTTTTATAATTTCATTTTTTTTCTTGTCTGTCTGCTGTTTTTTGATGATTGCATGAGCTTATCCATTTTTATTATTTTTTACTTTTTTTATAAAAATTCATTCTCATTTTTTCTATAATAATAATCTAATATTTTTGTCCATATATTTTTTTGCAAAAACACTTGCTTCTTATTATCTTTTTCCAATCATTCCACAACTAAAAACACCATTTTAAAACCCTTAAAAATTATTTTTCATTCATTCTCTCCCTTCTTTCATCAAGCACACAATCAGCGGCTGTTCCTTCCATTCGGCTGTCACTTGTCTTTTTTACCAAAAATTGGGCAGAACAAAACGCAAAACAAAAAAATTTCACGCAATACTATCAGAATTCTTCCACTTCAATCATTACCACTTCCATAGCAGCCAGCCAATCTTTCTCACATAAAATTCCCTAAAAGTCCTTTTTGATGAAGGAAAGGAGGAAATAATGGCCTCAAACCACTTTTCAATCACTTTTCTTTCTATCATTTATTTTGTTGGTTAAACCGGTTTTATATAACCAAAAACTACAGCGACACTAATGTTATCTCCCCCGCAATATTATAACGCTCTACTAGCATTTTGCATTAACAATCAACCAGCCGCTCTTACATATACCCAAAAACTTTCTCTTAAACCAATAATTTAATTTCTCCTTGTTTTCTCGATTTATTCTCTTTCACCAAATCAGTTTTATAAAAAAAATGTCAAAATTATCTACATCGGAGAAACAAAAATGGTTTAAAAAGCCGTGTTTTATACAGATTAGATCCATTCTTTTAATATTTTTTTGGAGCGCGATATATATTTTTGATTGTATCTTATTCTTTATTTTATCCAATTCATTTTTAGAAATGTGATTTTGCAAAATTGACTTCCGCCGGATAATGATCTCTTTCCCCTTTAAAAGGGAAATTAACGCAAAAAATACACATTCATATTTCTCTTTCGCTCCATTTCTCCTTGGGTAATTATTCCGAGTTATGGCACATATTGCACCAACAAATGAATTTAGCATCTGAGCACACATCATCTCAACGGCACAATTTTCTTCAATGGCACCAACAACAACATTTTCTACACTCTTCACTCGGCACAATAAAAACAACTTTTAAATATCAACAGATTAACAATTTTAACTTCAAAAATTTTTATCTACTACATTAATTAACCTTTTTAATAAACTGAAAAACAAAATGGATAAACTACTGAGTAAAGTATGTTAAAGCATTTAAAAAGTAGAGACCAGAGAAAACCTGTTAAACCTTAATTTTCAAACTAAGATTAATAATAATTGTTTCTGGTCTCTATTAAAAAAAAGGTTAACAAATTTAACTTGATAAATCAAGGAAAATGTCAACTAACTTTGAATTTGCTCTACAACATAATTGTAATTTTCACCAGTTTTTGAATGTGATGAAATTGATAAATATAAGAAGGAATGTTGATTATTTTAGATCATTTTGATTTTTCACGTTTTTGCACTGCACTATGCTTATCTAACAAACTGCATTTTAATCACTTTTAGGCTTTTGCATTTTTAGTTTTGGCACTGTAATTTTACTGCACTTTTACACTGCATTTTATTATTATGCATACTAACACTTTACACACACGCACAACAGCACATCCACACACAATTTCTATTCACGATTCACTAGTTTACAAACACTCAAAATTCATTCACTTTTATCACTTAAACACAACACTTAAACACTAGCACAATCACAAAAGCTCACTCACTATTCCTTATTTTTTGCACTAATTATTGTTGAAAGGCTAGCGCGCTACCTTAAAAAAGCGCTTCTGGAGCACGTTTTTAGCCATTTAGCATTAATATAGAAATGCTTTATTTTAAAAATTATTTTTTTGTAAAATTACTTTAAATAATCTTTTTAAGTTTTTCATCTTGGCACGGTTATAAAAATAATCTTTTCGCTCACAATGCATTAAAAAACACATCACAGCATTAAATACACTAATTAAAAATCCTGCTTTTCACTACACTTGCATCTTAAATAAATTCAAGGATAGGACAAAAATACTAATTAGTCTCAAAAAAATTGGATTTCTTTGGGTAGTTCTGATTTTGTCCTATCCTTATTTTAATGCCGTCCTTTAATTCTATGCACTTAATTTTTTTTAATTTTACACAGTGCAAAATAGTATTTTCACACCATTAGCACTTTCATAAAATATAATTGGCACAAATTTTAAATATTAAAAAGCACATAATGAGACAGTATTAATTTTGGATAAATATTAAAATAATATTTCACAATTTTTTACAATATTTTTTGATAAATATAGATTTGGCATTCTTTCGAGTTTTTTATGAGATTTTAAATTTTAAAAATATAAGATTTATTTGAGTCGAATTTTGAGTCATCAGTTTTCATTTTAATTTTAAAAAAGGATCTTTCACGTTTTTCTGGGTTCGAGGTGGCAGTTATGAACGCTTTGTTGAAGTTACTCCTCGACTTTTTATTTCTATGGAAGGAACGCTTTATTTTGCTTATAATTTACGTGAAGACGATGATAGGTAAATAAAAACTTTTAACTGGGTATTTGTATATTTCTTGGGGCAGTTGTAGTTATTAAGGTGAGCTAATCCTTTCCTTAGACAAAAATTTAGAGGTGAATAAACGGAAGGCAAACTGAGAGAATAAGGGTGAAGCGTATTAATCTTTTCCTTTGGCAACAAGTTAAAGGTGAATAAATGGGAAGAAAAAATGAAAGAAATAAGGGGACAATACACAAAAGCGTGTTTCAATATCTATAAGACTAAGGGAACGTAACAATAATTTTTGTTTGAACTAATCACTTTTCAATTTCATACAAATTTTTCTTAAAGTTATGCATGTATAGCAACAATAGAAACTCAATCAGCTCAGCAAGGACCGTTTTTCCGACTAATTCTTCCCCATTTAAACACCAAACATAAATCAGCACATGGCAAAGTTCAGAGATTTCCCCACTCATTTGCTCCAAGAATTGATGAATATCAGCCGCAGCTTTTTCCAGAATTGCCCATTCGAGGACAAACTGTCCACTTGGAATGCTTTGCTTATGGATTGTTTGTTTTTAATTTTTAACTTTAAATTCATTTTTCTTCTAGTCCAATCCCAACTTATCGATGGACTCGAGTAGATGGACTTCCTCTTCCTGTAGGTCGTCATAAATTACTTAGCTTTGGACGTATTCTTCGTATTGATGCAGCAGAGTTAACTGATTCGGGAAGATATCGTTGTACTGCTCAGAATGAGCTTGGAACAACTAGTGCTGAATTGAAGCTTATTATTCAAGGTTAATTAAATTTTTGAAATTTCCAAAAATAAATTTTATTTTTCAGCACCTCCAGTTTTGTTTCACCCTCTAATTGATCAATTAGTAGCACCAAATTCTACAGCTTCCCTGCATTGTCAAATACCCGATTCTGGGAGTGTACAAGTTGAATGGTTTCGAAATGGATCTCCGCTCTCGCCATTACTTTTAACTGAACAAGAAAGGAAACGTTTTTTGATCGCTGGGAATGAGTATAATTTTTTTATTTTTTTCCATTATTATTTTTAAATTAGACTTACAATTGTCAATGCCTTACCTTCTGATTCTGGAATGTTCCAATGTATTGTCTCCAATGATATTGGCAGTGTTACTTCTTCAGCATTACTTTTTGTTACTGAATTGGCTCCTCGTTTTCATTCAAATGTTTTTCCTTCAAAAATATTTGTTGTAGAAGGAACTCATTTATCTATTCCTTGCCTTGTTCAGTCCAATCCTCCGGCAAAAACTCATTGGAAAAAATTGGACGACTCTTCAGAAGCTGAAGGTTTTGAATTAAATAATTTTGTTGATCAATCAGTGCCTGGCCAAGAAATTACTTTATTAAATATTCAAAATGCTCAAGCACTTAATTCTGGTTTATATGAATGTACAGCAATTAACAGATTAGGAAAAGTTAAAGCAATAATGCGGTTGGAAGTTATTCGTAAGTTTTTTGTTAAATTAAAAAAAATTCTTTATGATTTTTAGCACGTCCACAAATGTCAATACAAATTGAAGAATCCAAAGAAGACCAATTTTCAAAGAAATTTACTTGTGAAGTAGAAATTGCTTGTCACAGCATTGAAGATTGTCCTGAAGCTCTTTTTAGTTGGGAATTTAATGATAAACCAATTGAAAGTTTGACATTTGGTAATGGAGGACAAGAACAACACCAAACAATTAGAATGGGCCAAAGAGAAAATGCTTTTAAACAAATTGAAAATGGAAGAATAAATAGGTTGGTTAAACAACAAAGTCAATTGGAATTACCTACAAAATTTACAAAAGGTTTGAAATTAGAAAAAATTTAAAAAATTTTTCCTTTCAAGAAAATGTTGGCCGTTTTGCTTGTAATTCACTTTTTGGTGTAGCAACAGTTGAAGTTGAACCTTCACTTATTTTTGTTCCTTTAAAGTTGTCGGTAGGGGAGGTACACGATGGAAGTGTTAAATTACTCTACAGAATATTACAACCACAAACTTCGAATGTGAAAAGACGAGATGGAAATTATAAACAAAAGGTTCATTAAATATTATTCTCCTCAATAAAAATTAACATTTTAGCCAATAGAAAAGATTTATCAATTAGATGTTCGAACAGCCCTTGATCGGTATTGGAGACCAATCAGAAGAGTAGAGCTAGACGAGAACGCTATTAGTTCAAATAGTTTAGAGCGTGAAATTCTTTTGGAAAAACTTGAACCGAATCAACTTTATCAGGTTTTTTTATTTAATTATTAAAAATTAATTTTTTTAATAAATTAAAGTTTCGGTTGAGACCGTCTACAGAAAGAGTTCAATATGCAACACTCTCCGATTGGGTGCGAACGCCTGAAGCAGTTCCTTCGCAAGTTGTACAAAATCTTCGCTTTCGAATGCTTGACGATCAACATTTACTGCTTGAGTGGGATCCAATTGAAAGGGTATTTTGATTTTTTTGTTACACTCTTAAGTAGTTTTTCTGTGGTGTCTCTTGTAAATTTTTGCAATTTTATAATTCTATTATTAGAAATGTGGATGCTTTTTGTATTAATCGACAGCGTTGGATGTGCTTAATCTTTTTCCTGTTTAGAACAACCAGATTCCCCCGTCCAGTAAAAAGTTACAGCTTGTTAAACCCATGAAATCACGATTACTCGCGCTTGTCCGCCTGTATCTTTTTAACAAATGATTAGATTTTATCATTTCCTACAGAAAAGGAATTGTCACATCAGGGGCTTTAAATTGATTTATAAAGAATTCGGATTAGTTAAAAGATAAAGGTGATATGTGGTAGAAAATATTGAGACTCTACTGTTCCCTTCTTTTTTGAATAATTTTTTTCTGCTAAAATATCAATTTGTCAAAAACTATTTAATTGTAAAATATCAAATTGTCAAAATTTATTTTGCCTAATTATTTTAAAATTTTTAAAAAATTTCTGATTTTTCTAATTTATTTTAGGTGTTTCATTCTGCTCCTCAACTTCGTTATAATGTTAGTTGGAATCTCCATGATGGCCAACAATTTTCTGAATCTACAACAACTCCAAGAATTGTCATTATTTTACCTTCAAATTTAAAAAATAATTCTAAAGATTGTTTAATTTTGAATGTTAATGTTCGACCTTATAATCGAGTTGGACCTGGAAAAGTAGCAACAAGTAAAGTTGTAAGAGCGAGTGATAAAAGTGAGTTTTTTGGGAATTTTTTGGGGAAATTTTCTTTTTTTGTTTTCTTTAAAGAACCTCAACGTTTTGCTGTCAATCTTCAATTAAATACTATCAATTCAACCCATTTAAATATTTCTTGGAATTGGGAAGGTATAGATCCTTGTGAAAATGTTTTGGGAGCTAAGGTTTATTTTTTATTTTATAAATTTATTTTTAAATAATTTTAAGATTATATGTAATGAAGAAGGAACTAGCAACAATTTGGATAATTTTGGAAATATTAAAGAAAAGAAAGGGGGCAGACAACAAAGGTTTTCAGTTTATAAATTTTTAGTTAAATATTCTTTTATATTTTTAAAGTAAACTTCCAAATCTTTCAAATTCACTTCACCAACAAATATCTCAATCTGTGCCTTCAGAATATAATTTTTGGCTTTTTGGTGGATTATTACCTGAACGAAATTATTTTTGTAAAATAATTGCTTTTGATCAATATGGAAGAAACGGCCCAGAAAGAATTGAAAGTTTTGGAAGAGGGAGGACATGTCGGGAACGCCCGAGACACGAGACTCGGGCGTTCCCGGGTAAAAATAAATCTTTTATTTTATTTTTTATTCTTTTGTCAGTCGGTGTGAAAGAAGTGAATCACCGACCAATCAATTCACATTCCTTTTTATTTTTGTGTAAACATTTTCTTTTTATAAAAAATGTTTTTTTCTTTTATTAAAAGAATTTTTATTTTTTAGCCTTCTTTGGCCTACCATCTTTCCTCCTCATTTTTTAACAACAACTTTCCCACAATAATTTTGTAATGTAAATAAATTATTTTTAAAAGAAGATATAATCATTTACCCCCACTATTTAAAGAAGCACACTCCTCCCAGCAACACTTCATTCTTTCCTTATCCCACTTGGGACAGCAACACACCACAAAAGGTGCTCCTTGCCGGAACCGTTCCCTAGCCTTCTTTGGCCGAGAGATCGGTAACGGCAAGGAGTGCCCCGACAACAATGGTTGGCTATCCCTCTCCCGTGACGACCCAAGAACTTAATAAATTTATTAATTTCGCGATTTTATTCATTTTTCACATTTTTCGTTCACACATTTTCTTTGTTTAATTTGGTTTAATTACCCAAGTTTAAGGTGCTATAATAAAATATTATATTAAAACTTTTGTCTTCGTTTTACTAATTGTCAGCAACCCAAATATTTAATTTGACGTTTCTGATATCTGGAGCCCCGACAACGAACGATTTCGTAAAAATTCACAACAAAAACAACAAAGCAACAAATTCAAAAGAAAGTGGGGGACAAAATCAAATTGTTAGCAAGAACAATAAAAGTAAGTTAACTAAAACAAAAGCCAAAGCTCTATTGAGCCAGGATAAATTTATTAAAAAATTTTTTAATAAAAAATTTATAAAATAAAATTAAAATAAATAATAAAAATGTCTTCAATAACATCAAACAAAAGAAAGTTAAAAAATATCATCGAGATCACTAAAGAATTAATAGCAACAGAGGTCAAAGGACCAACAGAAGAAGAAGACATTCACGTACTTGAAGGTCAGATAAGGAAGATAAAAGCAATAAAAGAAGAATTGGAAAGCAACACAAGAAAAATTGAGATCATTCAAGATGAATGGGAAGCAAACATTCAAAAATTGAAGACAAGTGAAAGAATCGAAGCCGAAAATGAACTAACAAATTTTATCAATGAAAATCAGATAGAAAGTATTTACAAAACAGCAAAAACAAAAATAAGAAATTGGAACTCAATTGAGACAGACTACTTAGTCATGAGGTCTCAAAAGGAACCGACACCACAAAACGAACAAAATACAACAATGAATGAATCTAGAGGAAATACCCACGGCCTCAAACCACCGTTACTAAAATTAGTAACATTAGAAGGACCAAATTGGTCAGACTTTTGGCCTATATGGAAACTATTAATTCATGAAGATGATAGTATTCCAAGGTTACAAAAAATATGTCAACTCTTCGCGCATGTAAGAGGAGAAGCAGCAGCCGTACTCAAAGGTATAGAACCACTAGAAGAAAATTATGAAGTCGCAATCGAAATTCTTAAAGAAGAATTTGAGAAAGAAGAAACACAAATAAGAAAATTAAACAAAGAATTACTAGGATTAAAGACCAGTCAAAATTTTAACGACGACATAAAATTGTTACGCGACTTACAAAGAATAAATCGATTAATGAAGACACACAAACAAACAATAAATATTCCAGCAATATCTCTAATGATAGAGCAAAAATTAAGCAAAGCCGTCTTAAGGCAAATGCTAAGTAAGAAGAGACAATCAAACGAATGGAATACAGAAATCTTAATAAAAAATTTGGCAGAAATCATAAAAGAAGAGCAAGCAGTAAACGAAGTATACAAAGAATCACATCAAGAAATTAACGAAGATAAAAGACAAAAAACACCATATAAATTTGGGAAAACCACAATGCAATACACAACAAAAGAACAAAGAAAGGAAGAACCAAAGAAAAAAGAAGTAAAAATACAAAACCAAATTCAACCAAAGCAAGAAAAAGAAGTAAACCAAAGTGGCCATGTCCATTTTGTAACCTTAATCATTGGTCAACGGATTGTAGAAAAATCCCAACAGCAGAAGAAAGATACAAACTAGCAAGAGAAAAGAAGCTATGTATCAACTGTTTAAGACCAGGACATCAGAGCAAAGAATGCTCAACCAAAAACAAAATATGTTGGTTTTGTAAGAAGCAAGGACACCATCAAGCAATTTGTTTAAAACAATTTGGAAAGAAAGAAGAAAGAAAGCAAATAAACAATAATATCGAAGAAAAAATTCAATTACAATCGGTACGAACAAATAAAGAAGAAAGTAACCAAACTAGTATATTACTGACAACAACAATTACGGTATTTAATCCAGAAATACCGTACAAACAGGAAAAGGTACTCTGTTTTTTTGACAGTGGTAGTGATCAGAGTTACATTAGTAAGAACCTAGCAGAAAAACTTAACCTCAAACTAGAGAAGTATAACAAAGTTAAATTAACAGGATTTGCAGGAGCCAACCTTGGCACCTACACACTTGCAAAAACAAAATTAGGAATACAAACAAAAAGAGGAAAAAGAATTTATCAAATGTCAGCTACGGACCAACCGTTAGCAAAAATGACAATAGTAAAGATAGAAGGAAAGTATAGAGAGCTATATCAAGAAGAATTAAAAGTACCAAACCACAACACAAGCCCTGAAATATTAATAGGGAATGATAATTACAATGATTTTTACATAAAATCGGAAAGAAGACTTCCAAATGGATTTTGGATTAATAGATCAACGGTAGGAAAAATGATCAGTGGAAAAGGAAATCTAAAAATCAACAAAAGGAATAAGCTCGACACAAATTGTCATTATATAAAAGTAAACAGCTCTCTTGAGCATAATAATGAAGACAAAATAGAATTAGTAAACAAACAAGCAAAAGGTATGAAAGACGCTAAAGAAATAATAGAAGAACAGAAATCGATGAACAAAGTGGAAATAAAACAACAAATAACAACAAAAATAATTGAAGAAGTGAAAAACCCTGCAAAACAAGCAATGCAGGCACATTATATACTACGCCAAAATATCGTAAAGAAAGATGTGGGTAAACTACGAAGTGTTAGTGTTAACCGTAAAGCATCAGATCAATCGTTAAAAGACTGTCTTGAAAAAAGACCAAAATTATTAAAGAATTCAACAAGAAACAGAAGTAGCAATCAAACTCCTAAAGTGGGAGAGCTCATTTTGATAAAACAAAATGAGGGAATAAGAATCAAAGGAAAATTGGAGAAAGACGAGTATTCATATGCAGACAAACAACGTGACAGATTCCGCTGGCCAACATTAAGTCCACCTGTGGACTTACACAACATCTCACGCCCTCTTGGGCCATGGAATAAGAGCCAGAACAAACTTGTTTGGACACTACTTTTACTAATTTCGTTACTTTCCAAGTTCAGATGGACCGTGGCGGCAATGATGTGCAATGAGGTGGCCCCCGCAAGAGTGATCGACTTACAACATCGAGGTATGTCTTGTTCAGAATGGTTACCGGGTACCAAGGTCAAATTAAGACTGCAAGTGTATCGGGTAAATATGGAAACCAGGGAAGTTAAAGCAAGTAGGTGTGTCATTGTAAAACAGAAGGTAGAGTACTGGGAAAACGTAATCGGGGAAGGAAGAAATGTGACCACCAGCGAAACACTCCCGATTTCGAAAGAAGAATGCCTCAGAATGACCAAGACCGACCACTGCCAATACGGACCACTCACAGCAACTGAAGGAATCAAAAGGACTCTGAACGATTTCAACCCACCAATCGATTACAGCTATTTCTCCACACAGCATAGTCAGCGAACGAACTGTTTCCAAACCGACGAGAAATTATATTTTGATCCATCCACCGAAACTCTTCACTCACCAATCGACAACATGGCCAAGTGCTCACTAGAGGATGAAGAATGCCCAACCGAAGGAGGATCACTAATCGTCTGGAAGAAACCCACAGAGGAAGTAAGATGCAAGTACACATATCTCGCCACTTGGCACGGAGATTATTACCCAACCGAAAAAATTTGGACCAAAGAAGATCTGGCTTTATCGTTCACTTCAGAACCTCAAACAAAAGAAGACTGTGGACACGACTACGTAATGTCAGACCAAGGATACTTAATAAAACAAGAAGTATTCGACAGAATCACAAGAATACGAAGCAAAAGAGCGACCGTCAAAACCGAGCAACTTGCAAGCCAGCTCACAGCGGCGCAACTCAATAGCATAACCAAATTAAAGACTACAGTCTGTTGGTTGCTGAACACTGGCCTACATAGGCTCCCGTTCACGGCCATGGACGCCACAACAATAGCTCGAAACTTATTCCAACAAGACTTAATCGAAGCACGATGGATAACCAACAGCGGGCGAAACCTCCTGGAGGTAAAGAAGTGTATTCGAATAGAAAAGAAGAACGTGCAATTCCTACCTAACGAAGAGAAGAACTGTTTCAAATTTCTACCAGTCAACATCAGCATATACGACAACTATTTCCAAGCATATTTAGATCCAGTATCACTAATTATTCGAGAGGAGTCAAAAAATGGAAGTTGTAAGAAATACCGAAGACAAACAATGCTTTGGGAAGGAGAACTACTCACAATAGACCAAATTGAAGGACACGTAGTCAATCACCCACAGGCCGAAACAATAACGCTAGACCAACTAAACGGCACGAGCTTACCAACTTTGGACACGCTCATCTTCAAAAATTTAGAATTAACGAACGACTCCGACCCAACCATCAGGTTGCTAGCCTCATTTCGAACTTTCGCCAGAGGACAACACATGCAAACAATCGTGAATGACAAAAGCACGACCGAAAATTACGAAAACCAACGATTCGACTACACGTTCAGCTTAACCCAATGGATGTCATGGGAAACTGCGTTCAAACTAACGGTCATATACAACATTCTATCTATACTGTACTTGTACATTCTCCCATGGGGAATAAAGAAGATACTACAGCGCACCAATTTGATCGAGGCCACACACAATAATGAAGCAACAAGAAGACATTCGATAATTCGGCTACAAGAGGGAAAAGAAGAGCCAACTATAGGAGCAATTTCAACACCTGACACCCTCAGCAGATACGAGCTAAACCGAATCTCAACACGAGTGATGCGGAGGTTAAAGGACAAGGACCAAACTAAGGTTCAATTCCTGAGGGAATAGCTACGACGTGGGGAGTGTCGGGAACGCCCGAGACACGAGACTCGGGCGTTCCCGGGTAAAAATAAATCTTTTATTTTATTTTTTATTCTTTTGTCAGTCGGTGTGAAAGAAGTGAATCACCGACCAATCAATTCACATTCCTTTTTATTTTTGTGTAAACATTTTCTTTTTATAAAAAATGTTTTTTTCTTTTATTAAAAGAATTTTTATTTTTTAGCCTTCTTTGGCCTACCATCTTTCCTCCTCATTTTTTAACAACAACTTTCCCACAATAATTTTGTAATGTAAATAAATTATTTTTAAAAGAAGATATAATCATTTACCCCCACTATTTAAAGAAGCACACTCCTCCCAGCAACACTTCATTCTTTCCTTATCCCACTTGGGACAGCAACACACCACAAAAGGTGCTCCTTGCCGGAACCGTTCCCTAGCCTTCTTTGGCCGAGAGATCGGTAACGGCAAGGAGTGCCCCGACAACAATGGTTGGCTATCCCTCTCCCGTGACGACCCAAGAACTTAATAAATTTATTAATTTCGCGATTTTATTCATTTTTCACATTTTTCGTTCACACATTTTCTTTGTTTAATTTGGTTTAATTACCCAAGTTTAAGGTGCTATAATAAAATATTATATTAAAACTTTTGTCTTCGTTTTATTAATTGTCAGCAACCCAAATATTTAATTTGACGTTTCTGATAGACAGCAGAAAAGGCACCTGATAAAGCTCCTGAAATTAGTTTTGTGCTGGTTGAAGAAATTGAAGATTTGGTATAATTTTTATATTTTTTAAAGATTTCTCGTTTTTTAAAGATTATTTTGCATAATTTTACGCTTCTTTTTTAATTTAAAAACGGGGTTGAAGTAGCTTATGATTGATCATTTAAGATTAAAATTTTCTCCCTTTATTTCCCTTCCAAATTTTTCTAAAAATATTTTAATAGTAAATTGTGCGTAATAAATTTTTAAAAACGAGAAATCTTTTGCATCATAATTTTATTTTTATTTATTTTTCTCTTTTAAAAAGGATTCGGAGATTGATAAAGGTACATCATCAACAATAAATAAAAGAGGATATGCTTTATTACTTGATTGGAGACCTGTTCCTCTTACGTTAACAACAACAACAATAATAAACGAGTCTTATTCTGCAAAAGATGGTTCTTCTTTGACATCCAAGATTAGATCAGAGATCAGAAAAAGTGAAGAAAATAGTAGCAGGCAGAGAGGATACAAGGTTAGATTTTATGTTATTTGGGGTTGGGGTGTTAGTTGGGGGTTTCCCCAAACGTTTTTTGAGAGATTTTGTTTACCTAGACTAGGAATATACTTTGGACTTTTTATTTTTAAAGGTTACCACTCATCCCCCTTCGTTGAAGGACATATGTAAATAAGTAAAAGGGAAAGATTATTATCTTTAAAAAATGTGTTCGGTTTCCGCTCTTTAATCTTTAAGGGTTTTGAGTGATTTGATCGATTAGAATGACAAAAAATTTAAATATTTTTTCTAGATTTTTGTTTACGTTACTGAAACTGCTGAACAACCTATTGAATTAACTCTTTCTGAAGCAGAACTGCACGAACCTCAAAGGCCTTCTGCTCGAATTGATGGTTTAAAGCCAATGTTTTATTATAGCATTCAAGTAATTTTTAAAAGGTTTTCTCTTTTAATTCTTTTTAATTTACAGATTGCAGCTTTCAATCCTGGCGGAATCGGACCTCTTAGCGAAAGAATTCCTGTTCGGGTTGGTCTACACAGGCAGCAACAATTAAACGATGAATGGAATGCTGGCAGCCGAAGCAAAAGATTAAATTTTAATATTTTATTCGTATTTTTCACCATTGTAATGTGTTATTCTATTGAGAGGATATTTTAATTTATTTTCGAACACATATTTGATATTATTTAAGTTTACACTTTGAAATACTTTGAGTTTCCATTTTGAAGTCCCTCGCGAAATAGTGTGAGAACGTTTCCAGAGAAATAAAGTTTATGTTTTCAAATTTTTGCCTTTCAAGTTTTGGCGGCCATTATTTTTGGCTTTTTGTTTTAATATTGATTTTTTACTTTTTTCTATCTTTAACGTTCTCTCTATTAGATGCATGGCTTTTCCTTTTTTGGGGGATTAACTTTTAGAGGGGTGGGGGGTAGTAATGACTTGCGGACAAGACTTGCTTTTCTTTATTTTTGAAAAATGTATCCAATTTTTTTCAGTCTTCAGCAGCAGCAACAACAAAGCATCAGCAGCAAAAGTCCCATTTTAGCTTCGGCTACATCTGGGCAGAAAAAGTCCCATTATTAGCTTCGGCTACATCTGGGCAGAAAAAGTCCCATTATTAGCTTCGGCTACATCTGGGCAGAAAAAGTCCCATTATTAGCTTCGGCTACATCTGGGCAGAAAAAGTCCCATTATTAGCTTCGGCTACATCTGGGCAGAAAAAGTCCCATTATTAGCTTCGGCTACATCTGGGCAGAAAAAGTCCCATTATTAGCTTCGGCTACATCTGGGCAGAAAAAGTCCCATTATTAGCTTCGGCTACATCTGGGCAGAAAAAGTCCCATTATTAGCTTCGGCTACATCTGGGCAGTGCAACGATTAAATTCCAATGCTATCGTCTACATGGTTTGTTTTTTTATTAAATATCCGCAAGTTTTGTCCGCAAGGTTTCCCCCTTAAATAAGTTTATCCTTTCCCAATGTTAAAGCCAATTAAACGGTGGCCAAGTTCTTGTCAAATGAGAAGACTTACAGCAGATGTGGTTAAATGCAATGCTTTGCTTGGTTTGAATGGTTGATCTTTTGATAGGTTGTTTTTATTTTCAATAGTTTTTTATTTACTTAATTTTTAGCTTTGAGAGAGTATCCAGAAGCTGTTAAGATTTTTAACGAGGTTATTTTTGGCTGTAGTTTAGTCGAGGGCCCGCTCCAAACCGGGTCGAAACATATGTCATTCGATTCGTCTCGGCGAGCTGAGTCGAATGGTACCACTCCCTAAGTGCGGAAATGCCTGTGGACCGAGATATAGGTCCCTGAAATTTGAAAAACCATAGGGGGGAGTAAGCTGATTTTGGGTTGAAAAATTCGATTTTTCGTGTGATAGCTCATTCGAAAGAGCTCATCGAGCTGAGTCGAATGACACCAAAATCAACGAAATCTGATTTGATTAGACCGAAATACAGACTTCTGAAAATTTAAGAACTACAAGGGCGAATTTTGGATAAAAAATTTGAATATGCAAATAATAGCTCATTCGAAAGAGCTCCTCGAGCTGAGTCGAATGAAACCAAAATCAGCAAAATCAGACTTGATTTGAGAAAGTTATGACTGTTTGTTTTAGCTCCTTACCTATGCTATCCGTTGAGTGGTTGCTGCTGCGGAGGAAACCGGGCAAGCCCACTTCATCGATAATATGAATAGGATTAAGTTACGAGCCCAGACCCAGCGCCCGTAGACTCCCCGCGAGGCGCGTGCCGCAAAACCCCGCGCAAAGCGCGGGGTTTTGCACAAGCGCCTCGCCGACGCCCATAGGTTTAGGTTGACCATTTTGAGCCTCTTTATCTCGGCTCAAAGTTGAGACCTAGAGCTGATTTTGGTGTCATTCGACTCAGCTCGAGGAGCTGAGTCGAATGAGCTATAATACAAAAAATCGAATTTTTCAACCCAAAATCAGCTTACTCCCCCCTATGGTTTTTCAAATTTCAGGGACCTATATCTCGGTCCACAGGCATTTCCGCACTTAGGGAGTGGTACCATTCGACTCAGCTCGCCGAGACGAATCGAATGACATATGTTTCGACCCGGTTTGGAGCGGGCCCTCGACTAAACTATATCCTTATTTTTTATTATTTACTATGGCTTCAAGATTATTTTTTAGGCCGGTGATTTTTGCGGTAAGGCCGTCTATTTGATGAGTATGCTTTAGAGGGACAAGAATTGCAGAAAAAATGACCGAAGAACTGCAATCCTTTGTTAGAATTCAGCAAACAAGGTTTGAAACTTAATTGATTTGTTTGATTATCTGGTTTCCACAAATTTTCGTTTATTTTAAGTTTTGTCCCTTTTTAAAACATTAATTTAAAAATCTCCGTTGTCGATGTTTAAATCTCCGACCAGTTGCTTCCCTTGGGTAGTTTACTTTGCTTATTAGGGTTGGCATTTGTTCTGGTCGGGCTTCTATTTGTTTTTTAAAAAATAAAACTTCTTTTCTTTGAGATTTCCAATCTTAGAATTTTACAAGCAACATAAATTCCGGGCATTTTTGTTTTTTTAAAGATTTATTTTTTCATTTTAAAGAACGTATAGACGAAGAAAAGGCAAGCACAATATCTGGTCGTTGAGCAATAAAGAAGCATTGGAATTACAAAAGAAGGAAGCGCCGGCACCAAATACCAAAATTGGATTAGGGAAAGAAAGCGAAAACACAGTTTTTTTATTTTTTTGTTTAATTAGATACAGTCGAATCGCCAATTGAACTGTTGGAAAATCTTCGACATTTTCTCAAAAATTAAATGAAATTTACGGATTGTCAAAATCCTAGTTTCGACTGTATTACATAATTATCTTGTTTTATATACTTTTTCTTGTTTTTTTATTTGTTTCAATAAATAAAAATGAATTTGTTGATGATGAATTATCGTTTTTACTTGAAGATTTTCGTTAAGTTCCGAAGAGGCTTTTTAATGTTGTCAGACTCTTGTATTCCTTTTTGTATTGAGAACTACTCTTACTACTTTTCAAGTAAGTTGGAATGTAGCATGTAGAGATAGAAAATGTTGAGTTAGTTGAGAAGTTGGGATGTTACGTTAAAAATAAATGACACTTTGTCCCAAGAGTTAGAGAAATAATTGAGTATCAGCGGTATAGGCCGGTTTAGTGCTGAATTTTGAGAGCGTGATAGCTACTGTATTGGAATACATTTATGTATTAATTAATGGAAAATCAACAATATATAATCAATGAAATGACCCTTTACATGATCCACAATTTATTTCGAGACAATACGTGAGAATTGTTTGCGAAAAACTTTATGTTCACGTAATATACCCTCATTTTAATTTATCGTTCGACGAATTGAATATTTTTCAGCTTTGACTTTTAAGATTAACTGACAAATCAAACCTTTTGGCGAAAATATCATCACATACAAGCTTTGAATGATGAAAAATTAATCCGAATTGATTGAAACCACAAAATTTATGGCCCAAATATGGGCAAGTTAATTGATTGTGGCATTTACAGTAGTTATCGCGCTCTAGAATTTGGCACTCAACCGACCTTCCGCTATACAAAAAACTATTATCTAAAAGACCGTTGATTAAAAGATCGTTCCCAAGAAGGGGTCAAAAGACCGACGCAACCAAAAGAGGTTAAAAGACCGACACGCCCAACACGGGGTTGAAAGACCGACTGGTTAAAAGATCGGTAGGTTAAAAGACCGACGAAACCAAAAGAGGTTAAAAAACCGTTACGCCAAAAAGAGTTAAAAGGCCGTGGCTAAAAGATCGATTGGTTAAAAGAACGTTGCAACCAAAAAGGGGTTATAAGACCCTCTTCGTTATGAGTCTTACTTGTTATTTTCATAAGTGATCTTTTGCGATGCCTTTTAAGCTATTTTTTGCTCTAGGGTTAGCGGGTTGATGATCCCAAAAGATCACTCGACAGAAGGACAACTTTAATTACCTCAGGGCATGTTTTGAATTAAATGAAATGCCTTAGGGGTTACCTCCAGTAGATCACCGAATGGAAGGACAACTTAAAACGACTCAGGGCAATTTTTAAAACCATTCAAAAATGACACTTAAAAATATAAACATCAACAAAATAAGAACATTTATGAATTTAAAGCACAATAAAAACACTAACTAAACAAAAACTTTAAACTTCTACGATTCACTGTTGTCCCTTTCCTTAATTTTATTTTCATAAATCTCATTCAGCTTGTTTTGTTCCAATTGCAAAGTACGTTGATGCGAACGGAGTCGTGACAACAACGAAAGGAGAGCACCTTCTTCTTGCCTTAACATGTCCAATTTGTTTTGAGGAACAGCGGTGGGAGACGAATCTGTTTGGAAATTGAGATTAAAAAATTGCGGAAAAATTTTGCGGACAAAAAATTCTTTCGTTGAAATTTGGACAAAAATCGATTCTTGTTTATTAGCATTGCGCTATGAATTCGAGTACAACATTGGGAGCGAAAAATGTGAACACGGCAGCAGGACCTGAGGGCAGCCAAAAAATATTCTTATACAAAAACCCTTCAAAAAACCCCATAGAAGAGCTTGTTATTCTAAAAACCCAGGAAAAATCAAGTTTAAAAACAAACTAGTTGTATCAGCCACAGCAGGCCCTGCATCTCTAACTTCATCATGTTCATTATTCTCTTGTTGAGGTTCTCGTTTGACGGGCAAATTTGATTCCTCCATAAGCTCTCTCAAAGCTGAAAATTAAGTAAATAAAAAAATTTTAAACATAAAAGCAACCTATAAAAAGATCAACCATTCAAAACAAACAAATCATTGCATCCAACCAATGAAACATCTGCTGTACGTCTTCTCATTTGACAAGAACTTGGCCAACATATAATTGGCTTTAACATTGGGAACGGATAAACTTATTTAAGGGGGGAAACCTTGCGGACAAAACTTGCGAATTTAATAAAGTTAAAAAGCTAACCATGTAGACGAGACCATTGGAGTTTACTTGTTGCATTGTTTGGAGTGAAGATCGCCCAGCTATCTCCGAAGAGAAACTGGTGCTTTTTTGCCCGGCTATCTCCTAAGAGAAACTGGTGCTTTTTTGCCCGGCTATCTCCTAAGAGAAACTGGTGCTTTTTTGCCCGGCTATCTCCTAAGAGAAACTGGTGCTTTTTTGCCCGGCTATCTCCTAAGAGAAACTGGTGCTTTTTTGCCCGGCTATCTCCGAGGAGAAACTGGTGCTTTTTTGCCCGGCTATCTCCTAAGAGAAACTGGTGCTTTTTTGCCCGGCTATCTCCTAAGAGAAACTGGTGCTTTTTTTGCCCGGCTATCTCCTAAGAGAAACTGGTGCTTTTTTGCCCGGCTATCTCCTAAGAGAAACTGGTGCTTTTTTGCCCGGCTATCTCCGAGGAGAAACTGGTGCTTTTTTGCCCGGCTATCTCCTAAGAGAAACTGGTGCTTTTTTGCCCGGCTATCTCCTAAGAGAAACTGGTGCTTTTTTGCCCGGCTATCTCCTAAGAGAAACTGGTGCTTTTTTGCCCGGCTATCTCCTAAGAGAAACTGGTGCTTTTTTGCCCGGCTATCTCCGAGGAGAAACTGGTGCTTTTTTGCCCGGCTATCTCCGAGGAGAAACTGGTGCTTTTGTTGTTGCTGCTGTTGTTGTTGCTGTTGTTGTTGCTGCTGCTGTTGTTGCTGTTGCTGTTGCTGCTGAAGTGAAGTACTGAAAAAAATTGGCTACATTTTCCAAAAATTGAAAAGCAAGTCTTGTCCGCAAGTCATTATAACCTCCCCCTCAAAAAGGTTAATCCCCAAAAAAAGGAAAAGCCACGCATTCTGTTGTAGAACATCTTTGCTAAAAATGGACAACAGAGGACACTAATTGAAACACAAGAGGTCGGCAAAATCGCACTTCCAGGATCCCGAGTCGGGATTTTTTCCTTAATAGATGCCGGGACGGGATCCGGAGGGATAAATCCCGAAGAAATCGCGGATCTCGAAAATCAAAAAAATTCGGGATCCTGTCACGCGCCAACCTCCAATAGAGAGAACGTTAAATATAGAAAAAAGTAAAAAATCAATATTAAAACAAAAAGCCAAAAATAATGGCCGCCAAAACTTGTAGGCGAAAATTTGAAAACATAAACTTTATTTCTCTAGAAACGTTCTCACACTATTTCGCGAGGGACTTCAAAATGTAAACTCAAAGTATTTCAAAGTGTAAACTAAAAAAATGTAAACAATTTTAAATTTCAAAATCTCTAACTAATCGACAGTTAAAAATGGTCAAATGAAAGAAACTCTTAATTTTGTAGTACGTTTTAAACAAATTTTTTGACCATTCACGTCGTTTCGGGTTTTATGCCATAAAAAAGGGGTAAAAATAATTATTTGAATTTCTACAAGTCGAAGTTTCGATCTTCTTCTTGTGTCAATTTTGAAAGATATGAATGTCGAAAATAATAGATGAAAAAAATTTTTTTTAATCCGTCAAAACAGAAAATCCCCCCACAATTTGTTTTTGCCGTAAAAATAAAAACACAACACTTCTTTGTTCACATCGAATAAAAAGATAATAGTAATAACCACAAAATTCGGCGTCAGTTTGGTGTTGACTTGGTTTTGTTCTGTGCTTAATTTAAAAATATTTATGTTGTAAAAATAAACAATGAAAAATGATAAATTATCCCCTATCTACATACTCTCCTTTATTTTTATTTCCTTTCTTCTTGTTTTTAAATCTATGCGCAAATCAACGACATATGCAAGGATAGCATTGTAAACCCCATTTTACAAAAATATTAAAAAATATTATAAATCAAAATCATCCAAAAACCTTTCTTCCTTTTTGAATCAAAACTAGGGCAAAAATTGATGGATTGTCATAACAATATTTTTGCCCCTCTGGCTGAAAAAATAGACCCAAAAAAGAAAAATAGATCAAAAGTTTGTAACAGCACAATATGCCGATTCAGCGGCCCCTTTTCCTCCCTCTCCCTTCTCCCGGTAATAATAAAAATAATAAAGCGCGCTGACCAACTAAAACAGAAGAGTAGGAAATAAAAAAAAGAATTTGAGCTGAAAAATGGCAGTAACAGCTGCTCAGACAACAACAACTAAAAGGTGTGTAATGCGCAAAAGGAAGGCCACCATTGTAATATATCACACACAAAAGATGAAAGACAGACATGTGCTGTGTGTAAGGCTGTCTATCACCATATTTTTACCCGACCTCGACAGGTGACCAACCATTTTTGGGGAGTGTAATATACTTGCTACTATTTTTAATCATTTCGCACTATATCGGCATTTGGAGGAAAAAAAGGAAGAAAAAAAGTGGGCGGGAAGTGGCTGATTTTCTTGTCGAGGCCGGCAATGGCGCGATGACCTCCTCCTCTCATAACACACACACACAATAGTTACCCGCCTATATTTTTCGGGTTAACAAGAGGCACATTTAAGCAGCCCGTTAGTTGATACAGATCATCATTCAGTAAGCTCTCCTCTCAACAGCAAATAATAAGAAAAATAATAATATTTGCTCCAACTGGAGAAGGAAAAAAATTATAATTTGCCTTTTTTTACTCTCGATATTTTTTCTAGTTTTATCTTAAACTTTTTTAAGTATTTATTTGTACAGATTATTTACCTATTTCCCCCAAAAGGGCCAAAAATAATAAACCAAAAAATAGTCAAAAAATATAAATATTTGACCAAAACATTATGAGACCTGTTAACCTCCCTAAATTTCCCTCTAAAATTAACAATCTAAAAATAATTTTTTAATCCACCTTTTACCTAATTCAAAATCCTAATCCCTCCCAAAATACAGCGGTCCCTTCCCTCACAACTTATTTTCCAAACATTTAAAGAGATATGCGAAATTTTAGAAAAATCCAGTTTTTCCAAGTCTCCAGAAAAGTATAAAGTAATAAATAACTGATCCTAATCTCGCCAATCATGCTACGCGTAGTTTACTTCTATAAAAGAATATTTTATTTTCAAGCATTATTTTTGGGAAATTTCTTCACTCATCCAAAAATTTGAAAGAAAAAATAAGGGGCGGATCCCAACTTATTCATCCTTAATAAATCCCTCGCGTTTAATCTCAACTATATATTTACGCGATATTAATAATTAAAATTAAATGCTTCCAATTTTTAGAGCATCAATTTTCAACTCTATTAAAATGCGAGCTTTCTTAATTTCCATTATTTCTCTTACTTTGATCATCTCCTTTGTGATTGCCAATACTGCTGACAAGACACAGGCATCGGTAAAAGATTTTTTAAAAATTCAAAAAAATATTTCAACAATAAAACAGGACTCAGCAACAGGCAATATTGAACATGGCAACAAAAAGGAAGAAACTGCTGCAGAGAAACGCGCAACTATTGGTGAAGAAAAGAAAATTGCCGCAGATGAAGCTTCCCTTCCTGCTGCTGGAATTTCAAAAGAAAATACTGGCAAATTAGAGAATAAGCGTGAAGAAAGCAAAATTGAAGGACAAGGACAACAACATCAAGCAAATGCTGAAGAAGCTAATGAAAAGAAGACTGAGAAGAGAGATGAACAACGCGCAAAGAATGCAGAAGAGAAACAAGAAGGTATTGAACGTCGATCTGATGAACGCCGTTCTGAAACTAAAAGAGGAGATGCTGAATTAGAAAAGGGACAAAACAAGGAAAACATTGAAACAAGCAAAACTGAGAAGCACGAAAGCAAAAAGCGTGATACTGAAGTTCAAAAGAATGAAGGAAAGACTGAGGGAAAGCGTGAAGAAACAAACATTCATGGAGCAGCAGCAAACACTGAAGAGAAGAAAACTGTTTCTGCAACAGAAGACCAAAAACAACACAACAAAAGAGAAGAAATTGCTGGAGCAGAAATTAATAAAGATGAAGCAGCAGCAAAAACTGGATTGGCACCAGCTACCAACAACAACAATGAAAAACGTGAAGAAAAGCGTGAGGAAACTGGAAAGGCAACAGAACAGAGAAAAACTGCTGAAGAAGGAAAAGAGAAGAGAGATGAAATAACTGCAAATAATGAAGAGAAGAAAATTACTGGACATGAAGAAATCACCAAAAAGACCGAGAAGCGTGATGAGGCTGCTGCTGCAGGAACAACTGAAGAAAGGAAGAATGTTGGAACTGAAGAAAAACGTGAAGATAAACGTGAGGAAGCTGTTGCACCAGAAGAGAAGAAGGAAGAAATTGAAAAGGAAAAGAATGTTGAAACTCCACGCAAACAACAGAAACGATGGGCTATCCGTGCAGTTCGAGCTTTGTTCTAAAAAGGGAAGAGGAAAACGAAAAAGTGTTTTTGAGGATGGGTGAAGAATTAAAAAAAAGAAATCAGAAATGAGGGGAAAATTAAAAAAAAGGCAATTAATTAATTTTTAAAAAATTTAAAAAACGAGATGAATTCTAAAAAAATGATCACAACAAAAAATTAATTAATTGCCCCAATTCTTTTTATTATTATTAATTTAATAATTATTTGAGGCATTTTTACCTAATGGTTTTTTCTTAAAAAAATACCCTTTTCTCCAATAATTGTGTGTAATTTGCGCAATATATTATTTTTCTTATTATTATTAAAACTCATTAAAATTTGTTAACAAAAATAAAATTCAAGCTTTTTAAATGTGTGCCTCTTGTTTTTTTAGGAAAAAATTTTTTGAAAAATAACGAAAAATCTTTAGGTTATAGGGGATAGTTCTTACCTAGAAAAAATTGTCAAAGAAATTCAAAAAAAAATATTTTAAAAAAAAGTACCTCTCTCCATCCATTTTTCTATACATTTACACTTCCAATTAAATACATTCCATAAATTCGTCGATGTTGTTCACTTTGAAAATTTGGTTTGAATCGTATTTTGATAATTTCATCAAATCCTTCTTCTAATTTTGGTTCCTTAAATTTTTTAAAATTTAAAAAATTCTATTGAAAAATTTAAAAAAACCTTATAACCAGCAAAAAATGTTTTTATAACAACTTCATTAATATTTTTATGTGCTTCATCTCCACCATCTTCTATAATTTTTCGATATTCATTATTGTGAAGTGAATGTGACAATGAACAATCAAAAATAAAACAGCGGCAAGGAATGTTTAGAGATTTGGCCAAATCGCAATATTTCTTTCTTTAAAAATAAATTTAAAAAAATTTAAAAAATTTGGTAATTTTTGGATAACCCGCGCCCCTTCCTAATTTGAATCCCATGTCAGTTATTCCTTCTTCATGCCTATCATTTATTACCTCAAGCAAGAATAGGGATCGCGCCGACCTAATTCACGATTCCCGAAAATCGTGAATTTCAGACGATTTTTGGCTCGTGAATTCCCGATTCACGAAAATCGGGAATTTGGTTTTCTGTCGGCGCAATCCCTTGTAAGTACAGTCGTAAAAAATAAATTTTATTTCTAGCAAAAAGTAACGAAAAATGGAGGAATAACTGATACACAACTTGGAGGGGGAAGAAGTCCAAAAAGTACCAAAATAAATTTAAAAAAATTAAAAAAAAACCTAATATCTAATCCTCTATTTGTATTATCAACAATTACACTTGATCCATTTTCCAATACTTTTTTACATTTATCAAAACAATTTTGCCAAGTTTTTAATTCATCTTGATTTATTATAACATAATTGTCTTTATATTTTTGTGAAAATGTGCTTTTTCCACAAGCTGGAGGGCCAACAAGTAAAATTAATTCTTGTGAAGAATTTGGTATTTTGACATTTTCTAATAAAAAATTTAAATAAAAAGGAAAAAAAATTATTTAAAAAACCTGGCTCAAATTCATTAAAATCTGAAGAATTTTCAATCAATTGTAAAGGATTAAATTTTGGTAATAAAAATTCTTCTTCATTTTGTGAATTGCTGGGAAAGAAAAATTGTTCTGGAGTATAAAATTTAAGTCCCAAATTCATTGCAAAAAGACGGTCAACACAAGAATGATCTGATTTTGGGCGATTCTAAGAAAAAAATTATGATTTGAATAAATAGAAATATAATTACGTTGTTCTTTGTCCTTCCAGCAGCCTAAAAATTTAAAATAAAATTTTAAAAAATATTGAAGTTAAAAAAAAAGGAAATTTTGTGATGTGAGTAAAAGGAATAGAATTTAAAAAAACCAAGAAAATGTGAGAATACTCGAACCTCATATATAAAAGTACAAAATCAAGAACGAAACCACTGAACCACAACAGGCAAATGGATTACCTAGAATTCATAACCAAAAGAATAAACTAATTATACCAAAATCTTAATTGTAAGCTTACAATTAAACTTAAAAAAGCTACATTCTTAAGTTTCCCACCTCACAACCTTCCTCTTAAAAATCTAAAAAAAACCAACATCTCCAACATAAAATGATTCACTTTTTTCTATTCCAATAGATCCATTTTCACTTTCCACAAGTTTATCCCACATTCCTTAAAAAATAAGAAAAATATAAAGAAACAAATTGAAAAGAAAAAATAAACCTGTATACGGTTTTCGAAAATTTGGAGTCCCAATTGATACAAAAACCTAAAATTGAAATTTAAAATAGAACTTTAAATTAAGAATTAACTTGAATAGGTACACCAATAGCTGTACAAATATTTTGAATTTTAATTTTGAATCCAGCAGCGTCAACATGTTTTTTCTAAATGAAAATTTTGTTTAAAAATCTAAATTTGATTCTAAAGAACAAGTAACCTGTAGAAACCAACGAGGGAATATATTCTAATAACAGAAAGGAAAATATACAAAGGAAAATTCTAAGATTCTACTTAAACCAGGGAAACGTTTTGGCACGCAAGTGAGGGCGCGGATCATACTAGGACACTCCGATCATGACAAAAAAGGATTGGTCTAATTGTAGGTAATAACAACATTAGTGGGGATCCTACCACACAATTAAAACAATTCGTTCCCTTAACCAATCGACCAAACACACAACCGTTAGGCAAAAAATATTTTTAATAAAACAGAAAAACAACCTAACCCCTGAATCATACCAACCCAACTCCTGAATATTAAAAAATCACAAACCTGGATTCCCATTTGATTTGTAAATATACATAATTTAAACCCTTCTTCATGACATCTCCTCAATCTTCCAATAGTACCTCTTGACCAAAATTGCCAGTCATCATTATTTAAAGGGAAAACACGTCCAGATTTTGTTTTAATTAAAGTACCATCTTAAAATTTAATCCAATTTTTATTCAAATTTTTAAAAAAAAATATACCCATATCAAAACCAGCAATTTTTGATCGATGCAAGATTCCTTGAGGTGTGTATATCATTAATTGATCAGTCAAAACGCGCCATGTTCCATAAATTTTTTGAGCAGAAGCGTTAAGAAATATTGGCGCTACAAGGTAAAATCAAAATAAACCCAAATTAAAAAATCAAACCAATTTTTGCTGAGGGTTGTGATGAGGATTCTTCTTCTGTTTTTTGTTGTTCTGTATCGTCAATGATTTTTCTCTTTGACATTAAAATAAATTTGAGATTAAAAGTCCTATCTAATAATGAAAAATAAAAAGAATTAAACGATAAGTATACAAATCGTCCCAACAATTTTAAAAATTTTAATTAAAATGAGTAAATACTCAAAATTTTTATTCATTATAAAAATTAAAAGAAAACACAAAATTTCTTATTAAAAAAAATTATTTTCAAGAATATTGATAAAACATAGTTCCATCATTCATTTGATTACAACTTATTTTAAAAGATCCAAGTTTTATATTTTCATTAGAATTTATTTTTCTTCCATTAAGTTGAGGGGGAAGACAGGCAACCAATTTGGGAATAGCATCGGGCGACGAACAAAGAAAAACAAAATTTTGATGATTTAATTGTGCGTCTAAAAAATCTTTTTATATGAAAATTTTTAAAATTCAAAAGAAACCAATTTTCTTGTCAAAACACCAATTTTTCATCTCATTATTAGAATTTGAAATATTTGTACTGCTTGAACTTGTTGAACTGCTTGAACTTGTTGTTGAATTTCTGCTTTGAGCAACATGCCATTCTCGTCTAACAATTCCATTTGGATCATTAGGATCAGCTCGTTTACAAGAAAGAATCATTCCAGGAGATTCCTCAATTTCAGAACCAACAGCTATCCGAGATTGACGATCCTCACGTAAACAAGCAACAACTTGAGCAACCATTATAGGAACAGGATTTGAAGGTATTTGATGACAAAGAAAAACAAAATAGTCCCCAACAATCTGAGAAGAAAAATATTTTTTTATTTTAAATTTTTGTTTAAAAAATATACCCATTCTTCTCCATCCTTTCTTGTTTTCCCTTCATTATCCAAGCAAGTTTTTACAACATTAGCAGGTTGTGGCTTAACAACAATTCTCCATTCTCTTCTAACCATAATTGCAGGATCATTTGGATCAACTTTACGACAAACCAAAAATTTTCCTGGAGATTCTTCAACTTCTGAACCAACTGGAATTCGAGTTATTTTATCATCACGAAGACAAGCAACAACTTCTACTTGCATAGTAGGCGATGAATTTGAATTTAAAACTTGATGACAGGTAAATATAAAATAGTCAGACACAATCTAAGAATTTAAAGAAAAAATTATAAAAATTAAAAAGAAAACAAACCCATTCCTCTCCATTTTGTCTTCTTTTGCCTTCATTATCCAAACAAGTTTTGTCCGTTTCAACAGGTTTTTTCGCTTCACCAATTCTCCATTCTCTCCAAACAATTCCGGTAGGGTCAGAATCAGCTCTTCTACAAACCAAAAATCTTCCAGGAGTTTCTTCAACTTCAGACCCAACAGGTATTCGAGTTTTTAAATCTTCTCGAAGACAAGCAATTATTTCAACTTGCATTATTAACCAAGAACTTTGATTTGATAAAACTTGGTGGCAAAGCATAACAAAATATGTGCCAACAATCTATAAAGAAAAACGTCTGACCTTAATTTTTACTTTAAAAAAATACCCATTCTTCACCATTCTGTCTTCGTTTTCCTTCATTATCAAAACAAGTATTTGCTTCTTCAAGAGATTTAGGTAAAGGCACATACCTCCATTCTCTATGTACAATTCCAGTCAAATCATTTGGATTATCTCTTCTACAAACTAAAAACTTTCCAGGATATTCTTCAACTTGAGAACCAATTGGAATTCGAGTCTTTTTATCTTCTCTAAGGCAAGCAACAACTTCAATTCGCATAATTGGCCAACTGGATTCATTTGATATTTTGTGACAAAGCATTACAAAGTAATCGCTGGCAATCTAAAAATGAAAAAATGAATATTGATAGCTAAAAGAAATGTTGAGCACTGAAGGTAGAATGACAGACACGTCGAAAATTCTAAATACATGACTTATCAGTCCTATAGTAAGAATGAAAGGATGACGTATAAAAGATATGGAAGACCCACCAAATAGATATGGAAGCCCCATCAGGCCTACATGAAGAACGACAAACCCTTGAAGACTCCCTGAACGAATACGGAAGCCAGTTAGGCTTAATAGAAGGACAAACTCCTTGAGACCCACCGAAAAATATTGAAACCCAACCACCCCATTTTTGGCAAAATATTTTTAAAATAATTAAAATAAACAAACCCATTCTTCTCCATTATTTCGTTTAATCCCTGATGTATCAGTGCAAGTATTAAATGATGATAAATGGTCACCACTTTTGCGTTGCTGACTTGGCGCCTCTTTTTTAAGAAATTCGGCATTGTTGCTTCCATGATTCTTAAAAATTGCAGCAAAACAAATATTTAAAAATAATAAAATAAAAAATAAAATTTGCATCAAAAACATTTTTTATTGAAAAAACAACCAAAATATTTATTTTTATCTCAAAAAGTTGTTGAAGGCAAGCAAAATAAATAATATAAGTTAATGAACAATTTTCTAGTATCCACCCATAGTTTTTCCCTATTTATTCAGTTTTTTTCTTAATTTCTTTATCCATTTTTTAATTCCAAAAAAAAGTTTTTTTTATTTATCAAGGTCAAATCGGTTATTTTTATTTTGATAATTTTGCAAAAAAGCAAAAATATGCAGACAGGAATGAGACAAGGACATTACTTAATTTATGATATTGCCGGTTAGAGCCAGGAACGAATATTAGAAAAATGTTCTCAAATAATTTTAAAAATGCAAAAATTTTAAAAGAAAGACTTCCAAAAAAGATTAACCAAAAATTGCAAAATTAAATAAATTTAAAACAATACTAATTAGTTTGACTCACGGCTTTTTTCCAAAAAATGTACGTAGCGACTGCATTCCTGTAGTGGCTACTTGAGCAAATTTCGAAGGACGCTGAAAAATATAAATTTTGAATTGATCCTATTTTCATTAATAAATTAACCTTTTTTGTAGGAATAATTTTCTTTGGTTGTTGCAAAGCTCTTTTTCGAGTTGAAGTATCAATTGAAGAATATTCCTTAATTTCATCTTCTTTGTTAAGTAAAAGGTGAGAACGAAGCAACTGATCAGTTGATGGAGTTAAATAATCTGACAGAATACCCATTGAATAATGATCAAGAAAAACATCTGCTTGGATAAATTATTAAAATTAAATTTAAAAAAATTCAAAAATAAAAGAAATCGATCCTGAGGAGAACAAAAATAAGCAAAAAATGAGAAGAACTGCGAGGGCATCGAACCCTGACCCGAGGTCGGAAAAACCAAACAACTAACCACTCAACCACCCATGCTACTTAAGAGAATTACACTATTAGCTACTAAAAATTACAGCAGTTACTGAAAAATAAAACAAAGCAAAAAATTTTCACCTCCACGTCCTTCAACTGACACGACATTCTTCTTAACAGTTTCCTTCAGAGAATCAAATTTAATTTTTAACCAGCTAACGAGTTGATCTTCATTTAGACGAAATTTTTTGGTTCCCTTGCTTCCTATAAAATTTATTTGAATAAAAATTTATAAAAAGCAAACCTTCACATTCAGTAACCAAAGGCAAAGCTTTCAACAATTTTTCATTGTTTGACAATAATTTAAGTGGAGACTCATCAAAAAGTTGATCAAGTGAAAGAAACGTTTCTTTTGACTCTTCCAAAAGTGGAAGAATCAGAAAAAGAGGATGAACAGGGAGAAACTAGAAAAAAATACTTAAAGTATACTGAAGTAAAGACATACCAAAAGAATCGTTCCCGGGTCAGAAACAACAGAATCACCAACAAAAATCGACCGCTTTTGTCCTTGCTCAATTTTCATTAATTCAAATGGATTTCCTTCTTCATCAATCTAGAAATATTTAATTTAAGCAAATGACAAAGAGAAAAATCAAACCATAAAAAGAACAGGCCTTCCAAATTTTGGATGTGGCAACCGATGGATTTCTCCTGTATTTGAGCCACTTTTCATAATAAAAATCTTTCGATGATAGCTGAGATCTGACGCTGGTAATGTAAAAGAATTTTCATTCTTGTCATCCATAAAATCGTCGTCTTCGTCTTCATTGGTTCCAATAGATGTTTTTGAACACACTGAAACTACATCGGAATCATCTTGTTTTGTTGCCTTCTTGTTAGTTTTAGATTTGCTGTTAGTTGAAGCTCTGGATGAAGATCGAGCTGGCATTAATATAAAATAATTAGTAAATCCTTAAAATAGAAATTTTTTAATAAAGGAAAATTTGTTCAGACAAATTAGTACCCAGAGTAAAATAGATGAAAAGGTAATAAACTAAATGGTACTATGAGAAAATTGGACAAAATGGTACGCGAAAAATGGTACATACCATTTTGACTAATACCATTTTGTTTAGTACCATTTTGAGAAGTGTCAAAAAGAAAAGGAAGCAAAAAGGGGTAGGGGATCATTGTGTACCGGCCGTTTGTGTACCTGGCCATATTTTGGGCCATAACTTTTTCAATTCTTAATTGATTTAAATAAATAATATATCAATTGAAAGCCCTGGATGTGAGGATTATTTTCGCCAACAGGATTGATTTGATCAGATCATCATACAAAAAGTTACAGACAGATAAAGATCAAAATCACGATTGAGCGCATTTATCGAGATATAACTTTTTATAACATGATCTGATCAAATCAATCCTGTTGGCGAAAATAATCCTCACATCCAGGGCTTTCAATTGATATAATAATAATTGAAGTCGGTTAAGAATCAAAAAAGTTATGGCCCAAAATATGGCCAGGTACACAAACGGCCGGTACACAAGTGGGACGTTCCGAGCAAAAAGAAAAGAAGAGGCGAAATAGTGTGTGAACAGTGAAGCATACAAAAAATTTTCCCGCTTAATTTAGATAAGTACATAAGAGTCTCGTCACTCGAGTCTACCAAGGCTCAGGGAAAACAGTCAACAGGCTACAACAAAATTGAAATTTTCGAAAAAAAAATAATCGAATTTTCGACGGCTTTGAAAAAAATATTCAAAAAATACTTTAAAAAATTTATTAAGCACTATTTAGAAAGAAAAATAATTATTTAAAAGTAGTGGATTTAGGAATTTTGTAAGATATAATGGATAAATGCAAAAATAAAAAAATGGGGGCTTGAAAGCCAGATCAATACAAAAATGAAAATTTTGAGGGGAAAAAGAAGAGTTCTTTAGTCTCTCTCCTCCTTTCATTGTTTCACTTCCTTTGCTTGTTCTGCTGGATGTTCTTCTGATTGTATTGCATGTCCAGCATTTTCTAAGCCTTTTCCTTCAAATTATTTTTATTAAAATTTTGCTAAAAATTTCTCTTTTACCAACAACATTTCCCGTTTCTTTCGCTGCTTCAGAAATATCTTCACTTACAACTTCAGCTGTTCCCTTCACTTTTTGACCTGCGGCATTTGCTAGATTAACAGTAGCATCTTTAACGTTTGTTGCTGCGGTTGCTGTTAAAATTTTTGAAAAAATAATTTTTAATAAATTTGCGGACATATTTTTGCGGATTTTTCCCAATTTTCCCTATTTTTTCTCAAGGTTAGTGTTGGGATTGGGTTCCGAAGCCTTTCGAGGATTATTCAAATTATATTCTTTAAATTATTTATTTACATTTAACTATTTACAAATAAAAATATATACATAGCGAAAAGAGGGAAAGGGGACAATTACAAGAGTCTGGCCAGAACTCACATAAACACTTCTAATTAGATATTAAGATAAGATGAATGACCATTTTGGATGAGTATTTATAGGGGACATTAACAGGTCAAGATTGGGGTAAACAAGTGAATAACAAATAATAATATAAGGGTCGGGAATTGTGATAAACTCTGATAACGGTCGGGATTCCTTTTAATATAGGAAAAGGTCAAAATATTTGTGCCTGTGAATGCACGTGAATACATCATTTATTTTTAGTTTGTTTATTTGATTAGGAGGGATGCAGCATTCCTTCCCCCTTTATTTGAACGTCCACGTTCAAAATTGTAGTTTAATTTTTTTTTTTAAAATGAGGGTAATTTAGGCTATTTTATTAATGTAATATATATTTTTTTTAATATTCTACAAGATTTAAGAATTTAATTTCCTCATCGTACAATTCCGAACGACGGTTTTTTTTTTAATACTTCCTTACAATTTTACTCCGACCAAGCTTTATCTTTAAAATTTTAATTTTTATTTTGATTGTCTCTCGTCTTGGCGACGGCTTTCAAATTACTAGTATACTTTTATTAATTATTGTAAAAGCTATAATTCGCTTTGAATTATTCTTTAGTTTTCTTCTTTAATGTTTCTTTTTTTTTTCAGCTTTTTTTTTTTGCCAAATTCTCCGAAAAATTAATTATAGGGATATTACGTTGAAAAAGAAAGGGTTATGGGTTGTTTTACATGAGTACAGAAAAATTTTTGGTAAATAGACGGAAAACAAAGTGAGGTGAAATTTGGATAGTTAGCAATAAATGTTAAAAGGGGTTTTATTACAATCCAGTCAAACACTTTGTAGAAGAGCAGCGATTTTAGTTGAGTTCCTTTTTTGTTTTCAAGTTGCAGAGCAGACTTTTTGTTTCCATTTAGTTGATTTTTTGAACATTTCTTCATCCTTCCTGAGTTGATTTTGCTGCAGAGGCCTATGTTTTTATCGTTGTAGGAAGTTATCTTCTTCTGATGTTTCGGTCGATTCTCCCAATTTAAGACAGGGGATTTTTCTCTACTTTTTTCTCGGTTTTGGGATTATGTACTACATGTTATTTTATTAAATCTTACTTTTGGTTTTCTCAACAAATTTTCTAAAAAATATTACTCCATGTGCGACTTTTGCGTGTGACTTGTTGAAAATTGACGGCTTTTATCAAGTCCCGGTGAATTATTTTACTAACAATTTCTTCGGGCATTTCATTATTTTAAAACAAATTAGTGTTTTTCTCGGCGAGACTAATGTTTATTTTCTGACGGTATTTGATTTTTTTCCCTGCCGGTGTTTCAGCTTATCAATTTAGGTATTCATTTCCCTTTTAAACATTCGATTTGCCGGTGAATCTCCTATTTTTTTAGGGATGGGTGAAGACCTACATATATTCTTTTAGTTCTATTTTATTTGCTTCTCTTATCTCATATTTTTTTTAATTACTCCTATTTTTAACATTTTCAAATGTTTATTTAATTCTGCTTGATATTTTTCCGATACTTGGTAAGGTCGTCAATAGCCGGAATTTCAATGTTTGTTTAAATTGTCGGAGCAATTTATAATGTAAAAATTGTCATTTTCATTTTTTTTTACTACACTCGCCTTTTTTCATGTTCTATTTCTAATTTTTCTCGCTCTTCCATAGTAAGATTTCTTTTTGTCCTGCATTATTAATTAATTGTGTTTTTTTTTGAAATCAGATAAAGCGGGAGTTTTGTGCTTTTTTCTTCTCGGAAGCAGCGGTTTTAAATTTAATCTCTACTTTTCCTATAGTAGGTACTATTCTCTCTCCAATCTCTACTATGCCGTATATTTCAGGGGGTTGAATTTTATTAATTTTTAAGTTTTATGCCATCCTTTTACCTAACAATAATATGTGGGCTCCTTTATCTAATAGAATTCACATTGATTTGTCAAGTTAGCAACAATAGTTATTTGTGGTATTGCTCATTTATTAAAATTCTCTCATATCAAAAAAATTTATGTTAAATCTCAATTTAAAATACCATTTCTCTGCATTTATGAGTATTATTTTATTTTAGCTGTTTGATTATCACATTCTCTGCATTAGTGAGTGGTCTTTTTGCGATAATGACTTGTTTTGAACTGCTAAGTTAATTATTCTAATAACCTTTTAGATTTTATCTATAACATCGTTTTACAATATCTACGTTTTACAATATTTAAGTACAATATTGTATCAATACTCGTGAGTCTTACGTTTTCTAAACGTAGGTTTTGACGGTTTTATTCTTTTGCTTTTTATTATTTTAAGCAGGTTTTCATTTTTCAAAAATACATATTCTCTGTTTGATCTCTTTTATCTCTCTGTTTTATCTTTTGTAAGGTTATTTTATTTTTTTTCTGATTCTGTCTTTTCATTAAGTGAGCGGCCTATATTTTTTTTTCAATTCTAAATAGGGATTTTTTTTTTTGCTTTTGTTTTATATAATAGCCTCTGTTTTTAGTTGCAGGATGAGTTTAACTGACAAAACATTTTAACACGTTTATTTGAAAAAATACTTTCTTGTTTTACTCAATTTCATACTATACTTTTTTTTTAAATTATTTTGCATGCCTTTTTTTTTCTCATTTTTGCGCAATTGTTTTCGTTGTATTGAGCCTAAGAAAATTTATATTCATTCTGATCATTTCTTTTAATAAAATTTCTGCGCTTGAAAAAAAAATTTTTTTTTCACACAAATTTTCACAAATAGTATATTTTTTTTTTAGTTTTAGTTGTTTTAAATCTATTACCAATACAATATTCACAAAATTTATTTCGAGATACATATTTCTACTATCTCAAGGAGTATTTGGCTCTTTAAGCCTGCGGCGTATGCACCCAGCTTTACCCGCTTAATATCCTTTTCAGGGCACCTAGCCGACGGAGTGTGCACCTAGCTGCACCCGCCTTGATTCATTTCATTACTGTACAGATTTTCTTCATTATATTAAGTACTTGGCACTAAGCCGACAGAGTGTGCACCCAGCTTCACCTGCCTTCATTATTATATCTTTTTATTTACGTTAGATAAGAGATATGCAGAGGTAGCAAAGAGTATTTTTAAATACTGCGGCGCTACATTGTTTCTCTTATTTTTGATTTAAAACAAACGGTTTACTAATAATTTTTAACCAATCTCTTTTAATTTTTATCAAGCGATTTCATGTCATTCTTCTAGCTCAACTTTATTTTTAAATTTTATTTTCTTTAGGCTTTTATCGTTCGTTTTTGACTTATTCAACTTTATCTTCCATTTTCCTAATTTTTATTTCAATATTCTTTTAATTTTTTAGGCTGCAGAAGAGACTCTTAATTTGAGAAAATTTTTCTCATTTCTTAAAAAAATTCCATTTTTTTTTTTGCAAAATTCTTACAATTAGACCATTTAAGGAGTTTAAGCTCGAGCTCTCAATTTTTGAGGATTTCTTAATCACTTTATTTTATTTTAGCACATTTAATTATTTCTAATTTCGACTTTACTGGAATTCCGTTTTTTTTTATGTGCTTTCATTTCTTGCGCATTTTCTCTCGACAAGGCTTGCCCGGGACAAGTGGCACCAAATGTTGGGATTGGGTTCCGAAGCCTTTCGAGGATTATTCAAATTATATTCTTTAAATTATTTATTTACATTTAACTATTTACAAATAAAAATATATACATAGCGAAAAGAGGGAAAGGGGACAATTACAAGAGTCTGGCCAGAACTCACATAAACACTTCTAATTAGATATTAAGATAAGATGAATGACCATTTTGGATGAGTATTTATAGGGGACATTAACAGGTCAAGATTGGGGTAAACAAGTGAATAACAAATAATAATATAAGGGTCGGGAATTGTGATAAACTCTGATAACGGTCGGGATTCCTTTTAATATAGGAAAAGGTCAAAATATTTGTGCCTGTGAATGCACGTGAATACATCATTTATTTTTAGTTTGTTTATTTGATTAGGAGGGATGCAGCAGTTAGCCCTTAAGCACCCAATTACTCAATAGAGATTATTTTAGAGTTAAAACAAGCATCACAGTCTCATATCAGTGAAAAAGTCCGTAAAAAAGTTCGGTAAGACACCCTCCCCTTCCCCAACTTTTTACAAGTCCCCACAAATTCCTTCTTATTTATGCTAATACAATTCCCTACAAGACTTAATTATCTTTCCCCCATTTATTCTTTAAAAAATTATATACCCACCAACAGTTTCCCCAGCTACTTTCCCAGCATTTACAGCTGTTTCACCAACCACCTTTGCACCAGCCACGACTTTGTCTTTAGCACCAACAGCTGCATTAGCTAAAAAAAAATTATAAAAAATTTATATAAAAAATTCGAAAACTAACCAACAGCTTGTCCAGCATTTGAAGCAGCACCAGCAATCGAATCACGAACAGCGGCAGCTTTTTCGGCTAAATTCATTTTTTTATTTTTTTCTAAAAATTTTTTTTGGCTTGTTATTTATCTTCAATTGAATGAACAGCAGTTAGAAAAATTGACTAAAAAATATTTTTAAGTGAAAGGGAAGAATGATAAAGAGACGAAAGGGGAAGGAAGGCTTTTTGGCTAGAAGGAAAAAATAAAAATAAGGCCAAAAGCAGTTGGAATGAAAAAAACCGTAAGTAAAACCTCCCCCCCTTTCCTTCTTCATTCCCTTTTTTCTTATGCGCCATTTTCTTGTTCCTCCTTTTTTCATTTAATTTATTCCCCCTTACAAAGGCATAAATAACACCCAAATGTAAGGGTTAATGAAGTGGAGGGGTCGCGGAAAAATTTTCGGAAAATTTTTCTGAATTTTTTTTTTAATTTTTAAATAATTATTGCCTAAAAATGCCATTATCTTCCCAAAAATTTTGTCAAAAAAATTTTTTTTCGAAAAAGGAACTGAAAATGACAACTTATAATTACAGCAAATAACAAGCCTTTTTATGTTAAAAAAAGAAAGAAAAAAAATTGTCGAGACCTAAACTATTTTTGTTTAAAAAAATATTTTTTTTCTAGTTTTTTCCCATATTTTCTACTATTCCCCTCTTAAAACTAACTGAATGAATCTCCTGCTTCTTTTGCCCTGTGTTTGGCGCTTTCTCTCACGTCCGCTGCTTTCTGGCCTGAAAATGACGGCAAAATTTAGAGAGAGGTTGAAAGGAAGAACAGAGTAATTTGGAAATCGATTTTGCGGTTTTAAGCAAAAAAGCCACTGGGACTGGGCAAAAAGGGGGCTTTTTTGAATGAGGGGAGAATGTGCGCCATAAAATTCAGCGCTAAATTTTAAGTTTAAAATTTTGGATGGCGCACAAAAAGGAGAAGATTGGAGAATTGAGATGAGTAAAAAATGAGGGAAAGTGAGGGGAAATGAGAGGAGGGAATAGGGCAAGTGGAAAGAAGGGAAAAAATTTGGGAACAAATGACAAATGGATGGATGTCATTTTTTAGAGGAATATTTGTTTATAAAAATAAGGGGATATGTAAAAATTATTTTTCGCTCAAAATTGAGTTCTGTAGTGAAGGAAAGAGAAGAATTTGGATGACCAAAAATGTTCGTTTTGGGGTGTGGTGACATATCAAGGACAGGCCTAGGCAAAACCCACCAACGGATTTGAGTTTCGGTACCACTCGATAGTGTAGAAAATTAGCTAGAAAATAAAATATGAATAAAATTTTGAGTAAATGAAGGGGTTAAATCGAAAAAGATTTTTCTAAAACTTTTGCCTTTTCTGAGCCTCACTCTACGCTATCGACTGGTACTACATTTTAGGAACGACTTACTTAAAATCCCCAAAAATTAAAAAATTAATTTACAAACCAAATTTTTCTGCTGCCCCAATCGCCGTGTCCCTCGCTCCATCTGCAATGTTCTCAATTCCTTTGCCTTAAAAATTAAAGAGAATAAAAAGGAAAAATTTTTTCAAAAAATAAACCGAGATTTTCCAATCCGTTTTTTGCCTTTTCCGAGCCAGATTTAATTAGTTGATCCTCTTTAGTAGTGGGAGCTGTGTGGACTGTTGAAATTATTAAAATAAATGGAATTATGAAGGCGGCAGAAGGCACATTGGCAAAGTCTTTGAACATTTTTTGTTGGGCTGCGACAATTGGAAGAATTAAAAGAGCAGCCGAAATTTGAAGAGTTTAATGAAGAAATGATTGGGAGAAAAAATTATTTTGATGAAGAAAAGTGTATCTAGAAGAAGAATATTTGTTAAAATAAATTTTAGAATAAAAATTTTAAATAAAAACAAAAGTCAGACCGATTGGGGTTCGAACCCCTAACTCTTACACCAAAATCAGGAACACTACCAACTACACCACCAACACATATAAGAGAACCGTTAATTTATTTACATACAATCTAACAAAATAATTATTCTTACTTACAAGGAAACCAAAAACAGTTCCGCTTGGTCTTTAACCATTTTGAGAAAGAGAATTTTAATCTTCTTACTTATATATAAACATTTTTGTAAAATCAAGTTTTTTGATAATTGCTAATTTGTTTAGGGAACTCCCTAAAAAGGAAAAAAATCAAAAAAAGATAAGAAAAAAGTTTACGGAATTAAATGACTCACAGAAAAATGACTGTTTTTAGTGGAAAATTGCTATAATCAAAAATTTAATGGAACAATAAAAAAGGAAAAATCTGTCAACTAGAAGAAAATTACCTTTATTTTCAAATAAAATAACTAAGAAATGGGGGCTAATTTACTACAAAAATAAAAAAAAATTTTCCAAAAACGTCGAAAATGTTACTTAAATTGGAAAAATAAAAATTTAATTAGAAAATTGCCTAAAATTTTTTGACAAGGTTAAAGAACAAATAGAACATTTTCCTAATAAAATTTGGACCAAAAAAATTTTTTCCCCCTAATAAAATTCGAAAACAAAATTTTTAAGGTGACAATTTAAGCGTTTCAAACCTGTGATGATTATTCCTTCTCTTCTCCCTTTTTGATTTCATTATCAAGTCAGGTGAACGTCACAAGAAAAAGCTTTCTTCATTCAACGTCTTTTTAATCGTCTTTAATCGTCACATATCGAACAACAAAGAAAATGAAGCCTAAAGACCAACAAAAATTTTTTTAAATAAATTGGGATCAATTGTCATCTTTTTTTAAAATTTGCTAAAAATTTCAACAAAAAAATTAAAGTAGTTTAAACTTTTCAATATTTATTTAAAATTAAAAAATATATAATTTATTCTTTATGCATTTTCGAAAAATTACAGTTAAAAAAATTTTTTTTCCTTCATGAAAAATATTTGAAAAAATAGAGAAAATAGGTAGGTAGACAAAAATAGTGAGCGAAAAGAAGAGGAAAATATAAGAATTTGAAAAAATCAGAATTTAGTGAAAATCAGAAAAAATCAGAAATATTTTTTTAGAAATTCTGGAATTTTTAAAATATTGATTTTCAAATTATTTTGAAAATATAAATAGAAAAATAAGAAAAAAATTTCTAGAGAGGCTTTTAAATTAAAAATTAAAATAATACATAAATATCAATATTTAAAAAATATATGAAATAGATAAAAGATAGTTAGAAGAAAATAATTTACAAGATTTTTGTTTCAAAAGGGAATGGTAGAAAAACTTTAAAAAATTTTCAAATAATTAAAAAAAACCTCTTAGAAATTAAAATTTCCAAAAACTTTTTTTAAGCAGTCACAACAGTAACTACTTCAAATTCTTGTCCAGGAATCTCTTCAGATGCATAAAATATTGCATGTGCAAGCATTAAAAATAATCCAGTTCCAATTACCCAATACATTACAGAGCCAGCATTTGCAAGGTAAAAGAGTGGAATACAAACCATCAAAGCAAAGGTGTACAAAAGGCTTGGTGGGACCTGCTCGGAAAGGGGGAAAATTAAAAAAAAAATAAGAAAAAATTTGGGAATTTGGATCAAATGTCATCCCTTACAAAAATTCCTTTAAAAAATAAAAAACCTCGGAATGAGTGGAAGTGGAAAAATTAAAAAATCTTAGGGTTGGGATGAAATGTCATCTCATTAAAAAATTAATTAAAAAAAAACCATAAAACCTGCCTGGGGAGAAAAAATTTGTAATTAAAAATTTTTGAGGGGTTGGGATAAAATGTCATCTAATTTCTAGAAAATGATCTTTAAAAAACCTCATAACTTCCAAAAAATATTGGTCCTTTCTGTGTTCGTTGATAAATTGTGTAGCAAAGCCCAGCCAATGCCACTAATGTCAAAAGCATTAATAAAGATGTCAAAATACAATAAATTAGTAGAGCAACAAACAAGCACAAATAATTGCTTAGAAAATGTTCCAAATTATGCTTAACTCTCGGACCGATGGAGACGAGTCCTGGTGGGAATCCGAATTTGGAAGGACGGAAGAAATCGCTCCAAGGCTGAAGACGCGCTCGAAGTTCGCCAAGAAGGCGTAACGCCGAAGCAGAACATGTTGGAGGTTGTTGCTGTTGATCCTAAAGGGGAAAAATAATTTAATTGGAAGGGATGGGGGTTAGGAGGGAAAAGCAAAGCCATACATTTGCTTTCGAATAAAGAACAAAATTAAAAATTCTCCTAAAAAATTTGGACGTGCCAAACACAAAAATAGCAAAATCCCTCCTTTAAAATTCCCCGTAAACCCCTTGACCCTTAAATGAAAAATAAACAAAAAAAACTTCTCTTACTCCTTGTTGTTGTACTCCTGCGCCTCCAAAAAATAAAGCAAAACCTCCAGGAGCTGGAGATGTACTCGATGAGAACCACGAAGCTTGTTTTTGCGTATATTGTGGAGGTGGATCCATTGGGGCTGTGTTTGTAGAAGCTGTTGAAGTTTTTGTTAAATTTTGTTGTTCAAGTTTATGCCGCTCAGTTTGTGGACTCGAATTGTTCGAAGAACTCTTCTCTTCCTCTTCTTTTGTTATTTCCTCTTTACCAGTTGTTGGTTGCTCAGCTTGCCTTTTGGCTGCTTGCTGTTGTTGTTGATGCTTAATTTTGTTGGATTTTTCGACAAAACTTGGGGACTCTGGAAAAGTAAAAAAATTAGTTTATTAGAAGAGAAACTGATGCGTAGATAGAAAATTATTTTAATAGGAAAGATTGATGCATGGAGATAAAAATTATAGATTGAAGAATAAATCGTTGACAAGGCTTGTTTCCCAAAAATAAAAGAGTTGAGATCGCAGGACGCGTCTTTGGCAAGGTTTGAGTCTTCCTGTACCCAAATTGAAGAACCAGGATCCGGCCCAGGTCAGCTTAAAAATTTCCTATAGTCCAGGAATTTTCTTTTAATTTCGATCTCTAAGATTTAAAGGAAACATAAAATGAAAAAAACTTTTTTGAATTATGTAAATACTCAAAAATAACAATTTTAGTAAAAAAAGACAAAATTTAGTGATGAAAGAAAAATGAATATATCTTTAATAAGTCACACAATCAATGTTGACAAATAGAGGAGGAAAGGCGCAGTGTGTGTTGATGAATGTAACGAAGCAGCAAACGTTCATTCAAAAAAAAATATCCTTTTTTCTCTCTTTCCTTTTCTCTTTTTTTATTACACCAATTTCCCGATATTACCAATTTTCCCGAAAATGCTAGTATTTATAAACAAAACACGTGTCAACAACCAGAAAATAATAGCTTAAAAGAACTTGATTTTATATCTTTTTATGAATCTAAAATTTGTTGGATTCAACAATTTTAGCTTTAAAAAATTCCGTATTTTCTCTCAATATTTTTTGAAAAGACTCTAATAGGCGCCTTTACTTTTTGGTTGTTGACATTTGAAATGTTGGTCCTCTGGGGGGTTAAAAAATTAAATTTTTAGGGTTAACTCTTGGGAGTAGAAATCGGACAGGGATGAGATCATGGTTAAAAATCCTCCCAGTCCGACCTCTCTTGGGAGCCGAATTTTTCTTAAAAAATTTTTAAAAAAATCATTACCAATCACAACAACATCAGAAAATTCATCGCTGTCATCCGAATCATTTTGCTGCATCTCTGACTTTTCCGTAATCTTTTTTTCTTCCTTAATTTCGGCCGTCGTTGTATTCTCTGCAAAAACAAAGATAAAAAAATTTTATAAAAAAATTTAAAAAAAAACCTTTCGAATTCTCCAAAGTATTGCCAATTTTATTGTTGCTCATTTTTTAAAAATGGTTAGAACGTTGTAATAATACATGTAAAAAAGAGAAAGGAAATATTCTTCTTCTCGCACAATGTTGCTGAAAATCCTCTTATGTATATCTTAAATTAATAAATTAAATAAAAATACCGGTTTAAAAAAAGGAGAAAATTTAAAAAAATTTTAAAAAAAGGAAGGAAAAATTGTTTTGTTTTTAATTTAAAAAAATTTTTTTTTGAAGATTACTAATAGAATTATAAAAATAATAAAATAAATAGTACATCTACGGGTACACCCCAAGGTACCGCCGAGCTATAACTTTGTTCAAAATTGTCGAATCCGTAACGGCCTGGTATGATTTGATGCATCTCGACGAGCTGAAACATACCAGGGCGTCACGGATTCGACCATTCTAAACAAAGTTATAGCTCGGCGGTACCTTGGCCTGCCTCCTACATCTACATATTTTACTAAAATAATTAAAAATAAAAAAATAAAAAAATATTAATTAAAAAAATGGTTGCAAAAATATTAACTAAAAAATTATTCTGGATTGGCTATTTTTAGCATACATTTTACTTAAAAATAAAAATTCTGCCATATGTCTTTTTTGTTTCTAAAAAAGTAGAAAATAAAAATAAGATTAATTTACGACATGTCGGGACAAAAAGAAAGAAAAAACAAAAAAAAAAAGAAAAACTTTAAAAATCCAGAAGATCGTCAAATTAAAAATAAAAGGAAAGAGAATTGGGGTGATTAAAGAGAAGAGAAAAGTGCACCCGATTCAATTGAGATAAAAAATAAAAATATTGAAAATTTATGGAAATACAAACAAACATTTTAAAATTATAAAATAGGAAATAGAAATTTTTTTAAACGTGGAAAAAAAGCATAGGAAAATGTGGTTGCTAAGGATTTCTAAAAAAAAGTGCCTCAGAAAAATCTGTCCAGAAAAATAAAATAAAAATGAGGAGTAGGATAAGAAATGGGAGGTTCAAGGCCAGTAGTGGGAGGGGTAGGGAAAGATTTTTTAAAAAAATAATGCGCAAAAATCCAAGAAAAAATGGCATTTATGCCGTTAAAAAATAATAAAAAAAGGCAGATGTGTGACCTTAAAAGAGTGGGTAAATGTATTTTGTTTGTATGTTTTTCAGTCAGCTGCTGTGTGCGCCGCGCTAGTGGGAGAATCAATACAAATGTATATTAAAAAGCTAGGCAAAATAAAAAGAAAAAAAGGAAATAAAATTTTTTTACATTTTGAAATTAAAAAAACTTAAAGAGCAACCTAAAAATGAAAAAAGAAAAACAAGCCGGGACTGAAAGGGAGTCGAACCCCACGCCCATTACCTCAGCAAAACTAACAAAATCCCACTAAACCAAGAGAGACAAAACTTTACAAAATTTTTTATATTTTGAAATTAAAAAAACTTAAAGAGGAACCTAAAAATAAAAAAAAATAAAAAAGAAAAACAAGCCGGGACTGAATGGGAGTCGAACCCCCACCCCCTTTACCTCAGCAAAACTAACAAAATCCCACTAAACCAAGAGAGACAAAATTTATCAGATTGCCAGAAATTCAGAACAAATCCTTGTGTCTGAATAACAAATGCTAGCAGACTATCAAAAAACTTTAAAAAGCTGTTAAAATTGCCAAAAAATGATGTCAATAAAATGAAAGGAATAAACAACAACAAACAAGGAGACAAACAAACAAAAAATTATTTACTTCACCCACCCACGTATTCATTTGAGGAAAACAATAACAAACACAGTCGAGAACATCAATAATTGCCAAAATAATTGTCTAGAATAGAGGAGCAGTTCACACATAATTTACATATAATTTTTGGCTAGACACAAAAAATCCGCAAATTTTTGTCCGCAAAAAAGATTAAATTAAAAAAGTGACAAGCTGATAACCGTTTGATTTTTGAAAGTTAATCAAAAAATTTCAAAACCTGTGGAATATCAAAGAGATTAAAACCCCTAAGAGTTGCCAGCAAAACTTGCGGACAATTGTTTAAAAAGGCAAAAAATTCCAAAAAAGGACACAAAAAATCCCCAGAGATTATGCCCACCTAAAAGTGTGAATTTTTAAATTATGTATAAAATGAGGAAGGAATAAATTAAAAAATAAAAAAAATATAATTAAATATGCGTAAATTAAATAAATAAAATTAAAGGTATATAAAAGGGAAGAAGCAACATAATGCTTAATTTATTGAGAATTACTTATGTTAATAATTTTTTCATAAATAAAAAAGCCAAGTTCACCCGTTAATGCCGAGTTCACCCTTAAAGCCGAGTTCACCCCTTTCACCTTTTTGCTAAATCCCCTCCTCAAATCTTTCCCTTTTCACCATTTCGGGGGGGGGGGGCTTTAGCCCCAGAAGCCCCCTCTGGCTACGCCCTTGTCGATCAACACCGATTTTCTACAAAAACCCTCAAAATCCACGTTAATTCTCAAATATCCCTTCAAATCCCCCGATCTGTGTTGATCAGAATGGTGTAGACATTGAGATTCTATAGGTATTCGGAGTCAGTAGGCATCCCAAAAGCCCCCATCTTAAAAATATTTTTTGCTAAAAAATCTACAAAAAATCTCCCAATTTTCATAAAATTTTTATTTGCCTATTTTTAATATTCCAAAAAGTTTCATTTTTAGAATTGCCCTATCATTAAAAAAAATCGGAAATGTCAACGCAATAATTTTCTCGAAAATATTACAGAAATCATTAAAAATAAATGGGATATTCAAGTTGCCCTTTTTATTAAAAAATATTTTTTAAACTTTAAAAACCAATTAAATAATATTACTTGACATTAATCTCAAATTATACAAAAAAATTATTTTTACTTCCTTCTAAATACCTATTTTAATAACTTTGATGTTACCTACAGAACCTGCTAAATATCAGTAGACACACTAAAATATTATCAGATTCCCAACAACACATTAAAAACAATAGAAAAAATAGCCTACTCGACTTCCTCCCTAAAAGTCGAGAAGGCTGAAACCTTTCAAGGAAGTCACCCACTTTAAAAACGGTTGAAAAAATAGGGTTGTTCCTCGTCCCCGAAAGTCGAGGAGGCTGAAACCTTTCGAGGAAGCTAACAATAAAACCTTTTTTTAGACTTCCCCAATATCTTCCATGGCTCACTCACATTCACTTTAACATTAGAGTTCACTATTTTTACATACTGGAAGTGACAATTTTTACAGGTGATTCTCTCAAACTAGTTAAAAACACATACAAAAAGCCAAACATTTTTAAGAAAGAAACAAACATTTACAAAAACTTTAAAAACAAATTTTTATTTATTTTCAAGTAAAAGGGGCATCTGAAAATATTTTTTCCACATCCGTCCAATCACTTTTTTTTCCTATTTCCGTCATCAAATAATAAACAAGAATTATTAACTACTACACAAAAAACCCTTGACATTTACCTTTATTTTATTTTTTTTTGCCCTTTTCTAAATACTTCCCTATTTTGATTATAAATATATTCACATTTATGCGCTAATAAAGCATTTTTCTAAACACATGGCAAAATTAGAAAATAATTTTTTTATAAAATTACTCCTTTAAAAGGCAACTGGTATTGAGGAGAACGGCTGCACACACATTTTTATTAATGTTACTATATTAAATGGCCTATGACCTCTCTAAACTAAATTTTAATAGGAAGACAATCAAGTTTGATTTCCCTTAAAACCGATGTTGGGAATGGCTTCGAGAGCTAGATCTGGATCCAGAGCCAAGATTTTTAAAATAATCAGAGGCGAAGCCAGAAAGTGCCCATTACCCAGCACAGCTCTCATAACCTCTCGGTCCACATGATAAAATCAAAAACTTTAGGAAGATTTTCAAATCATCCCCAGATCCTCCTAGAGTATTTTCTAATAGAAAAAACCCCTTAAAAAACAAAAATAGAAAAATACCAAAAATAGAATCCGGAAGGGCTTTTTAGATGCGCAACATTCTCTTTCCTCTCCCCAGGGAAACTTGTAAACACAATTTTAGGGGCAATATTCAATCCTTTGCTAAATACGTGTTTGCATCTTAATTTGCTTCTAAATAATAATTTTTAGTTCCTTGCATGCTTCAAAAATTAAAAACAAAAATAATTTGTAAAAAAATTTAGTTTCCAGAAAATTGAATTCCTTCTAAAAACAATGGAAGCGAAAAACAATAAATAATTTGTAGAAAATAAAAATTTTCCACAAATTTAACTTTTCAGAATGCTTGTTTTCTTTCCTTGTTTTTTTAAATTTTTCGACATTTAAATTTGTCATTCTTTAAAAATTCTAGATATTATTTTTGAATTTTTAGTAAATTCAGATAAAAATTTTCTCAAAAAATTTTTCAAAAAACCCAAGAAATTTCCTCAGAATTTCCCTCAAAACTTCCAAAAAATCCACAAAAATTTCTTCAAAAATTTCCGCCAAACTTAAAAATTTCTCAAAAAATTTTCAAAAATTATTTCCCCACTAATTATTCTCTCTATCAGAAAAGACCTTCTCTACCGTGTCGACAAACTACCTTAAAAGGAAAACGAAACGTCTGTTAAAAGAATTTATATATGAAGTAAATCCCCCTTCCCCTTAGCTAAATGCCCTTTAAAAAGATTTAATAATTATTTACTTATAAAAGTTTTTAAAATATTTTTTACTAAAATAATTCACTAGAAAATTGTGTAAACAAAAAATATGTCAGCTAATTAATCCTTAAATTAGAATATTTTTCTTGATTACGTGTTCTTATTGTTAGTTTAAAAATAGATTCCTTCCTTCTAAACAATGCCTTCCTTTCTAAATCAGTTAATTAAGAATTTTATCACAAATCCAATTCAAACGAAAACATAAGACTATTTCAAGACTAACACACGAATCTTTATATAAAAATCGCCTAACCCCCAGAGGTGGGTCGGAATTCCGATTTCTGAATTCCGGCGTTTTTTCCTTCTTATTTCCGAAAAAAATTTACGATTTTCGACTTTTGAGCCAGTTCCGATTTCCGGCTCTTCCTATATCCGACACCTCTGACTGTTCCGACCCACCTCTGCTAACCCCTTAATCTCCTAATTTAATTAAAATATTTTTTAAAAAATTATTCTGTAAAATCCCCTCAAAATTTTCCCTTAAATTACACACTCAATTCCTTCCCTTCTAAATCATTCAATTAAAAATTTTTATCACAAAATCACCTTTCAAGTCTCTTAATTTAGATAAACTCCCTTTAAGAAATATTCGGCAAAATTACCTTAAAATTAGAAAAAATTTTCTTCCTTAAATTACACACTTAACTTGAATCAAAACACACAGAAGGCACAAAAAACAACACAAAAAAAACAGAAAATCATGACAAACACTAATAAAAGCAAAAACACTCGTCAAATGTTGTTTATTGCTTATAACACAATAAATTATCCAATTTATTATGCCTTTCAAATTTCTTCCCTTTTGCATAAAACAATTACATTTAACGACATAATTAACAATAAAATATTGCCAAACAAAAAACTTCCTAGCAAAAGTGAAAAAAACATTCGGGGAATTCAACAAAAAAGAAAACATTGTTTGCGCTCTGTTTCGCAGGTAATTTAGAATTTAAACGTCCCAAGGACCCTTTCCCCAAATTATAAAAATAAAATCTGAGAACTTGACTCTTGTTTTGTTTTTAAGGCTTTAATCTCACCATTGATTGTCCTTCTTCTGCCAGTGATGATTTCTGCTTCGACACAGTCAGCCTCTTCCTTCTTCGGCTCCCCTGGAGCACCTTTGATCTTTTTTAGCGGCCGACATCATTTCCAGTACCCATGGGGAGAACAAAAACTACAAAGGCATAATATGTAAATTATTCTTAAAAATTAGAAAAATGAAACCTGAGAGAACCTGGAAGGAAAACTCATTTTCATTTTAAAGGAAAACCTTCTTCAAACGCTCAGAACCGGCATTGCCAATGAATGAATGCTTACAGAACACTGCTGTCCAGAGAGCCGCTACTGCACTTCTTGCAGATTTGCCTGCCACAAGTATATCTGAAGAAATGAAAAGGCAAAGAAGGGCAGAAACGGCATTAACTGAAACGGGCGTTGAATGCCCAAATGATGAAAATATTCGGGAGGGAGTGATGAATGAAGATGATATTAGGGAAATCAAACCGGTTATTTAAATTTTCAAGCAATTAAAAAAATTTTTTTCTAGGGGATGCCAATGGAAATGAGATCAATCTGTCCCTTCATTTACGTTGAAAACGTCAACGAAAGGGTCAGTAATTTTACAACTTAAAAAAAATATTTTAAACCTCTTTTAGCGCTTGCCTCGCCGAATCACCGAAGTGCGTTGCCTCTGTGAAAGACCACCAAGAAGGCAAAGAACTCATCACGCTGCAGGCATCCACTGCGAGCCTCTTCATTTTTCCATTCCTGTACTTTTATTTGATGATGAACAATGTAGTGAACCAAAACGATCTCTTGAACAAGTAACTTTGGGTTGTGTTGCTGTCCATGGAGCTAGTAGTCGAAGCGGGTTTCTTTCAGCCATTGGACAGCCCAGACCGCTTATAGTAACTGAGCAACAGTTTTGAAGATGAGGAAATGTCTAAAATCTTAAAAAAATTCGAGAATTTGATCTCTTTTTTGATCACAAGTACTGCTTGATCTCCGACATTTTTAAGAGTAATGTTTAAAAAATAGTTTCAACCGTTTTCAAGCAGTATTACAATAAAATATTTAAAGGATTAAGCTGATCTCTTTTATTTTTATTTGTTTATTGGAAGAAATGCTTATAAAAATAAGCCGAATAAATGTTAAAATAAATAAAAAAAATTTTAAACTGTCTTTGGCACATCTTTTAACCTTCTAAAGTTTGTTTGGTTCAAAATTCTGTATTCCCCCAGTCGCAGAATTATAATTTGAACATGCAGAATTTGAGCGTTCCTCCACTGTGTTTGTTACCAATCCACTCCTGCGTCGATCCAAAGTGCGTAGGCTAAAAATTTTTGTAAATTTAAACAAAATTTTAAAAAAACCCAAAAAGATAAGCAACGCCTTCTCTATATTTTGCACTAAAAACGGCATAATAAATCCAGGTAGTTGAACTAAAATATGAGGAAAGATTTGCAAAAAAAGTTTCAAAAAAACCTGTTGAGAACCACCAAAAAATTAGCCAAGTCATTCAAAATAAAAGCTGTTGAAGCCGAGCTTTCATTAACGAAAAGATCGCTTTGCACGCATTCCGCCAAATTTAAAAGAAAAGGAAGAACATTACACAAAGCAAATGAAAGGGTGACAAGTAGGAGCATTGCGGTAGTGTTGTGCTCTCTCAATTGCTGAAAAATGAAGGGAGAGGAGTTCGTTTGAATTAAAATAAATTCTTGAAGGAATTATTCGGAAAATCAAAGACAAATAGGGGAAGATAACGGGAACGTACTAGAAGTTGACATGGGACAGGAATTCATCAGGATTTTCTGATATTCCATTCTCTGATATTCCTGGGTTTTAAGTAGAGTTGTAACCCAACCCCGTTCTCGAACGATTTTTTCACATTTATCCCTGACCGAACCCTGCCCCGAGACAATGTAACCCGTCCCGAACGTTCGGGGTCAAACCCTAGTTTTAAGAAACAAACGGGATTTATGATTAATTCCACAGATCCCGACCTGTACGACATGTTGGAAAACCCCCCGTTATTTTACCAACTCTAAAAAGTATACACAAAAATTTTCTTAACCTTGTTAGTAAGCTGTTCACGAATTGAACGCAAATGTAGAATACGGTGTGCTAGCAATCCATTCAAAGAAATTATTGTTCCAAAAGGAAGCAAAAAATGAGAAAGTAGGAAAAGGAGGGAGTAATAGCCGAGCATATACCAAGGATGATCATTTGGATTGCGTAGATTTCGTTGAAAAGACAGACTTCCATCAGAGGAATTTCTGAAGTTTAAAATCAAATTTAAATTAAAAACAAATAAAAATAAACATTAAAGTGTATTCCCAAAAGCGCACAATATTGTAGGCTATAGAAAAGCCCAAAATGAAAAGTAGTGACCGCTTTGCTGTACGAGGTGTGCAAAGAGAGCGAACCTTAAAAATAAAAAAATAATGAAAAATTATCTTTAGAAATAAAAAAAATACATGAAGAGGTCTACAAATAGCCAGATAACGTTCAGCGGTAATCAAAACAATTGTGTATATACTGCAAGTCTGAAAATAAAAATAGAATTGATGTGACTGGAGTTTGACGCCGGGACTGGGTTTTCGGACCTGGCAGTCTGAAAACCGGTTATTTTGAAAAATCTAGGGTTTCCCGGGGGTTCATCACGGAGGACCCCGGTCCGGGCAGTTTTGAAAAAAAAACCTCAGAAAATCCCTATGGCAATTTGGGAATGTCGAACCCTAATTGTAACCCTAATTTTAAAAAATTTTTTTAACCTGAAAAATAAGATTGACGGGATAAAGAAATTTGACCACAATCGCTTGAAATTGTTCAGAATAAAAAAGTTCCCTTAAAAATATTTTTTAAATTCAATTTGCATAAATAAATTCAAATAAAATTTACCCGCTTTGTAGGTTGGGCAGGACAAAAACTGGAATAGCAAATAAGAGAAGACCAAAATCTATCAAAGAGAGAGCAGTTAACAAAATATTAATACTTGAAGTGCGCTAAAATTTAAAATTTAATTTTAAGAAATAAAATACGTGACGAGAAGAGTCGAAAACCGTGTACGTGCAGCGCAATTTTTTCCCGAATGAACTCCCCCCCTATGAATTTGGTCTCCCTTACTCATTTAACCCATAGTTTTTGATGTTTGGAACCCTGTAAATGCGCTCATAGATTTTTCATGAACTAATTCTGTTGTCAGCCGAACATATCAGCTTAACAAGCTCTTCTGTGCCGGTTTCCAGGATAACCTCGAAAAACCCGAATTTTTCAAAATATCCGGTTTATCGGTCTTAAACTAAAAATAGACGGGCACGGTCGACAGGAATGCCTAAATATTTAAATAAAAAAATACCTGAAGAAATACAAGAGCCGATAAAATATTTCCAAAACATCCAAAAATAATTATTGCCAAAGTGCAAGATGCCAGTAAATGTCGTTCAAGTTCCATTTAACTAAAAAATGAGGTTTAAAAAATTTTCTAAAATATTTAACTAAAATTAAATCAAAGTTTAAAAGGGAATGGATAAAAGGATTAAATTGATGAGGACCAAAGCAAAGCAAGAAATTAGTAGGGAAAAAAGCAGATGGGACAAAAAATCCCACTCAAAGTGCAACTTTTTTTAGACTGGTTTTTGTCAAAGCAGCGTCAGTGGGGGCACTTGATACACAAAAAATGGCGTGCTAATAAACGAATGTATTCAAAAAGAGGAAACTGGAAAAATTTTTTCCAAAGGAATTTAAAAAATAACAATGAAGTTAAACCAAAAAATGTGTAGAAAATGTAGAGGATAACTTAAATTGGTAAAAGGCCTCCGATTTGAAAATTCTCCCAACCTTTTTTAAAAGAAAAATGACCAAGCAAACCTGAAAATCAACTACAATTATCCAGTTGACTCCCTACATGTCCACAAAGAAACTGGGCACTTTTCCTTCCTCGCCTTATCTAGAATATAATTCTGTTGAATTCTGCATCCAATTTTATGTGAGAAATTCAATTGAAAATTAAACCCATTTTGCAGCATCAAATTCCACACGTCGAGTAGAACAAAATATAAAAAGTTGAGAGCATTAAGAACTGAAAATAAAAATAATTCATAGTTTCCTGTAATATGATCTTAGAAAATTAAAAATCTTGAAAAATTAAATCCTTATTGAAAATTTAATAAATAAAAGACGCAAAATGGTCATTCTACCAAAATGTTGCCAAATTGATCAATTACCATCCATAAATTTTATTTATGCCTTTTTTCGCTTCAAACTGGCGCAATATTTAATTGTCGCACCAAAATGGCCTTATTTTTAGAAATTTTTTCAATTGATTTTTTCCCTGTTTTTTCCTGTTTGTTGGCCCCGTTTTTCTAAAAATTCTCTTTAAATTTATTTTAATCAGCAGAAAAAATTTACCAATTGATCTAACCATTGAAATAACTGTATTTTCTAATTAGGGTTGCCGGCACGGCTTAGTTCGAAAGATCGAATCGGGTTTCGATTTTTGGCCCGAAAAGGACTCGACCGGTCCAGCTTGAAAAATTGAGGCCTGGAAAAAGACTCGAACGCCTGCCCGATTCGAAAACGGCAGCCCTAATTCTAATATACTTTTTTAGACAGATTATTTAATTCGACAAGACTTGATTATTTTAAATATGGCTATGTCTGTACCAAAGTCGGGTTATGCCCGTTTTATGAAGGAAGGCGCAATGGTTTATTAATGTTTTTTGAAAATTTTAAATTTTTTATCATTCAGCATTTCAAAGGAATGGAGGAAGCTGTTTCTCGAAATATTGAAGCTTGCATGGAATTGGCTTTGCAAACACGTTCTTCATATGGACCTAATGGTTTTTATTCTTTAAATATTTTTAAGGATTTTAAGCGGCTATAAGGATTGACGTGATTCTCTTACGGAATTTTTTGCGGACTTTCCTTCTTTTCTCTTTAGCAGTTCATAGCTAGGGTTTTGAAATGAGTCTAAATTTTTCGCAAAATCAATTGATTGATTCACTATTAAAGGAAGCCTAAAGCCCAACTAAATTATCGAGCGAAAGGTCCGCAAAAAGTTCTCAGGAATTGCACCGTCCGCAAATTTAGTCCGCAATAATTCCCACTCTTTAAAGCCGTCTAAATTTATCTTTTAAGGGATGAATAAAATGGTAATTAATCGTCTGGAGAAATTGTTTGTCACAAACGACGCTGCTTCCATCCTCAACGAATTAGAGGTCCAACATCCTGCTGCTCGTATTATAGTCCTGGCCGCTCAAATGCAAGAAAAACAAATTGGTGATTGCACAAACACGGTTGTGATTTTTGCTGCTTCTTTGTTGGAACAGGCTTCGCAGTTGCTTTCTATGGTTTGTTTTATTCTGATAAAAATTCTAAGGGAGGGGATTCATTAGATAGCATTTTAAAGTACGGGGCAGGGTTTTAGCCACTTTATGAGCAAAATTGGTCATCAGCCTGTAATCCAATCGGTGAAATCACCCGGTAATCCAATACATGGTTAGCAAGGCCTTTGAGGTTTTCAATTACTCCTAGAAGGTAGTATGTTCGGTTCCTGTCCGCCAGGGTAGTTGGTTCGGTTCCTGTCCATGACTAAAATCGGGGGGGGGGGGGGGGGGGTCCTGATATTGGGGTTTCTGTCCATTTCTAATCTCTCAATTTTTTAAAAATAGGGAATTAAACCTATCGAAATTGCGTCTGGCTATGAACAAGCATTGGCTAAAGCTGAAGAAATTCTTCCTAAATTGGTTATTGGGAAAGCCGAGGATTTGTACAACGTGGATCTGGTTAAAACCTACCTACTCCCGTCAATTACTTCGAAACAGACTGGAAACTATGATTTTGTTGCTGGATTGGCTGCTGATGCTTGCGGTAAGGTGTTTCTTCAATTTTACAAAAATTTAATTTTTTAGTTAAAATTGCTCCCAAAAACGTGCACAATTTCAACGTTGACAACATTAGAATCTGTAAAATTCTTGGTGCTGGCGTTTCTTCAAGTTTTATTGCAAATGGAATGGTTTTCAAACGAGGAGCTGAGGGAGAGGTTAAGCAGGCTACAAACGCGAAAGTCGCAATCTTTGCTTGTCCTTTTGATTTAACACAGACTGAAACAAAGGTTTGGGAATTTAAGAAATATTTGCCAAAAATTGGGTAACAAAGGGAAATAGGGAGGTAAAGGGGGAGAATGCTTAAGGGTCTTCTACATCTGCCTAAAAAATCAGTTGACCTTTTTTCAATTTCAGGGCACTATATTGATGAACACAGCAGATGATTTACTCAAATTCAGCAATACTGAAGAGGCTAATGTTGAACAAAAAGTTAAGGAGATGGCGGATGCTGGTGTTTCTGTGGTCGTTGCTGCCGGAAAATTTGGGGACCTTTACATTCATTTTTTGAATAAATACAAAATTATGGGTGTTAGGTTAATTTGAAATTTTTTTAAATTTGAAAAATTTTTTAAAATTAGATTGACATCAAAATTCGATTTGCGCCGTCTTTGCCTCACTTTGGGCGCGCAAGCCCAAGCTGTTATTTGTGCTCCACCAGAGGATTCTTTGGGGAAATGTGACAATGTTTTCATTAAAGAAATTGGAGATACTCAGGTTTTTGTTTAAAATGATTTTTCATAAATCAATCTTGTGTTTTAGACAGTTATTTTTGATAAACAATCAGCAACTTCCAAAGTGGTGACCGTCATTGTAAGAGGCTCTTCTCAATCTATTTTGGATGATGTTGAACGTGCAATTGATGATGGAGTGAATACTTTTAAGGCGTTAACTAAGGACAATCGGGTTTGAAAATTTTTTTTGTTTAACTACTAATAAAAGTGAACCTCGATATAAGATAACCCTCGGGGGCTAAAACCTTATAATGTATTTTTATGTACTAGAGATCGTTATTTAAGACTTCAGCCCCGTTTCTTTCTATGACTAGTCAAATTCAAAAACGTATCTTAAACTTGAATCTTATTCTGTGGTTATCATATGTCGAAATAAAAAAATTATTTTTTTAAGTTATTGGCCGGTGCTGGTGCAACAGAAATTGAATTGTCCCGTCAAATTCAACTTTTTGGAGAAACTCAGTCTGGACTTGAGCAATACTCGATTAGAAAATTTGCTGCAGCGTTGGATGTTTTACCTAAACAATTGGCTGAAAATTGTGGAATGAAAACTACAGAGGCTTTGGCTAATTTGTATGCTGCTCATCAAAATGGATCAATTAATGAAGGAATTGATGTTTTAAATTCAAAATTGGTTGATGCTAAGGAAGCAAAAATTTTTGATTTATTTAATGGAAAATTGTGGGCGTTGAAATTGGCAACAAATGCTGCTTGTAGTATTTTGAAGATTGATCAGGTTTTTTTGAATTTTTAGATTTTATGAATTTTCTTTTTAATTAAACTTTATAAGATACTCTTGGGGTTGAAAAGATTTAAAATTTGGAATATCGCCCAAATAGTTCCCCCACCAAACGCTACTCTAAATTTTACTACAAACGTATTTTAAGTGTAAGGTTATTTGGTTAAAAAGACGTAAGTTGGACCTCGCTATATTATGATATCCCCAGGCAGGCCCATAACCAGAATTCTTTTTCGAGGGATGGGGTATGGGAATCATTTTTATATAGGTTTTTGAGCTTTATAATTCTTTATAAAATTTTAAAAATTTGTAAAGATAATTATGGCTAAACCATCTGGGGGACCTACTCCACGAGGACCTAAAGCACAAGATGAGGATGATGATGATGGTGCTGGAATGGCTTGAAATTAATTTTTGATAGATGAAACAATACTTAATGTTGGTCAAGGACATAAAATGTTTGGTTTTTTTATTTTTGAAATTTTCTTTTAATTAAAAATTGTTTGCCATTTTTGTTATGCATATTTTTTCGGAATTTTTTTTCGAGTAAATTTTGAATTAAAATTATTTTGGAACAGAATTTTTAGGTTGGGTTAAGTCATTAAGAGACACAAAAAATTATAAACCTTAAGTATTCTATAAATAACATGGCCAATAAATCTTTTCTTTTTTCACCAGGCGTCTCCTAACATAATTTAAAGTTAGCAGATGCAAAAACGATTTTTTAGTGTAATATTTGAGGCAATATAACCACACCCAATTAATTAGTTTAGGAAATGTGTTAAGATAAAATTAGGAGAAAAAACGCGTCAATGAATAATCAAAAATCTCCTTTTTTAACCTTCTAATAAAATTTCTCAGAATATTTTTTTTGAAAATTTTTTTCAGAAAATTTTTGCAAAATACTTAAGCTTACATTTTTTCTAACAAAATTATTTTGTCTACCAATAATAATTAGGGCTGTGCGAATTTTTGAATTCTCTCTCATAATTCTCTATAGGGATATTCAATTTTTTGACCTTTCCATTTTTTCTAAATCTACCCTCAATAAAAAAGGCTATTGTCGGCATTGACCTTCTATGTATAGGGAAACACTTGACATTAACAATAATTTTATTTTTTTTGAGTAAATCCAAAAATCCCTCTCCTTTCCCCAACTATTGTTTGGAGGTATTTGATGAGAGGAATTTTGTGAGTCTAAAATTATTTAGGAGCAAAAATGGAGAATTGTGAAGGCATTTTCTTCCTTATTTAAGGTTTCGGAACCCAAATTTCGGGAACCCAAAAACGCCGGGACTTCCCGATTTTCGGGAATCGGTTCGGCTTGACCCCTGGTCCACATAGAAATTTTATTTTTTAATTAAAAATTTAATTTATTTTTGCTTTCTTTTGGTTTAAAAAGCAATCTTTTTGGCATTAAATTTGTAAAAAAATAATTTATTCATTTTTTCAGTCGGTTCTTTCCTTTTTCAGCCTCTCCCAATTTTTTCTTATTACTTTGTTCTTCCTCAAATTTCTTCCAATTTTTAAGGATTTCAGATTTAGATAAGCCGAAAAAGGAGGAATTTATAAAGAAAGGACTTAAAAACACTTAAATATATAAACAATCCCTCAACACTCATTCAGACCTTCAAATCGGAAAATTAAAAAAAAAAGGAAAGGCGATAGAAAGCAAAAAAAAACAAAGGGAGGGGAGGGGGAAAGAAATCCTCTCAAAAAGGAATTAATGGTCTGAGGAGAAGTGCCTTCACAATAGTACTAAAAAAAGGGTGAAGAAAGAGGCTTAAAGCCACATAATAAGGAGGACTTTACACACAAATTAGAGTTAATTATTCAAAATAATTTTAAAAAGGGGAAAATTTTTCAACAGAAAATTGCCAAATTATCTCAATTTTACTTCAAAATTCCTCTCATTCATTCACTTTTTATGCCCCAGAGACTCCCGATTTTAGTGTAAAAGGGCAAGAGTTGTTCACGAATAAAGGGGAGAGAGAGACAGGCGTTCCGGTCGACGTCCTAAGCGAAAACTAAGCAAATCCCTCAGCCATCATTTTTTTATTTTTTTGTTGTTATTTGTGGCCTTTTCTTCCTGTTTTTCTTCAATTTTCTTTTATTCGTCCTTTCTTAAGCATCCTTTACCCTCCATTTTTATTTACTTTTTCAACGTGGATTTTTTATAGTAAAAAATAAAATTGAATTGGCTTTAGACTTGACAAAACTTCGAAATTTTTTTTGTTTTTTAGTTGCCAATTTTATTTTTAAAAATTCTAAGAATTAAATCTTTTTTCTGTTTATCAATTTTTCAAAATTTAGAGTTCAACGGATCCAAGGGTGATTCTCAGAAATTTTTTCTAGGTTCTTACTAAATTTGTAATTTCAACTTTAAATATATCCAAGCTATCATGCCAAGTTAATTTTAGAAAATTTAAAAATAAATTGAATCGTGTTTCTATTTTTCAATATTTCAATGTTTGAAGTCTTAGGGTGATTCTCAGAAAAATTCTCTATATTCTTGCCAATTTTATTTTATTTTAAGTTGTTGCTAAATTAGTATTTCTGACTTTTTTAATTAAATATATCCTCCAACTTAACATTTCCGCCTTTTCAATTTTATGATATCGATGAAATTTTTTCTTCCAAAAACTTTTTATTGCCCTTAACCTTCTTATTTCTGTCCCCCACTCATCCAGAAAGAGTTTTACCTCTTGAGAAGAAAAATTGCATTAGCGTTATTGGAAGGGGGATATGTAGAGGAGAAAGATAGATTGCATTTTAAGGGTGGGGTAAGTGGTGCTTGTAGGTAAAAATATATGGGGGAAATGCTGTCGCCTTATGGTATTTATTAAAAACATTTTTGAGGACAACAACAACATTTTAGGGAATAAGTTTGTAAAGTGTTCATTATTTTATTTATACTTGGTTATATTCCTTTCTAATAATCAGACTTTCCGGAAAAATATTTTAGCCTTTCTAACTTCCGGAAAAATATTTCCCACAAAAATATCTCAATCTTTCTAACATCCGGAAAATATCTCAGTCCTAACTTACTGAAAAATATCTCTAACTTTCCGGAACTTTCCGGAAAAAAACCCTTTCCGGAAATTATCTCTAACCTCTCTAACCTTCCGGAAAATTCTCTCATCCTTTCTAGCTTCCAAAATACTTCCGGAAAAATGTCTAAACCTCTCTAACTTTCCGGAAAAATCTCTCCACCTCCTTAGTTTCCGGAAATATCTCAAACCTTTCTGACTTCCGGAAAATATAGAAATATATTAATTCCTTTCATTTTACAACCTTCCGGAAAATATGTACTTTTAAAATTGCATTTTCTTGCTGTTTCTTTTATTCATCTTCTTCCTTTTTTTCTAATTTTAAAACTCATTTGAATTGCAATAAAATTGGAGCATCTTTATTGCTTATCTTAAAACTTCCTCTTCTTCCCCCAAAGCTGTCATTGCCCATCCACTAAAAATTTTCATTATGCCGCCAAAAGAGGAAACAGTCAGCGACTGCTTTTGGCACTTTGTCCATGTTGGAACAAATGCCTGAGGCAAAATTTGTGACGCATAGTTCAGAACATTAGGAGTGGTTTCTGATGTCCAAAAATTAATTGTTTCTAAATAGGGTACCCTAAACTCAACACTCCCGCACCCGAAGGCTCAGGGTTTTACCCTGTTTCTGACTTTTATTCTTTTTACTCTTTTGAGTATTTTCCAGTCTTTTTATTATTTTCCATTCTTTTATGAAGTAATTCTAAATAAAATTTATGTTAATGAGCACAATTTATATTTATTTTTATTTGTAGTATTTTTCGCGCGCGGCACTCTCTCTTAGTTGGCTTCCGACTTAACTTGGCTATTTAAAATTGAGAGGGTGGTTTAGTAAATAAATGAAGAATTAAATAAATTTGTTTCTAATCTTCCCATAAATAATTTTTCTATTTTTATTTTTCTAAAAGGCTTCAAAAAAATTTTTTTCGAATTCCAATTAATTTTTTAAACAAATAAAAATTCATTTTTACCCCAAAATTTATTTTCTTATAAAATCTGAAATTCTCCCTTGCACATTAAATATTCCCCAAAGGCTTGTAGTTCCCCTCAGAGAGCTTTCCGGATATTTTAATAAATTATTTATTTATTTCGGTGAACACTTTTATTTAATCTAATTGCGCGAGAAAGAAAACAAGCTCTTTTATAAAAAGCATTGGCAAATGAAGAAAGGCTTAAAATATATGAGAACATAACAACACAGAAATGTGTAATTAATAAAATCTTAAAATAGCTTTGCACAAAAATTTTTTAAAAATTTTCTTTTACTCTTTATTGGAATTTTTAAAAATTTATTTCAAAAATTAACTATCCCGAAAATTTATTTTTATCACAAGGCGATACTACAATATTACCCCTATTAAATTATTGATTGATTAGAACAAGAGGGCTCTGAAGAGACCGATTATTGGGCGAGAGAAGTCAGAGAAAAAAATTTTTTCTCTGCCCAAAGAACTGGTCTCTTCAGGCCCTCTTGTTCTAATCAATCAATAATTTGCAAACCCAATCCTTTTGGGCGTTGCGGGGTTTGATTGGAGTAGGTCGTGGGAGAAGTAAAGTTGCATCGGAAAGTGATTCAGGGTGCTTCAAAGGGTATCAAACGAAGCCTTAAGCGGGGGCCGAGTCGAGTCGGGCCGGCGGGCAATCAATCGATAATTTATTTTTAAAAACTTGTGGCTCTCAACCTAAGCCTATTGTGTGTAGCGTGACGGCTACTCCGAAACGGCCACACTGAAACGGCTACTTTTTGGCTCTCAACCTGACCGCACTCAAAAGGTAACAATAATTTTCACTGCCATTTTCGAGAGCCAATTCAGTGCATTATTTTTAATTCGCTATGCGACCCGCTCAATTGGGAATGAAAAATTTGTTTTAGTTCGACACAAGCTCTCTAAAGGTATCTCGCTAATATTTTTTGCAATGTTGGATTCTTCGGCAGAAGTAATGAATCCTAATTTACGCAGAACTCGTAGGAGTAAGATCCAACAAATTAAAATCATCGGGAGAATAATGAAATGAAGTAGTAGTAATAAAGGTATCCCATAAGCTACAGTGGGATCCAAAGCATTATCTTGTAAATTTGTGCTAGCAATTTTTAAAAATTCAAATGTTATATTTTGGGTAGTGTTGGAAATATGGTGCATTTGTAAAATCAATATATTTTAAATTGTTATTATTTATACAACTTTTCAACCTAGATTGGAATCTGTAACTATATGTCTATTGTAATCAATCATAATCATTTGATCAAATTCGCCTAAAATAATCATTTCAACACCTCCTGCAGGAATAGGAGTATTAAATTCTAATCGAACACTAGTAGTTCCACTTTTCAAAAGCTCAAAACCACAAGAGTCATCAAGTGTCGATGTCAAAGGTATTACAAAAAAGGTCCATCCATCTTTAAATCGTGACATTGAAATATCAATGGAACGATCTGAATTAGCCATTCCAAGAGCTTCATACATGTCGACGAAAGCCCTAACAAATAAGTCTTGAGCAAACTTTAGCTTGTAAGCGACCATTGGATAAATATGCCCGCCAGTATGAACTGAGATATCCCTAATATCAAATGGTTTAAAATTGAATGGGGAAAGCGCAATGTCGCCATTAAACGCTTTATTTGAAACTAAGGCAACTGTAATGCGCCGCGGTATTGCCGAGCTGAAGGCATTATATTCAATTTCTGTCCGACCTGAAGTAAGATAAGTAGATTTCATTTCAGTTCGACGAACAGCATACGTAGCAGGCTTAGATTCAAGAGTCTTATAGATGTTCATATTAAGTGATGGTTGCACTTCAACCATTTTCGAAAATAATTTAACGTCGTGAACATAAAGTCTATATTGATTATTATCGCCTTCTTTGATATTTTGTAATATAAAAGCATCCTTACTTTTGTAAATGCTAAAGTGAATATCTAAATTATTAAGGAGAAATAATTCTTGATTTCCCAAATCAAAATCAAGGCGCGAAAGGAATTGTGAGCGTTTACCGTTTGCAAAAATAGAGCAACGATTTTTGAAACCATCATCTGTAGGATCATCATGTTTTTCAGTTCTATAATATCCAATAGATGCAAGAAAATGTGATTTAATGTTGTCAGGAAATGACAACTCATTAGTAATATATGCTTTGTACGGATAGAGAGTACCACTATCATAAACTTCAGTATTACCAACAGTTACCTTCAACTGTTGAACAAATGTTTGACCAATACCTTGAATCGATCCGATATTATTATCTGTAGCTTCAATATCTACCCATTTACCATTGGTTCCCAACTTTTCAATTGATAACTCGAGGTATAGATATGTTCGGGACAAGTCAGTCCAAAGGTTATCACTAAACAATCGAAACAAATACGGGGAATCTTGTGTTATTGTACTAAGAGGAAGAATTTCTCTAAAAAATGATCGGACAACAGAAACGTTTGTAGGAGGTACAGAAAAAATACTTAATGCACTATTCAGTGCCAACGGGCTGTTTTCATTAATTTGTTTTGGGCAACTCATTTTAGTATGTTCCTAACGTATCTACTCGTAATCGTTTTGGGGGACGGGATTTTTTGGTAGATTTTTTAGAATATTTCTTTTTGAAAGTAGGAAGAAAATTTGGAGGGCCGATTCGAGAATATGGATGTTTATTTATAGTTTTTGGCTTAGGATCGTGTATTACGTCATTCATTTGCCCGATGGCAGGAGACTTTTCTATATTTTTGTATCGTTTAAAATCAAAACCTTTTCCACTTTGTTTATCAACATTTTCAGCTGCTTTTTGCAGTAAATTTTTCAAGCCTGATTTACCTTCAGTAACAAGAGATTCTTTAAGATTTTTTCCCTCTAAGACATTGCTTAAAACTCGATTACCGGATTCTAAACCCTGTCTTCCAATAGCGCTACCAATTTCTTTACCAATCGGGATTAAATAACGAAGAAAACTTCTAAACACTGATCCCAATCCATTACCTCGTTGGTAAGGAACGCCACGAAAAACATTATAGCCGCCCCATTGATTGGGGTTTTCAGTTAATGTTGACCAGTTTATATTTGCAGGATCAAAATCAATATGCATTTTTATATTGTAAGATTTAATATTTAAGTCATCTATTTATATTAAATATCTGAGTATTAATAAACTCAGATACGAATTTATCAGCATTAATCCCTTTTAGTAATGAAATGATTTTATTCATTGAAAACCCTAAGCAGCGCATATAAAGAAATAAGATAACATGATTGCCACAAGTACTAGAAAATGGTCGTTGTAACATAACAGAATTAAATTGGACTTTGTTAAACTTATTTAAATAATTTCTAATATGATGACTTATCGGCGGCCAAATACCTAGAGAGTCATAGTATTCAATACTACTAGCTGAATTGCAAAATAATCCTATCCAGTGTGTTCCAGCTAAATTGCTCGGATCTGTATTAACTACAAAACAGAATGGGAAAGAATTACTCTTATTAGGAATACAGTCTGAAGCAAAACATCCTACATAAAATCTCTTTGTAACAATATTTCTTTTTAATATTTTATCTATTTGATAGGTATTCATTGTCAAAAGTATGAAGCCTTTTTAAAATGTAATGTTAATGTACATGTTCCATATTGGAATGGCATTAATGTACCACTAGAAGTTCTAATTTCAATAAAAATTTCAGAAATTTCTTTTACAAGTAACTTATGGTATTGTACACATAAAAATTGTTCTTCAATTATTTCATCTTGTTTACCTCTAATTGTTACAATTCTAAGCACTGGTGCTGTCACATCGCCTATAACCATTGGTTCAATTAATCCAGGTGCATAAACATGGAAGCAGGACACGCCTCCTCGCATATCAGGCATAAAGTTTGCAACACAAGTTTCAGTTAAAATTAGCCTATCAAATCCTAATATATATGCAAGCTGCTCAGTTAATTCAATTTTTTCTATATATTCACTATCGATGAATAAGGAAAACCTATTTTTATAAATGTGGAATTCAAAATTGCATGCTAATCTAGGTTTCCGAAATACTTTTATCCAAGGGTCAAATCCAACCTCGTTAGTTACCGAAATAATTTGTTTGAAATCATCAGTCATTTTTAAATTTTCAATATTCACCAAATCAGTAAAAATTTCATCTTCACTTTTTAAGCTAGGAGCTTCAGTTTCTTCACTAATAATTACGTGTTCTTCTGTAGTATCGTTGGATACTGGCTCTGTCCTTTTCTGAGAGAGTTCTTTTAAACGTTTGTACTTATCCTTAGCCTGCGTGCGAAGTTCTTTTAATTTATTTGTATATTCAATGTGTACGCTACGAAATTTTTCAACAAGTGTTTCACTTCCTTTGTTTAAGGATCTATCTAAATTATCTTTTAAATGTTGGGGGTTAGTTAAGGTATTGGAAGGAACAGAAAATTGAACTACATCGCCACTTTTCCAATAAACAGTTACAGTTTGTTCATTATTAGTACCTAACGATGGCCAGGAGTGTGGATAAACCATAACGGCTAGGCCGACATGCCACTCAGAATTAAATTGCAACTTATGAGGTAACCTAACTCGGAAGGAATTTGTTCTATTTCCTTCAATATTTGTGTTAGAAGGAATAATAATAT